TGCTTGTAAATTGTTCTCTAACTGTACCCACGACAAATTGCCTGTGTAACAGACATAATAGCGGCCTTTTAATCTTAATTTGATGGGAATCATATTTAAACTTCTTACTACATGACTTATTGTTTCTTTAAATATGGTAAAATTGAACTTGATGATTTATGTAACAATGCATGAAAAGTAATGGTTAAGTTATTGCGGTAGTCAAGCAGTAGGTACCTACTTGTTAAGCACATATTTGTTAACCTGTCGTGCACCTGTGCATGTCAAAGATGCCAGCTTCTTCTGATTAACGGCACATCGCTAATTATGAGTAAATAACAGACAGCGCACACGCATAAATGGGCACTGGGCAGGTATACCTTACAAGTACCAAATAGCTTACAAAGTTTGCAAGCTATGTATTTGTACCTTAATATGTGATTTGTGGAACTTGAAATACCTAATATTAGTTTGGTATTATCTTCAACCAGCAATGAAGACTAGTTTTAAATTAGTACAAGATTGCATCTGATGAAGCGCGATAAAGGTAAATAAATTAACAAGAATATTATTACTATGTATTAAAACTGGATCTCGATGGTTCAAATAATGAATTAAAGAATATTCAATAGATCGTAACCGAACTGAATGTAGATAACTGAGAGTAAAATGGTGTTTGAATTAAGAATATGCGACGTATTTTATCTACATTCATTAAGCTGACATTAGAATTATCTTCTACATACATTTCCGATGTAATATACAGAGATAAAAACAGTAACCGCTAGCAACATATTACAAAGTAAGAAACTTACATTGCGATTTGCGGAATTACAATTTGCTGTGCACATTATAAACGTAAGTTTTAACTGAGTGAAACTTTACACTGATGATCTTGGCATGGATAGACCGTAGGTCCAACACGTTATGATATTCAATTATAATTACAAACAACATTTATTAAGACAGAGTATTGAACAGTTGTTTCGATGGTTCTATTCTTGAATTGGTCAAAACAATAGAAATGTTTAACTAACACTGAAAAGACAAACCCACTGTTAATTTACTTAGAATTTCAAAAACACTTTGAAATAATATTAAACGAAGGCGTGACGGTGTTTCTATGACACTGTTAATCATTTAAATAATATAATCAACATAATACTTAGACAAAAAAATTTACAGGTTTAAAATTAAAAGTTAACAAATAGACATCACATAAAAATAACTGATTATTTAGTATCTAGTAGTACCCCAGTGGTAGGTAGAGGCCGCATTTTTATAATACGTGCTCGTACCTATTGAATATCATTTATAGTTATTTATGTTCATAAAAGCTTCTTGTTTTACCGCCAAAGTATACTTTTAAGTGTTTACATTGTTGGTCTCTACGAACAATGAATTCATCCCCAGATTCGTGTGCTTAAAAACTCCTTTGTTCCTTTTTTCTATTTATTTATTCAACAGGTAACGTGGCTAAATATCTGGCCATTGCTTCTTAAATACTTGTGCACAATGTCTTGTGGTTTATAAATTAACATTTTAATACATACCTATAGGTACAGATATAAGGGAATATTAAATTGTGTGGCATTGCAATCGCAATGATATTTCATACATAAACAAATATTGTACTTAAACCTTGATAACCAAGTTTAATATGTTAATTAAAGTTATATGTTGTGTACCTGCCTCTTAATCATGAATGTGGTTCATTGACGCAGCGTAGATACATTCCTAACATCAGGATAAACGGTGTGGTAGTTAGGAAGATCACGTCAACAGCTAACTGTACGCCGAGCGTGTGTTTAATCACGTCTCATTGCAAGCATACTTGTCATTCAGAGCCGAGTAGCTCTGCTAAAGATTAGCTGCCTACGTGCCTTACTTGCTTCCCCAACGACCTCTATGTAGGCCGCTCTAATTAAAACTCATATTTCAGGCACAAAGTAAAATGTAGGCGTCCATGTAAGTAGTCCTACATATTTGTCAATTTAACGTGCACAATTGCATGCATTGTTGTATTGTAAAAGTGTTCACAAAGAAATTAATTATGTAACTTACAAAACAATGGAATCACATCCCACCCAATTTAATGGCAGACGTTTCTAGTTTTACAGGTTACGATGAGATATTCAGTTTTAAATAGGTGTCAAGTGTTTTTATTAAGATATGTGCCCACCCCCTGTTATATTAAACCTAAATTGGATGTGTCACAAGTAGATGGTTCGTGGCTATGTAGTACGATTTTAATATATATGGCAAATTATGCTGCCATCATATAGGTCCCGGGTTAGTTGTCAGCAGGTATGACATGGTACGCGGTCCGACTGTTACACCAGCATTGATAGTTCGCGCTCTGTCAACGCGCGCCGCCCTATTGTCCTGCAGTAGATGGCGATAAAACACTCTCTACGTGATGGAATTTTTATGTTTCCGATCACTAGGCACCTCCAGTTATTAAATAAAAAATATTTATTGGTACTTATTAGTTACGATACTCGATAAACAGTGGCATGCTCAATCATACTACGGGATCAAAATATTCAATGCATTTACTTCTAATCTAGATTTGATTCATATCGCTGCTGGCATGCGACACATTATTTGTGATACTTGTATCTCACGGTTATCGTGTGAAAGTGGTTTTAATTAGCAGGTAGTGTTTACTGTGTCTATAATTGAATTTCATATTTATAAAGGCAATATAATGTTCCAGTGAAGCGTCGCGTTGCCTGCGCCCGCGCCGCCTGCTTCGTTGTCTCCCCATGTGCACTGGTATGAGGTGAGTCACCGCACTTAATTTTACTTCAGTTAGTCACTAAGGCCACTTTACAGCGTTCAAATCTCAATGTTAACAAATAATTGAAAACAGTCTGTAAATTTTTGGAAACTGGGAAAGAACTGAAGGGACTTCAACTTTTAGAGGTAAATGACTGTTTATTAGGATTAAAGAAAACAAAAATGAGAAAGCGAAAAAACGTTCTACTAAATTAAAAAAAAGTTATTAAATCTTTCTTGAAAATCATAGTGTTCATAAATTAGGGTATCGCCAAAATGAAGGAAATTATAGTTAGTAGAAATAAAACGTAGTGCATGCAACATACTATGTATCGTGCGTTCGCTATTAGAGCCGCGCACCTGCCCCGCGACTTGATGTCAATGTCCGTCAAACGCGAGCCTCGGGCCTCTACTTACTTTACTAGCTACCTTATTATAATAACGCATACACTGTCCACGCGCAATATTTCAATATTACGATTTAACCTTGAAACACATTGATAATGAACTTAATTCTTAAAAAATATGTATATTCCTAAAATCAATGTCTTTGATCTCAGTTTCATGAACCAAAGATTAAATTCAAATAATTCCGGTTAGTAAAAAACTACAGAGTAATTGCTTGGTAGATTAGGTACATATTCCTATAATATGTAATACTCATATCCGCGTTGGCGCCGGTCGTCGTCGAGGCAGTTAGAAAAACATAATTGCCAAGGTGGTGCGTATACAAATCAGGTCCAAGAATAGAGACTCTGAAGCGACGGGTCCGCTAGGAATCTTAAGAGGAGGCGGTAATCCACTGATATTTAAACTATTACAAGTTTCTAGGCTTCCGCAGCTGTCGTCAGTTGACTGCTAGCTTGCGACAACACTCACATTACGCAATTATCTTATGGACATAATTATATAATAACTGTGCATTTGTAATTACGTATATATCTAATATTATGAACTGATAAATTAACTCGTAGCCATTCTGCTTTAAACGCACCTATAACTGCATGAGGAAGAGTCCCTCTGTAACTCGAAACTACTAGAGCGTTTGAGTAACTTGTAATTATTAATTAATTTAGTTAATTGCCTATAACCGTTTATTTTAATTATAGTGTATGTTATCCTCGAGGTTTATAAGGTCAGTTATGGCAGTGAATAATGGTAGTACAATTGTAAATAAAAGACGTACCCATACTGCCTACGAGCTGCGGACATTAGAATTTGATGTCTCCCTTAATCTATCATACGTTTAGTGGGCTGTCCCAAAATAAGTCGTGCCACAAATATAATACTAAATATTCAAAGAGCTTGCTTTCCTCGTTGCTATTCTTAATGTCGTAATATATATATAAATATTTTCAAGTACTAAATACTATTAGTAGTATGCCAAAATGTTTTTTTTGAATAGGATCATTAGTGTTCCATTGGAGTTCAACCCATATAAACCATTACCTTTAGGTACTAAAATAGTAGGCATATATAAACTTGAATAATTTAAAAACTGTTGTTTAAAATGATATGGGTAATACAAATAAATATATACAAATCAATAAGTGAAAATAACTGTATGCTGATCAGTTTATTACGACACTGAATCCGTCCAACAAGGCAGATGAAACTTTATCTATAGTATTTCCTGTAACGTAGTGTTATTAATTATAATCAACACGCCCATTTCTCAAGAGTCCACAACAAGTCTCAGAGTTTCTAGCCAGTGAAAAATATCTTGAGCTAGATTGGATCGGGATGACAGACATTAGATAAGACTAACTTCTCCGAGCTTGGATTTCCGGTCATCCTGTAGGACTGGGTACTCGTTTATGAGTCACGTCTCGTACACGCAACATAAACGCTAACGCTACTACTTATTCCTTGCTTATATTATGTTATTAGTTACCATACTAGTATAATTACGGTGCGTACGTCAATCACGTTGCTCTAATGACAGTCGGGAAACGGTTAACATCCTGAATGGGTATGCTGCGTCTGTTTAAGTAGACCTTAGAGTTACATGGGATGTCTAACTATTAGGTTTATTGAAAAAACACAAAACACGCAAGAATGATTACTTAAAATGGAATGGATTAGTGTACATTGATATTTTTACGTCGTTCGTATGTAATTTAAAACGTGTATTTGCAAGAAGATATTTTAGTTTAGTTCTGAATCCTGATGATGAATATATTGAATTTCAGAGCAGAGGGCGCGTGCGGAGTGGCGCGATGGTTGCGTGATCGGTCATCATGCGCCTCTTCCGCGGGCCGAAGCGCAGGGAAGTGACCGGGCCGCGAGCCGTCGCGACGCCGTCTCCGCGCCGAGACGCCGCCGCCGCAGACATCGCTGACACTACACCGCACGTCTCTCACGACTTCACGCTCGTAACCGCACTGCCAGCCATGGTTATGGAGGATGATGTCAAGGAAATGAAGAAAGGTACTGCTCATTGTTATAATTATATCTGTCTACATTATTGTCTTCATTTGCCTATTGCAAGTACATAATCTATTTAGTCTTAGAGTATCTTTTGTTTATAACTATTTTTATTGTTTCAGTGTTTGCTACGTGGGGTCGTCGAATGGGTAAAAAACTTGAAATGTTAAAGAAAACCGATAGTAAAGAAATATCGGAGGAAACAAAATCTAACGATGATATTATCAAAGAAGATTGTACTAATATTTCCACTGGGCAATATAAAAAGAAGCAACACTGGAAAATGGGACGAAGTAGTTCAGATTCCACATCGTTAAAAAAAGACAATGATACTGATTCTATCAGAAGCGGTTCAAGAGACAGATCGCCCAGCCCTTTCAAATCCTTTTTTCATAGGATGGGTTCTACAGGAATGTTAAATTCAGCTAAATCTCAATCATTAAATATGCATAAAACTCCTGAAAACTATCCTGTGGCCAATGGACCATCGTTATACCGTAGTTGTTCTACGTCCCATCTTTCCACTTATGTAAAAGCTGATGACCCATCAGATGACATCGATTTGCAAAATGCTGATAATGAGAGTAAAAGTTCCCCTAAGAAACACAATGTTTTGTCCGAAGACACTTTGGTCTCATCGTCAGCCAAAGCAGTTAGCTGTGACAATATAACCAATCTAAATGACGGGCAAACTAATAACGGAGCTTCTAAAAAACCAAATTTTCCTTATGCGTTCTTAAGATCAAAATTATCAGTATTGCCAGAAGAAAACAGTATGGCTTCTCAGCAAAGGACCAGTGTTATGAGACAAAGTTTATCTGAAAGAATTGATAGAAAATCACCGAAATTTCGAAAAGATAAAATGTGTTTTACAAATTCTCGATCAGAGGAAAGATATCAGAGTAGTGACAGTATATCTATTCATGACGAAAATATTCTATTTAATAATGCTTTAAGAAAAGATTACGACTTCTCACGAAGTTCCATGAGAAGTATAAATGAAATAGATGACAATATGTATCAGATTGGACGCATGGATGATGTACCTCGAAGATCATCTATGATTTCTCACAGAACACCCTTAGATTATGATCCTATGCTTATTCCACGGAACAGAAATAGTTTACCGGTGTATGAATATAGTTCTGTGCTGGGTTCGCTGCGAGACATTAAAACCGAAATACTTCGTCTTCGCAAAGCATTCATCATGCACCAGAACAAGCAGAAGTGCAAACCCATCGTCTTAGTAATTATGTTAGTTCCAATGAATCTGGATATGATAGTGATGGTCGACCCACCGATGACCACAGTAACCATTCTCCGCCAGGATATTCCTCACATTTTCATAATGGTTCCGGTCGTAAAGAATGTATGGATATGAATTATGAAGGCAATCATGGAAATTTTTCAAGACAATTTAGTTTAAATCACAAAATAAATTTCGGTCGTGTACAAGTTCCAATCAGACGAAGTTCTACCCCTTGTGCTTTATTTCCTGTAGAGAAAAGTAATTCTTACGATTACGGAAATGAAAGTAAGGATAACATACACAAATTTCCTAGTGATAGTATAAAAAACAATATGTTCGAACATATAGATTCAAAACCACCGCCGCTTCCAAAGAAAACTATAAAAAAACAACCGTATGTCTATAAAACGATAACCTTAGACGAAAGAGTGCAGACGAGAAAAATAAAATTTTTGCACTCTCAATTGATCCCTATTGAACAGTCATCAAATCAAGAAATTATGGCAGAGCCTCCTACACAAATGCACCATGTTTCTGAAACAGACATTTTAGGTAGAGGGCCTTGCACTAAAAGATTCAGAAAAATAAGACTATTAAAATCAAGGCTGGACGAGAGTCTTGGTGTTTATTTAGCACAACACAGGGTAGATTTTGATAGCAGCGGTTCAAATTTTGAAATTCGGTACATTATTGTCAAGTTAGACTTTGACGGTATAGCTCATAGAGACGGAAGGCTACGAATAGGTGATGAGATAGTCAATGTTAATGGCAGAATATTGCGAGGTTTATCATCGCTTAAAGATGTACAGCATATAGTTAATTCTTGTTCGACTGAAGCTACGATTGAAGATGGAGCATTACTACAAAGATATCAAGTGGATCTTGTAATGGCGCACGATGAAATAACCCCTATAACATTAAGTAGGATTATAAATAATCAGCCATTAGAACAGAATACTGTCACGCTTCCTTCATCGAACGTACCCGGACATAATATCTCAGACTGTACACAAACCGTTGCCCTCAAATCAAATAACAATCGAAACACATTTCCCAACTGAAAACCAATTTTATCACAACAATATGTGCAATAGAACCAAAGAACATGCAACCGAACAGGTAAATTGTGATTCCAATTCAAGAACTGATCATCAAAGAAAATGTGAGGTTGGTATTCAGGTGAATAATGGTCCAATACTCTCAAACCAAAAGAGTGACGATGAAAAGTTGCTAGAGCGGCACTGCTATTCCCAGTCAGCTTCATTGCAAAACATTACGAATATTGAAATTTCACTTAGGTCATCACCAACACCTAGGTCTAATCAAGGTAATAACTATAGACCGATATCGTTTCATACTTCTAGACCTCCATCAACAGGACCTTACTCCGTCTATGGTGACAATGCAACTAATGAAATTAAAGAAAATAATTTTTCACATTATATAAAACACGTACCCAGACTGTACCAAAACAGATCATTTGAAAGCATTCCTGAACAATTGAGAAATAGTAGTCGAAGTAGATTTTTCAGTAGAGTTGGATCCCAACGATGCTCTCCTAGTCCTAGTCCACATGTATCGAGGCTACAAGAACATACAACGGCCTTACATCAAGATAACCATCAACATGGCGGACACTACGCGCACAGTTCCTTACACAAAGTGGAATTTTGGAAAGGACAGGGACATAAAAGCCTTGGTTTCAGTATTGTGGGTGGAACAGATTCGCCAAAAGGCCAAATGGGTATTTTTGTTAAAACGTATTTCCAAATGGACAAGCGGCTGACAAGGGTACCATCTTTGAAGGTAACTGGTACTTTATAAATTTTATAGTTTTTATTTGCTGTATGTGTTTACATAATTTTAATTACAATGCATATATTTTCCTTTACAGGTGATGAGATATTATCTGTAAACAGTGTGCCAACACGTGGACTAAGCCATGCTGGGGCTATATCTCTCTTCAAACAAGTTAAAGAAGGAAAAATAGAACTGACGCTTTCAAGAAGAAGGTAAACAATTAAACAATACAACAAATTAATACAAACAACAGTAAACTAATGTGGTTTGGTAAGATAAAAAAGCTCTTTTGACACGTAATTCGTTTATATTTCAGAGCACCTAGGTCGAGATCTGTGGAACCTCTCGGCAATTTCCGCGGCGACGTGAAACGGGAATAATACTACCTACATAGTTGTATCCCAAAGAGACAATGGTGTTATCGAGTGCAATAATATTACACGTTATTCATTATAGCCAAAGGCAACTTCAGGAAAATGTTTCACAGATACTTCGTTCATTTCAAGTGTCTCCGGTATTAAATAATAATTATTATCTATCTATTAAAAGTTAACAATATTGTTATTGTGTCACGAATATAAATAGGCTGATATTGTATTGTAATAATATCACCTTTATAAATATTCTTATGGAATAAAATGGTAAAATGGGGCTACTCGAAAACTGCTTGGTTATTCATTTGAACCACGGTCTAGTACATAAATAGTACTGTTGTTGAGGTATCTAGGTACTAATTTGAATATAATTCAATAATCAACTGGTCACTCTTGTTCTATTAGCCTCATTATGCCACTTTACTTCTATTACTTACGCTAAATTTTCTTAGCTTTGTAAAATAAGACTGTATGTATAGCTGTAGCTACTGTTATATTTTCGTTGTAGTCTGTTATATGATAGGTATTGTTAAAGTATGTTAGGAATGCTAGATCTCGTTATTTACTGTAACTTGTATATACTAGTAGTCATAGAACATTTTGTTACGATGTTATCTATCAATGAAGACTAGACTTCCTTAACAACACCACATGACAATTAAAAAGGCAATCAGACTGATATTTAAATAATGATGTGTGTACCTATATTACTGCCAAAGCTTTAGAGTTAGCGAGGAAACATCGAACAGATTTCTCTAAACCTAGATAATACGATGTGCGGCGCCGACACGCGCCGTTCGCTCTCGGACGACTGACCATCCTAGACGACGAAAACGATGAAATTGATTTATATCAGGAGATATCTTAGAATAATTCCCACTGCCGATTTACTACTTCCATGTGATGATATATAAAATATTCAGCGAATTTACTCCGTCCATTGTAATGTCCATGAATACGGCCTAATATCTGAATGACATAAATCAAGTTTAAATTTCAAATCACAAAAAAATTAACATGAAATAGGTATGATAGCCTTTAGAGTTCGAGCAGCATCTGTTATGTAATCCATCCATAAATTCATCCACAGTATTGTCTTACATTTAATGTAAATAAATTGCAATACCTCAATGCTTTTGAAATTATACACGAATATCATAATAATTTTGATTTATTTCACCAAATACTCCATGATCAAAACTATAAAAATAAATAAAGTCAAAATACTTCAACTGCAGTACCTACCTACCACCTCCTGATTAATGTGGAAAGGCTGAGAAGTAAATAGTTATAATCGCCGCTGATGTTCTCCTAAAAACGTTCGAAGTCCTATAAATGTAAATTCTATTCGATGTTACTTAATGTCGCAAAGCATGGCGACTCCTCTTAGAATCCAGTGCTCGGGGCTCTTGACGGTGGGCAGCCAAAGCGGAGTGATAAAAGTTAAGCCGGTCCGCACTGGCTTTTTGTACACCGGACACTACAAAACCATAAACAATGTAAAATTGTTTGCTAAGTAAAGATATTGCACAATTTTAAGGATAATAACCTGGTAAAGTTTGGGGTCCTTGGGTGCCGCGGAGTTGATTGCGTATACGTGTATTACCGGTAGCACTGCGTATACTACTTTTAGAGCAGACTCACATAGACGCATGTTGCGACGATCCCAAGCTGCGCCTTCTAGGTATACACCATGTATAAACACACCTTCCTACATGGGCAATAAAGTTTGGTATTGTAATTAGCTTTGATTAGAAAAAGATCTCGAATAGGGAAACAAACCTCGTGTACATTATTCTACATCTTACCAGAGGCGGCGCTTTTATTTCCTCCAGTGCAAATTTAGTAACATCGTTGTGTAAGTGACCATGTCGAGCGCCCAGCCTTTGTGGGCTCGAGTTACTTCCTGACGCATGGCGGTCAAAAATCCTAAAAGGAACAGAGTTAACTCTCTATTATCAGATCACATTTAGATTTTACAGTTTGTTTTAAAATATTGTCCTTAACCTTGTGGATTAAAGAATCCTGTCATCCAGAATGAATTTGGCCTTGCTTGGAAGCACCACGTGGAGAATTGTATCGTTCTTTCCAAAAACTCAGTAAACCAAAAACCTAATGTAGAAGACGACCAAGAAGTCTCAACCAGATTTGAGGAACTTTAGCATCATAGATATTGTCTAAAGAATCTCGAAGAGCCTATAACAAAACAGACATAATTATACAATAGTTGTACAAGCTATCTACATAATTATACAATAGTAGTACATTTAATCGTTTGTATAAAAATACAATTTTCATGTCGTCGAGGTTCTTAAGTTCGAAGTTACTAATTACAATTATGGCGTTCACCATTATTTTATTACGTGTGAACCAGACTTCTTACAAGTCAATATGTAACCTGTTTAATAAATTGTTTTTGCAGGGGACTATCGCATATTTATTCAATTTAGGTAGGTACTCAGAATATTGCAATGCGTTACCTCATTCATAATTATTGTTCCATCAATTGCGAGCAATAAGTCTTTCAAAGTAGTTCTGACAAGCGTAATTACTTTCTGCATGCGGTCGATTTCTTGTCTCAAAAATATCACCATAGGATTTATTATACCGTATAATCTCAATCTAAAAAATAGCAATAAAATGAGTAACCGTTGTTCTTGTTCACGCTGAACACGTGGACGGGGGGGGTGCGGTAGACGTTGCCAGTTCACATTGAGTACACTTGCATGCCCTTATCACATTTTAAAGAGGAACACGTAAGTATGATATTCAAGGTGAAAGGATAAAAAACATTTAATTTCCGTTAACCTTGCAAGCACTTCATGGGGTCAAAGTTAACGGGAACTTTCTCAAGCATCTCTTTAGATTGCCTATAAACTGAAGCTTCACGAGTTTCTCCACCTCCTCCACCTGACTCTTTGGGTTGAATCGATAGTATCGTATCTAATAGTTCTTGAGTAGTATTGCGCTGATACCTGAAAGCCAGAATATTTATTTAATATAATAAGCGACATAGGAAATAAATTAACTTATGGAGAACCCATAAACTCACGTGATATCCGCATTGGTGTGCAAGCCGTAAGCTTGAGGCGGATCCACAGTTTTCATTGTCTCAATAACTTCCAGATACTCGGGTATATTCTTATATTTAAGAATGCCATATCCCTTGTAGAACTGAAATTCGTCTGTAAATATTTGGTCTGAGAACCAGACTTTACAGAAAGTGCAAAGTAGCCGGTTGTCGTAGTCGTCCGTAACTCTTCCGCCGTATTCCACCGCAGACACCATATAACTATTGACATAGCACACACATATCATATAATATGAAAACAGTACTTTATATAATAATAATAAATAAAGTCGATATACATTTGCACCGAGAGCCAGAATATATAGAAAGTGCTAAGTTGAAGTTTGTTGCACTCGTCCGTAACTCTTCGGCCGTATCCCACCAAACAGCATAAATATAAGAATAAAAACAGTTGTCAGTTCACAATATTATTATTTGTGAACTGACAACACGAAATATTAGCAACTTACCGTATAGTAGTCCAGCTGACAGGTTGCCCCGGCTCCAGTGAATCTAAATGGTTTTGTACAAATATACAAGAGGACATCCAGTCAGAAGAATTAAATTCATATGGAATATTCCATCCGAGAGGTCCGAACTTCCTCTCTCTTGCACCACCGTGTGTAAGAATGAGATGGTGTAGATCAACGGTAAATAGAAGGGACTGTCACTGTAGTCAAGGAAGTCCTGACTCATCGCATCATAAGTCCTCATGAGACCAGCTTTTATTCCTGAAAATAAAAAAAATCCCCAAAATATATACGCAGTATGTCCCAAAAACCAACGATACCACTTGACGAGATGGTTGACCTTCCTATGAGGGCTCTGGGTATCACAAGGGAAAAAAACATTTCTATTTTTTCTTAATAAAAAACTGAAAAAACGGAAAAAAACTGATTATGCTCGTAATCAGACACCACTCGTGCCATTTTCAACTTTCATGACCAGTTTGTCAAATATGACTGATTTCTTATTTGCAAAAATAACCTGCAGCTGTAGCCAAATGCCATTTAGCGCTTGTCTACATGTACAATAGAAAACACTCTCTCACTGTAGACAAGCGCTAAAGTGGCGTTTGGCTAGAGGCCCAGGGCCTTTAGCCAAACGCCACTTCAGCGCTTGTCTACAGAGAGAGTAGAAATCAAAATGTATGGGGATGACACTGACAAGTGTCAAAATTTACGTCAATTCCATATAATTTTGTTTTCTACTCTACATGTAGACAAGCGCTAAATGGCATTTGGCTAGCACTGCTGAATAGTTCTGCTATCTACTACAATCTCTATAAATCTAGACTAAAGGTAGTTTTTTTTATAATTACCAATAATAAATATACGCATTTTTAAAAAAATTAAGGATTACTCTTTACTCTTTACTTTACTATTTCTCTTTACTTTACCTCACCTTGGTGTGAAAAAGTACGAACAGATCTATGGCACTTCGTTTAAAAAAATGGCGCATCTAATTATGATTCTACAATATTATAATACTCTAAGAAAATTACCCAGAAAAAGGAGCGTTTTAAGTTTTTATTTAAGATAATTAATTTATGAACTTAAACTCAAGGTAGACTTTAGACTGTGATACTATAAATTCAGTGTAGGTAGGTATAAATCGAATGTCTTTGTCTCTGTATGAGTGTCTGTAATTTGATAATTATTTGCGACACAATAATTAGTGTCGCATCAATCGTCATCATACCATTCATACACAGACACATACAATACAGTACAGTACTGTCGTATTTTAAACGTACTAGGTAGGTACGCTTAAAATACGTAAAACAAAATGAACTTACCGGATGGTGGTTCACACGTATACTTAATAGACATTTGCAGAAGAGTAATTGGAAATTTTTCATGAACTTCCGTCGTGATCCACAGTCTAAAATGTAAATATAATATTATCAAATTATACTCTCTAAGAATAACAACATTACATGGATGACAGAATGGCAACATTACCTAAAGCATTCATGTATTGCTTCTGGCTCTTTTTCGAGTTCACCAAATTGTTCCATGATCTCCACCATATATTCTAACCCTAAGTGACAGTTTTGCAATAACACCCACAATCCCTGAAAATTGAAATGGTTCGTTGGATTATTGTAACAAACTTTTATACTCCATGTTGCCACAATTATCACCTCTTTTAATCCACGATCTATTAGTTTTCTTGCATGAATCTCTTGACCTTGACCCATAGATATAGATGAACAAATATTCTCCATGCGCTTAGCAGTTATCTCGATAGAAGGTGTTGGATCAGAGCCCATGGCCAAAAAACCAATAAGAGGAACAAGTGGACGAGATTCTAATACCATATTCTGTAAGTAAGAATCTTTTGATAAAAATAGATTCAAAGTTTTAAACATGTTTCTTATTTGCAACATCAACGAACCTCATAATTGACTATAACTGCTTCAGAGTACCGAGCACCCATGGAATTTACGACATACTTCCTGAAATATTAACACAGCATGAATATACACAAAAATAAAATGTAAAATAAAATTAATACGCGCGATTCACGAGCTACTTACAAACTTTGTGCTAGAGTCCTGTCAGGACACCACGCGCGCACTACCAGCAACTTTCTGAACACGTCTAGAGTGTTGTAACCGTCTGGTAAAGGCTCTTCTTCTGGCGCTTCCTTATCAAACCTTTAAACAATGAGGAATAGAAACTAAAATCCAAAAAATTACTTATACATACCTACGTAGATAGGTTACCCCCACTGATAGGTAGAGAATGCCATATGGCAATAAGTTCACCTTATGTGCCATTACTTAATCAAATTCTGTACAAAAATCACAAAATAAATAAATAAACAGGTAAGAAGCCGGTATATTCGTTTTCAGATTTTGGTTGTTGAAGTCTGTTTTTTAAACGCAGTTGTTTATTTATTTTTTTACTATTTAGTTAGGTAAGTTAGTACCCAATATACTACATATAACAAATGATTTAAGCTCTAACATCACTTAGCTAGTAGCTACTGTTAACCATTGAGGAGTTCCTTTAGCTATCATAGTACTTCATCATTAGGTCCCTAATGCTACTCTCCACATTTAGGTGTAAAGTTCTAATCAATACAAATAATGTAGGTCCAAACACGGAGTCTTTGCTGTAATTTCTTGAGGAGTTCCTTCGACTGTCTCTCGGGTTCATCGTCAGATCAACTACACACCTTCATCAATTTGTAGTAGTTTTAAATATTAAATAAAAAAGTTAACAAACACACTAGTCGCCTTAATAATTTTTAAAACTTTTCCTTGATTTCCCAAGGATTCCATGATCGGATCCAGATCTGGTGGAAATGGGACCACCTCGAGGGTATAAAATTCGTCTACATAAGCTGAAGTTATCGCATAAAATGTAAAAAAAACACATACAGATGAATTGAGAACCTCCACCTTATTGGGAAATCGATTATAAAACCGATGCAATCAATGATTGTTATTCCATTTGAAGTCTATCGTTCTGTCACTCACCAAGCTTTCCAACCCTTTTCATTATTAGTTACTTGATTCAGTATATTCGTAAACTGACGCAAACCGGATAGCTGGACCAAGTTCAGCCATGACATATCTGTTACCCACTTAAATGGTTTTGGAGGGCAGGCATTTAAATCCAACGCTGCACCACCTAAACGCAAAAACATATTTATTTATGTATGATTAACATAATATTGTTATAGAATCTAGATGTAAAGTTATTATAAAAATAATTAACCTTTAATAAAAGTCTGGAATTCTTCAAATGAAACATACGCTCTTTGTATGTCTATTTTCAATGTTAAGAGCAATGTGAACAGATATTTGTGTTTTTCATAAAAACCGCGGCTGATGAACTTGAACACATCAAAAGTCTGCGTGGGACGATATTAAAAATTAGATAATGCTATCTTCAATAAATACATTTTAATAGTTATAATTACTTTTTTGTAACTTTTATATTAACTGGTCCTTGAATAGACAAATCGTCTTGTATATTAAAAAGTCTTCCGTTACTAAGTGACTGACTGATTTACTGACAGACAAAGAACAACCGAACATAGGAAACTGAAATTTGGCTCGTATGTTCCTAAATTTTCACGAGGACGGGAAAAACGAGAATCACCTATTTGAGCGTACAAATTCGCTGGCAGATGTCAATGACAAAATAATGTCCAATAGAAACTATATCAATGGAGGATATCATCATCATAATATTATGGACACTGACCAAATAATCAATAATGTAGCCGATCCTCCTGAACGTAATAGGGCTTTGCGGCGAACGTTCCAAGGAAATATCGAAGCGCTCTAGAAACTGCGCCAGTGAGGTCTGATACATGTTGCATACGAGTGACATGTTGCAAATGAGGAAATATAGCACAGAGCCACGTGTGGCCACGGGCCGGTACTCCTCGCGAGCCAAGTTTATCTTCATCTCTGTCTCTTTTGCTATATCCAGCTTTTCCTTTACCTGATGTGAAAAAATGACACGTATACCATCCAGATATTTACAATGAGGACTATAATTTTGTGATTTGACTTGACACAAATGAGACACAACTTAGGTTTTGGTTAGGTTAAGTTAAAAATAATTAATGGCTCCAAAATGTGTTTTCTTTATAACTTAAAAACCACGTACATCAGTGGCAGTCGCTTTGGTGACATTCAATACTTGAATGAGTGACACATCTTCTACAAGCGAGCCTTGTATAGTGGTCAGTTTATGCAGCAAATTAGCTTCCAGTTCCTGCATCTTACGTCGGTTGGCCGTCACGTCCATAATCAGTTGAGTTCTTTCCGCTTCCATCTCAGCCTTTTCTGTTAAGATCACTCGACCAAGTAGCTGATCCTCTAGACCTATTGAAACAAGGCATTTTTATTAATGTTAGTAGGGTATACAATTTAAGCAGATTTCACACAATTTTATTTTAGTTTTCCCAACCTAAGAAATTAAAAACATAAAATGTACCTTGCATTGTGACAGTAAAGTCTATTATTGAAGTTCTAGCCGAAATCTCAGGCGTATAGGCGGGATTAGGTAGTTTCGTAGTTATGTATATTCTGTGGCCTGCTGTTACGTCTATTTCTTTGTCTCCCAATTTAACCTAAAATACCTCAGTTATTATATAATCATTTGTAGCTATAATTGCATCTTTTGTAAACTATTATAAAATATCAACGATTGTCAACATTGATTTCCATAAACAAAAATACTTTCTATGTTTATTTTCCTTTGGTTTTTTCAATTATATCGAGGCTAGCTTCAAGAAGATCTTTAGATTAGCGGTTTAAATTACGTGGATAAAACTAACTTAAACGACTAAATATATAATGACCTGCGCAAGATTTTGTACTTAATATTACGTGTTAATAATAATCCACCGAAGAATAGGTGAAACTGTTAGCTACTCTACTTTCACAGCTTTTTAAACGTCTCCCTCTCATTACCATAGTAGTGCTAACAGAGAATAATTATATGATATACCTTAAACGTGGAACCAATTTTAATGTAATTCTTTTCAAGAACGTTGTCAGTACCGGGTCCAACTCTTCAAATACGTCTTCGATCAACATAGGTCTACCTAACGATACACAGTCTTCTATGTGATTCCTGCGCATTAAATATTGTGTTAGTAAAGAATAAAAATAAATCTTTGTTTACTTCGTGCGAAATTCAAATAGATAAATCAGTAGTAAACATTAATGTCATTTCGTCTTGTTTCTCGGACTTGATAAACACCTTATAAATTGTACTTACCTGAAATACTTGTGATTTAGGGTCGTAACAATCAAGTCATTGTGTTTCTCAGTATTCTTGATCCAGATCTTTCCCTGGATTTGTGGATCGATTAGCAACGGATAGCGAGCAGCTTTTGTCACAATAATACCATTTTGTATCGATAATTCGTCAGTTGGCAAGCCACACAAATTCCATTCTCCAATCTAAAGGAATTATTATACGTTTGCAGTATTGTAATACGTGACTATACTATACTTCAGATTCCTACTAATTAGACGTAAAGTTACTGAGGCGATAGCAGAGGAATGAGCCTTCTCATTAGGTAATAGAATCTTCTAAAACTGAATGATTATGTTTTGGGTTTATTTGAATCAGAAACAGCTAGGTATAACGGGTTCAAATCGTGAATAATTTTCTACTAAAATTACCGTAGCTGTGTCAGTCAACTGGTTTGTTATATTCAAATTCATAGATACAGGAATCTTTCTGCGCAACAGTTCACTAAGCCAGCTGCTTGTCAGTAAGGTTCGAAACTCTTGGTTAAACGGTCCAGAATAAGATAAAAATCTGAAAAACCAAACACAATGCATCAGAATTTTCTGCAAAGGGCGATAGCGAGAAAGGTCTATTACACAATGGAGAGTTTGCTAGTGTCAAACAATTTATATATTATTTTTTTACCACCACAGTGACAGGACTTCCGCAACAGTAGCCCTGATAAATACCTATATGATGGGCCTCAGTAGTTCAGCTTTCTTTTTAATTGGTATTACAAATAATATTTTCGAATTATAGGTCACAAACCCAGTAAGCAGCAGTATGTCGCCGACCAAACGCTCAATCTCAGACTTAAAGAGAGCTGATTGCTCTGTCCAGCGGATGCGCTCCCCGCTGAGACCGTTAATGAGAGCTGTAGCAGCGTCCATCTTCTGTTGGCACTTGGCTGCATCGTCCAGCACAGCCTGCTTCAACGTCATCGCGTCGTCGAACTGCTTCTGAACGTGCGCCAACTCTCGCTGTGGGGGTGATGGCATGTATGTATTTACACATATGAGTATCGGGGGTTACATTTGAGTGGTAAGTCTCACTTTATAATGAGGCTGGTCAAGACGAAAATTCAGTTAAGTCAGTCTACTACCACAACGTGATATATTGTATTTTCAAATAGTTGATCACCTATAATATGCTGTTCTATCTACTAGGGCTTACTGGACCAAAGATGAAGGCCGTAAGTGTTGTGCTAAGAGCTACCAAATACCTCTTTGGCTTCGAGTTGTGCCTGGGCTGCTTCTAGTTCCCTCTTAGCGGCTTGATACTTGCCCTGCATCACTGCTAGGTTCGCTTTTAATGGCAGCACGTCCTTATTCACCGAATAAAACTGCGCCATGGCGATAGTCCATGAAATTAAGCCAGCAACGTTACCACAAGCTATTTTTGCTGCTTCAAAAGTATACTGACTGTAATTTAAAAAAAAATCTCATTGTAGAAGATCTAATACCATCAATACCGTAGAAGCTTAGCAATTATAACTAATTATTATACTTACGGATATGAGAAATAAGGTTGTAGTAAATCAACCATTTCTGCATTTATTTCATCTTTTGGATAATTCTTCAAATTGCTCAAAAATCTGGCATCCGCCATCACCTAAGAAATGAATAAATGTATTTAATTTTATTATAGTTTTACAAGAAAAACCGTGACATTTTAATTTAAGCAACAATTTACCTTTAGAGACTCAGCCCAAGAAGCTGTTAAGCATTGTTTCTCAGGATCTGGTTTAATAGAATCGATACGCTTTCTAAACAGAATAATGACAGCGTCCATAATGAGCGTGATGAGGTGAGGAGGCTTGCCCAGTTTCCTGACGGTAGCAATATCAGCAGCATTGATGGTCTGTAACGGTATGTCGGGTTAGATACTGTTATATATGTTTATCTTGTCTGTGGCAAGCTAGCTACTTTCAATAGGGAAACCTATTTATGTTCTTCTTTTGTTTTGAAAAATATATGAGTGTTTCTGACTAGCTTGTTTAATTCACACGATGAATAATTATTGCATTATATATTGAATATATATTATATATAAGATACATTGTTGCGTTGTAAACATGTAAAGGTTTCCATTACCTGCAGTGCAGCCTCAGCAGCGTCAAGCGCCGGCTTTGCATCCGCCAGCTTTTCCTCAGCGACGGCGGTCTCCGCTGCGATGACGTTGACGAGTTTGACGGCGCGATCCTTCACCTCCAGCACTTCGGCTTTCACAATCTCGGCAGCTGCCTGCGAGTCTGCTACAGCTGCCAGCACCTGTGATGCTTCTGCAATTAGACTACGTGCGTTTTTCAGAAAGACACCAGTTGACACTTGACACAAACCTCTTCTGCTCTCTCTGTAGCTTTTTAATTTCAAGTTCTTTTATTTCCAACTCTTTCTTTAAAATATCAACACTGGCTGCTGCCTCCACTAATTTGGAAAGTCCAGTTGTCATTCTGAAATATGATATCATCACAAACATAAGGAATATAATCATAAAAGCAAGAAGAATCAAAAGACTACCACAAGGTATAAGTACTTTTGCGTGGATAGCATTTATGTCACTGTAATTTAAAAGTGTCTGACATAGATTTTTTTATGTTTTTCTGATGGCTGTCGAAACATTGCTCGTAACTGGTGCCATTTGGACGTCCATTTTCGGAACATCCTGTATGTTATGATTTGTAGACTGAACCTGCTCATTCGCCGTTTATATAAAGTCATCACATATTTTAGACACCTATTCTAGGATCACTACAATTTTATTTTCGAGTTCGAAATTTTCCCTCCGTTTACGAAATCATAAAAAAATCATGTGTCCAAAGTATGAATGTTTGCAAAATACATAATGTACCTTCTTGCCATTTCTGCAATGCTTTCATGTTTTTCTTTATATAGCACTTTATAGCCTTCCAGGAAAGATAAATATGACTTAGGGGTGACATGAGTCTGCCTCCTAAAGCGATCATAATACTGTACACAAGTATCTGCTACATTATCCTGTACTATTCCCATTATTTCAATTAAATGTTGTTTCGTGTCTGGCGAACACACTACCTAAAAGTATAATGTTTTGTCATTAGATGCAATGCGCTGTTCGTATGTTTATTTTTAACTAGCTTTTTGCCTTCGGCTTCGCTTAAGCTTTTTTTAAGGTCGGAAGCAGATTTACGAAAAAAAAAGATTTTGTTGTTGGTCACAAATAGTCCGTATACCATGAAAATTTCGGGGTGTACCATAGAAAATTCCACCAGGGAAGTAGGAAATTGGAAAGAGATAAAAAGCAGCCTATGTATCCCTTTAACTATCTTCATTTAAAAAGTCACGTCAATTTGCTGTGAAAATGGACAATTAAACCGACTCAAACACATACTTTTGGATTATATCAGTATGGATATAACTAAGAGATTGCTAAAACGAACCGCGAATTCCCATAAAAAGTGATGTGCTACTTCTATGAGTGCTTCTTTAGGCCACTTCTGGAACCAGTCCATTGTAGATCCAGATATAAGACCTGGGAACTTCAGAGCTCGGTTTCTGAACTTTTCACCGACCTAATCATTGTAATAAAATAAACATAGTATTAGTTCATAGTTTCAGTAATGGAGAACATATTCAGTAAAAACTAAAATGTTCTTAAAAGAATAAACCTATAACGTAGCAACTTATAAAATTGTTGTTCGAGATATCGATATCTAGGTATGTATATACCTAAATTGGTTTCCCTGGGAACGAAAATTTATTCAGAAAGGAAATCAAATAGTCTACAAAAGCTACAACTTACAGGTGAAAAGCACAGGACAACATGAAGATTTGCTCTGGAGCGTATAATAAAGTATTCATACAATACGTCTGGAACTGGAATTCTTTTTGGCGCATATTTCTTCATTATAGGTGTCAACTCATTCATAATCTCATCTGTTTTAAAACGTAGTTATGTAATTAATACAATCCCGGAAAATACTACAATCGTAATTTAAACTAAATCTAAACTTACCCATTTCTTCCTTAGGAAAGAGGTTCGCAATTTCTCCCGAGCTCAGATATTATTGAGAAACTCTAAGAACTGCTCATCTTTGATGTCGTTGTCAGTAAATATGAAGGAGATGCCGCGTCCCTGCAGACCGGCTACGCGGTACAACACTTTTATGTCGTCCATAAAGTTGTTCACATTGTAAGATCTGAAAATAGGGTAGGAGTAATAAAATGTACCTATAGTTTCCTTCTAATAATATGGCCTTCTTCCTATTGCTATGGCCTGAATTTATATTCCACAATCGGCCTTTTTTAAGGGGGGAAAATCATCAGTGTCAGACTCTTACTGACTAAAAACCACCCCGTTCCTTCTCCTGCACTTGGAGCCGGATCCCCGGTAACCCGTTAGGTTCTCCGACTCCACAATCGGCCTATCTTGAAATTATCCTTAAATGCTACAGACTATAAAATTGGAATCTAGCATGCTACCTACCCCGTGAAACTTGATATTGCTTTTTTGTTAAAGCAGAGATATTTCTTTTACCTGGTCAAAGTTATTTGATAGAACGAAAAATTGGCTATGAACGAGGCCAACTTCGTTAAGCTTTGTTTCCCAGAACCTCCCACGCCTACCAGCAAAGCATTGCCTCTGTAAAAAAAAATTTCGCATTAGACAGTGACAAGTTATAGAAAATGTGCACGATAATATGGTTTGTAGATAATATAAAAAAATATTTATCAGGTGACTCACCGTGGAGTATTAATGATGCGTGATATATAAAGAGATGAACCATCGCATCGTGAAAGAACACCAAGTCCAGGTGCGCTCCTCTGATCTGTTCGTTGAACAGGTCTTGGAAGCCACGAGCTTGTTCAACACGAATTCCCAACTGTAAATGTCACGTCAAAATAATGTAACGTATCACAATTTTTTCTGTTTCTACTACTTCTTCTCCAGTAAATCTTGTAATTTACGATAATTGTTCATTTTGATTATTATAAGTATATAATAGTGGTATTAATACATATATTTTGTTCGATTTCAAGATTTGTATTTAGTAATATTGTGATATTTGGATAGTGTTATAAACATAATAGATCACCATTATTGAATTTTATATTAATCATGCAGTTGTGGAAAAAATACTAACGATGGTAATTCTTCATATATTTTGGGTGCATCGGTACTGAAGTCTTCATCCTCATCTCCAGTTGGGTCAACTGGTTCACGTAAGAAATTAACAAAGAAAGTTTCTTGTTCTGGGAACTCAGAAATATTCTGGCAGCTCTTGTGCAGCTGTTTTCCAGAAATTCACCACAAACCAGTCTTTATCATCAAATGTAGTAAATCTTAAAGCAAAAATACCTTTCATAGTACTCACATAGCAATAGGACTTAGGTACATACAGGACACGCATGAATATTATTGGCAAACAAGCTGAGACGGAACTGCTGTGGTAAGCAATCAGTACCGCCCATGATCACCCGATACACCAAAGAATGTGAATACATGAAAGAAGAATGGGTCAGGAATTTGAGGATAGGGGATTTGAGGATTGGGGAGGAGGAAATCAGGCTACGGTAACCTCACAGGCGAAACACTACTCAAGTTATAGTAATTAGTATTTTCTCACCTGTCTGATATCACTCTTAAGCATTCGTGAAACCAAAGTTTGAGGGCTGTATTAACAGATTGGAGCTCTTCTCTTTTTATATAAAGTATTCCTTCCCAAATACGAGACAGATCTCTAAGATTAAACACATAATGGAACTTCGCAGGAGTTGGCAGCATTTTAATCTGAAAAATATGTGTTAGGAAAAAATAAGAACCTATAGGTCAACTTATAGGCAATTAGTTTTCCTACCAAATAATACTACTAGCTAATACTTTTGTGATATATAAAATGCCACTTACCTTGGTTTGCTGCCACATGATACGCGTCACTGGAACTAGTTTAGGCATAAACTCTATAATCTTCTTGTCATAACGAGATTTACAAAAGTGTCCTGTACTAATTGTTTCTGCAATTTCACATTCATACTTTTAATATATTACTAATATAACAATATATTTCGTTATGCCCAATTCTGAAACGCTACACAATTTTCAGTCATAAGTGCAGTTACATTACAAAATGACACTTGAAAAATGTCAGAAATGGCACGGTATTTAAGCACAACTTAAAATTGAGTCGCCTTTCAGTGTTCGGGTGTTAAATAAATAAATAAATAACTATATACCAAAATTCTGTCCATTGAAGTAATACTTGGTAGAGTACAGTTGAATATATTAAACTGTCTCTTCAAACGGGGAGGGATGTCATTACGACCGCCACCTGTAATAGTAAATTTAAGTTTTTAAACATTGATACTAAATACTGGACTGCACGGTTGGTGCGGTGGCTGGGCAACCGGCTGCCGTGCAACGTGTCGCGGGTTCGATTCCCGCACGGAACAACACTTTGTGTGATCCACAAATTGTTGTTTCGGGTCTGGGTGTCATTGTGTATGTGAACTTGTATGTTTGTAAACGCACCCATGACACAGGAGAAAATCCTAGTGTGGGGCAACGTTTTTTTTAAAAAAGAAAAAAAGAAAAAAAAAGAAAATAACGTGCCTTAATACATTCACTTATGAATAAAATAATTTTTAGACTAAAGATTTTTACCTGGATGTATACTAGCACCAAACATTTGAATATCAGCAATAGTAATAAAGTCTCCGGGTTTGTCTAGCGAGTAGAAGCCACCGCATTCCATCATTTGTCGAACTATTTCATTGGTTACCTACAAGCGTAAAGCGCAAATAAAATATAATTTCATTTTTGTTTTCATTAAACATGTGCAAATGGCATTTATACGTAGGTATTAGGTATGACATAATTATAATCAGCGTTTTGACATTTTGCATGTTTAATTTTATAAGCATTACGACAAAAGAGAATACTGGGCGTACTGAACGGTAAGTATTCGTACCTGATCACCCCACTCATTGACCACGGGCATATTTATGTCGTCTACAAACACCGTCATAGCGCGGCCACCCGGGGGCCCGTATGTCATACCCACTCTCTTCTCCACGTACGATTCAATTATTCTCTGTAAGTAGAAATTACCATTTTTTAAGCACACATTACATGGGACTCATAACACAAATAGTGAAAAGTGGGTGTTACCTCTGTATGCACCTCTGCCTACATCTTCGGGGATAAAAGGCGCGATATTATGTTATGTTATGTTTAAGCACACAGAGAGTATAAAAGGATAAAATAAACAAAACAGTCATTACAGTATAGCTGGGATAGCATCGAGTTATTACAGTTAATATGTATAATGGTACGATATAATAAACAAACATTACTTTACACGTGTTGAACAACCCACTACAATCTACATTTTTTTATTTGTTTTTTATTATAAAATAGTGAATAATGCCAGCTTCAGTGATTGGAGTAACTAAATTTACCTTTTAATACTAATTTTTATTCTAAATACTCACTTGGAACATATTAGGAGTGGTAGCAGACGAAAAGTTTACTATTTTAAATAATTTCACTTCGTTGTCGTATTGCATCATATAACTTTTTAACATAACAGTTTTAGCAGTTCCTTGTTCACCAATCAAGAGTACTGCTTTATTTTGAGAGGCGATAATGTCAATCAAAAACGTAATGCAAACATTGTCGATATTCGGTACCAAGATCGAAGCGTATTCTGGTATATGGTCAGGCGGATACATATAATTCTCCACACTCTCAGACCTGGCCAAACACAAATACATTTGAACTATTTATAGTTACACCTTCATTTAACATTTACATGAGTCCTGATATTTGAGCTGACTGTACACTCTCAAACGAAGCAACCACGATAAAAAGAAGACTTGTAAACTTTCATTCATTTTTTTATAAAATTTAACTAAAACGAAAATCAAACGACAATTATTTTTGTTTAGTCGAAATGACATTAAACGTCCGAAAATAATCTGTCATAAAATTGAAATTAATGAATTTTCATTCGTGTGGAATGTGCAATTAGAGTAGGGTTCCGAAATTTTAAACGTCAAACAGTACCTCTACATCTCATACTAATTTCTGCTTATTTCATTCCTTTTTGGTTCGTAATAAATGGCATTGTGGTAGGAAATCTGCGAAGTTTCGGAAGAAAAGTTTCGTCGAATCAGAGTAGACCTACAGTATCTTCACTAACCAGTGCTCCCAAACTCCAGTGTGAGTGACATTGTACTCGAAGGGCATCACCCATTCCTTTGATTTGGCTCCTGGCCAATCCATTTTCACTGGAAGTTTAGTCATAAATTCTGCCATGCGTGTGCGCATATCTAACTCCAGCACTGCTCCTAAAGACCACATCATCGCAAAGATGAACAATCGCTCAAGATGACGGTCTGTGTGAACCTCTGAAAATAAATGACAACATTTCATTCTACTCGAATAAACATTTTAAGAATAAGTACATAACAGGAAGAATAAGTTACCGTGCATTTATCTAAATGGAATGTAATGGTAATGTTGGGCCCACCTCTCAAAAGGAAAAAGATACCCCTGTATTCTTATGCAGAATAAAACTTAGTATTACAATTAAGGACAAAAGTCAGTGTTTTCGGAGTCATAGTACCTAAGAACATGGCTAAGAAAATGTTCCTGAACCTAACAAATAATTTATCATAGCTCACTTAATTGCCACCCATACAAAAACCAACCTCGGCAGCTTAGCGTAGCTTAACACACATACACATATATATATAACGCCCTCCTTCTCATGCCTAAGGATACACATAACATAACATAACACAACATCACGCCTTTTATCCTCGAAGGGGTAGGCAGAGGTGCACATTACACCACTGTACAATGTAACACCCACTTTTCACTATTTATGTTATGAGTCCCATGTAATAGGGGGTGAGCCTATTGCCATATCCCGGGCACAGTTCCAGACTCCGTGCTACTACTGAGATTTTTTTAAAAACCCAGTAATACTTTGCCCGACCCGGGAATCGAACCTAAGCCTAAGGATACGGGTTCGAAACCTGGCAAGTGCCAATGTGACTCAAGATATTTAGGCATCAGAGACATACGGTGAAGGAAAATATCGTAAGGAAATCTGGACTTATAAATTCTAGTTATAAGTTTGATTAATTTAATAATTTCTAGTCTAAAATCCAAGCCGCCTTGAGCAAGCGTGGTAAGTAATGTTCTCTATGTGAGCAGAGGTCTTTGCTCAGCAGTGGGCAGGTATAGACAGTCGATGATGATGATGATAATGATGGACAGAGAAAAAACAAGACTACTTACTGCCAGGAGGAAGTTCAATTCGGAGTAAACCTGTCAGCACGTCTATACATTGTCTAAAATCAAATTATAAAATCCTTTAATAATAACTATCGTAAGACATACTAAATTAACTAAAAATCGCAGGTTACTCACGTGCAAAGTAGGCTGCGTGATATCGCTGCACGCTGGTCATGAGGAAGAACCCCTCTGTGATTCGAAACTAGTAGAGCTTTTCTTAGTATTTTCACGTGAGTAGCCCACGATTTTTAGTTAAAATATTTTAAGTAGATAATATCTGTATTCGACCGTAAATTTGCCAGTAGATACAATAATAAAATAAAATAAAATCGTTAATCACTAATAATGTCCTATACCAACAGACTATAGTCAACAGACTATAGTAATTAATGACCGACAATAAAACTCCCATCATGTAAGTTATGCACACGTACCTGATATAGATAGCTTCCAGAAGTTTCATTTTAGCTACTAATTTCTGCTGTACGTATGAATGCACTTCATCATAGACTTTATTGAACACGCCACGGAAGCAATCAGCCTCTTTTTGAGATCGTTTTCTTAACCAGCCCTTTAAACATGAGACAAAAGTTTTAGTTTTCAGGCTATCTAAGTTCAATAATAATAATAATTTTAAAAATTTGCCCGCAGGGCACCTTGAGGCGAGGTGACGGGCATTAGCGATCCCGCGGGCTACCATCATCCCGAGTGCTCCAGGGAGAAGTCACCGTTCCTTCTTCTCCGGCTTGCCTTAATTGGCTGGCTGGAGTGAAAGATGACAAGGAACAGGTCTCCCACCTCTGGCTTGCCTTCATTGGCCGTCCAGAGTGGAGTCGCGAGAGCAGTGATCCTGCTCGGAGGGTAAGAAACTATTCGTAAGTCGCGAGTGGGCCAGGGATGCAGGAGGCTTCGGCTGGAGCAGATGATCTGAGTAGAAAGCGGTGATAGTTTCTTAACCCTTCAGCCACTCACATTCTCGTTGCCCCTCTGTTGCTATATCTAGCAACCATTTCCGGGGCCCGGTCGGTGAGTTGGCGAGTCTCCGCCTGCCATTTTTACGTGTAAAAATTACATTGTTTCGGCAGGTGCCATAGTCATCCATAGTTCCCAATTTACCAGTCCACAGCAACCCATCCATAGCCCTACCTTTTTTTTTCCATTATTCACAATAGTCCTACACTAACCGGGGACTGTCCTTGGGTGCATTTCCATAGTGCATACAGGGATAGTCGCCGGTTTGTGTGTCCATTACATTTAGATTAAAGTTGTCTAAAGGGCCTCTGCGCAGTTGGCTTCGGCCCCTCGTACGCCTCCCAAATGACCGGGACCCTGTGGTCCCGTGAATGGTAAAGACATACATAATTTTAAAAATTTCATAAAATTTTACCTCTAGAATAGGCTGCCATTTAAGCACCGAAGAAGATAAGAACACCATGCCCATCCGACTGACAGTAGCAGGCGATGCGTTGTCCACGTTGTCTGGTTCAAACACCAGCTTGCTGTTCTGTGCCATAGTAATGCGGTCCCCGTTGGCTAAAGTCAACGTCTTGTTGTCATCGAGCACGGAATTCAAATTCTCAATCCACACAGCGTCCACCGGACCATCTAACAGAGTAAAATATTTAAAGAAACTCCCGTCGTCAGTTGTTTTTCTTTAGCATTAATAATAAGCTTGTACCTAAAACAATCCACGTTGTATCACTTTTCTTCACCTTCAGAGCTCTTCGCCACAAAGTGGAAAAGATACCATCAGTCCAATCATTTGTAGCTACGTCTAGACGTCCAAACATCTGAGGTGCTGTTATTGCCTGGAAATATTCATATCATAATGTTTACGTAATAAAAGATAGTGGGTATTTTTGTTACAATTAATGTAATTAATGAATTAAGTCATTAATAAATACCTTGGGATTCATTCTCATTTCCCTGTGAGGTTTACCAACTTCGGTGAGAGCCGCCATAAGTGTGTGTATACAAGTAGTCTTCCCCGAACCTGTCGGGCCCATTGTCATTAGGCCATGTCTCACTAGCGACGTTTCGAACAACTGTATGATTTTTAAATTCCAATCTGGATGATTGACGAGACCTGTGCGTTCTGTCACAATGAGGATAGCTCGTTGCATTTCCCTAAATAAAATAAAATTTAAATCCGTTTATATTCATTAGGTTAAAATTTTTAGTTAAATAGTGGCTACAAAAAGTTATTAAGTAATTTATCATACCTTTGAACAGTTTGTGTGAGTTTCATACCAGGGAACAAATCTTCGATCAATGAAATAAATAAAGGTTCATCCTCGTCTACTAATTTAGACACGTTCATTTCCCTGAAAAACGGTTCTTACGTTAAATATATCTAAGAGATTTATGTGCAAATTCTAAATACATATCAGTAGTCACTTACTTCAACACTCTCATCATGATGTTCTCCTCTGTGCTATCTGGATTCGCTCGTTTCTGCGCGCCCATAGTTCGCAACACGGACAGAATGTTCCGCAACCCGAAGTCGTAGTGCACCTGCTTCGACAACTGCTCCTCGCACAATTTGTATAATGTAAAGAACTTACGAGCTGTAATGTTATTAATCTGTCAAACACCAAGCGGTCACCGGTGACCGCGACCTATTGTTCTTTAATTGTGTCTATAAAACCGGTACTCGACGAGTTAATAGAGTTGACACCAATTAGGTATTTACCGATGCGTTATTGTGGAATAATAATAATAATTTCAATTTAGTGCTTACCTAAGACAATGTTATCCTTAAAACCACAACTGGCTAACTTGACTCTGATAATAATTTGCCTGTCTGGAACCATCATTGCGACCCAACGGAACTGGATCTTCAAGTTTTCTGGTAGCTCTTGACGTCCAGCGTAACCCGGATTCATAGTAATTATGAAAGCGAATTCGGGGTTTAAGCTCACTGTATCACCGTCACTGTGTACATAGGCGCATAAATGCTTCGGTCAAAATGTTGTACTCACTTACAGATGTATGATATTAATCCTATGATACTAATGTAGATTTTTTACCTGAAAATGAAGAATTCCTTTTTCTCTTTCCTGGCTGTGAGACAAATGTATATCTGCTGCGCAGCCACGGACAGTACAGGTAATTCGATTCGATTGAATTCGTCGAAGCAGCCCCATGTGCCTGACTGAGCCAAGCCTTTGTAAATGCGGCCCAAACCTGACCACCAACGTTGATCAAAATAATTATTATATTTCTACGTAATATATGCCTATCGAATATATTTTTAAGTAAATATAAAAAGGTCACCTCGGAAGTCCATCTGATCGGAGCAGTTAAAGACGATGACAAGCTTGCCCAGTGTGCGGCCCATGTCTTTGGTTGTCTCTGTTTTGCCAGTGCCAGCTGGCCCGGCAGGCGCTCCTCCCTGGCTCATGCCGATAGCCTGCGATAGCGTAATATAGCACTGATCTGTCAGTGGCGTGATTACAAGTCGCTCCGTTATGCCCAGGTATTCATTCTGCGAACAGTTTTGAATATTTTTGTTAAAAAGTTTTAATTAATTTCGAGGATAATGATTTATAAACTTTGAACACAGGACACTGGAAGGATAATTGCATATTATAGACGCGTTACTATAAATTGAATACCTGATATATAAAATCGACATCTGTAATAGAAATCAAACAGTCGTCGCTATCCTCAAAGTAATAGAAACGGGCTTGCTTTTGCCATTCGAAATCTCCGGGTGTCTTTATTCTCAATCGGACTAGATCATCAAATATGTCTCTGTAAGATAATATACAATATTTTTTATTAAAAGATTTAATGGAAATATAAAGACCACAATGTTAATATAATATCTCGAGAATTTCAATACTGCGAGTTCAATACAATAACGCATTCAGGGTGCTGGTGGGGCTGCCGCGGTACTGCAGTGCCTCTGGCATGTTCGCAGAGGCAGGCGTTGATGGTTTTCAGGCCATCATACGAAAACGTTGTGCCTCAATTATGCATAGGATGCGTGTCAGCCCCAATAGCATCCTGAAGACTATAGCAGACAAATGGGACAGCCCTATACTGGGGCATTGGATACGCCTGCATGCTATTGTGGCGTAAGTCATGTTTTAATTGTAACTGGTAATTTTAAGTACTAAAACTAGTTTTATAAGTTGTTTGTTTACTAACCAAATGGATTTAAGTTGTCCGAAATAAATGAATAAATTAAATTAAATTAAATTAAATACTGTACAAATATCTACATTTTTATGCATGTAACTTGAAACCATACCTTTGATGTACGTGGATAGTGATCATAGTCTCTATTTGCGTTCTGTCAAGTGGGATCAGATCTTTAACAGTTTGATCAATAAGACCATTCAATAAATCGAGATTCTTTTGATTGGTGATTCTCATGATGTAACGATCTGCTTTGGCTTTCTTTAAAGCATACTCCGCATCACTAGTCCATAATATTTGCATTCCCAATAAACCTGCCTGGATAGTAATATTTGAATTTACATGTAGCTTAACTTTTGGAGTGTCTTATGTATACTGTGTATATAAACCAGCTAAGTAGATAATGGATTACCTGGCCAGGAAAATTCCAAAAGCCGGACAAAAATTCAAACTCTGGATCGCCCGACATTGTTTGTGCAATGTTGGCAATTATGTTTTTCACAGTATTTTTCATTGTATCGAGAAGGACATTCAACCATATCTGTAGATATATAGTTCTTATAATTTCATATAAATCACCCTGTATGTAACTGTAGTAATTAATCCTGTAATTAGCGGGGGTGCTAGTCCATCGATATAGAACCCAAAACATGGTTAGTTTTTTTTTGTCCATCTATCTGTGTTTGTACATGCATCTCGATTCGAATGCGGTTTTCACAGATGTATTTGTCTTCTTTCTACTTAACATCTAATGTGTAATTCGAAATAAAAATGCAGGTTAATAACTTAGACACATTTCGATGGGCGAAGCCGCTAGCAGAAGTTAACATCACATAGCATCACGCCGTTTACCTCCAAAGGGTAGGCAGATGCTGCACATTATGCTACTTTAACATTTAACACTCGCTTTTCACTATTTATATTATGAGAACCTTGTACTGGGCACAATTCCAGACTCCGTGCTACTACTGATAATTTTTAAAAAACCCAGTAATACTTTGCCCTACCCGGGAATCAAACCCGAGACCCCTGGCCCGGCAGTTACACGTGCGACCACTCGGCCAACAAGGCAGTCAGAAGTTAGTATATTATAATAATTATGTATAAGCATATGTTACTGTATGCTACAAACAACTACACTAGTAATTGCTGTTTACCTCCACTCCTCCAAGGCACGCCACCGGCATTTCGAGCGGTATACGTTCGCCATTACTTGAGTTCATATGGGTAATCCTGTCTTTTTCATCGAAATCGACAGTATATACTGCGTCGAAAATACTCGGCAGATGTGGCTAGAATTAATAAAAAATATTTTAGTAAATTAATAGGATAATAAAAATATTGCAGTTTACTCACAGTTATATTTAAAAAGGTCTATATCTTAGCTTTCATTAAAACTTTGAACTTATTCTTTTATTTAACATTTAATAATTATGAGATTAGGACAAAGAAGATTCTAATAATTAAGTATCTTACTTGTATAGAATGAGGGTCTGAAGCCTGTCCAAGAATTTCAAGCAGCACTGGATCTGATACGAAGAAGAACCTGGGGAAGATAAGCCGCTTGGTCTCCAGGTAGCCCGTGAGCGACTTCTGGCAAGCCTCCAGCTGCTCGTAGAGGTGCGGCAGCAGCTGCTTCAGCGTGTCGTCCGAGGTGCACGTCTCCACACAGTTCACTATGTCTCGCGCGCGATACATTATTTTCACATAAGTCTTATCGATACCCTGGTAAAATAATAATGCGTTGGGGTCAAATTCTTTATCTACTACGTGGTTCTAGACAGTTACACAAGAATCATGCAACCTTTAATGTACTGTTAAAATGTAACAATAGCGTTTACTAACTAGACCTCTAACACTAGACCACCCTAATTACTAGACACTGTAATTGATAGTACATACAAGTTACATACCCCAAATCGCTTAGCCTCTGCCGGCAGCTGCTTGGCAATATCTCCGCCAACAAATACCGCTTCTAGATACATCCATAAATTCTGGACTTGAAGCCATTTCTCCAAGATCTCACTGGTACTCACCAGTTTATTTATCCATAACAATATATCTCTCTTAAATGGAGCGTTATATCTAAAAAGTTTATATATACGATGTATGTGTTTAAAAAAAGAAATGCATTTATTTCGGTAACGTTAACTACGTTAAACAGTTGCTTGACCCGTTTGTTTGTTTAGGTTAAACGTAATTGGAATATTACCCCCTTCCTGATGACATATCGATCTGATATTTAGTACACACTTTTAATATTCATGACCATACAATATTATAAACTAAGTACTTTTTTAAAAACTACCTGTATCACGGATATCAAGCGAAAGGGCTTCATTGGAAAAATAGAGTTTATTAAAAACGGTTAGAAAATAATATTTATATGCTTTACCTACTTGTTTTTAATATAAGTGTTAACTTTGATTATTAACTATTTGTATCAAAGATAGGCCATATAAATTTAAAAACCAAGGAAGAGTAGATTGGTTAGCCTTTGCCTTCATTGGGACTATTCCAACTTGTCCTCGATACCCGACGTTTGTTTCTCCCAATAAATCCGTTAAATGAAATTATAATAGCAATTATAAGAGCATTAAACACCACTATTTGTTATGTAAATACTTAGACTTTCTTAAAACATTTGTTACCTATTAGAAGCTAATGAATTGAGGATCATTAAGGAGTCTTCAAGTAGAGTGATGATTTCCAGAGTTTCCGCAGGTCTAATTAATAGTTCGCCTCTGTTCTTGAAATTAGCGAATGATAAATCAACCAGCGCCCAATCTGCGGTTACTTGTTTCAATTTAGCTTCTATGTCCTTCTCTTTAACCGCACTTATACATATGTCCTTAAAACAAATGAAAATTTAACCATAAAACTAAACTCCATAAAAGGTTTATTTAGATTATTTCACATTCTGACTGATTATTTATTTGTATAACACATGCATCATTTGATAAGGTACCTAGTACAAAGTTTAATAAAATATTTAATTAATAAAGGCTACTAACTTCAACATCCTCCTTATACTTCAAAAGAGGCGCCTCCATGACGTTTGCAAGAGTAAAAGCCTCAGATTCCACATCCAACACACAGTCTGAAATACACTCTCATATTGAACGTAGGTGTTCCAAAAATGACTCAAGTTGTTTACAAAGAACTAAAGTGTTTACTAACTCATAAGTTTTTCCAATCTCCTCCAGTGTCGATCTTTCATAGACTTGTCGGCCATTAATTCCAATAAAGGACAAGTTTGATTAAAATCATCAATTTTGTTCTTTAGATCAATAAATGCTGGCCAATCCTTCATAGCTCGCGGTAATTTTCGGCATCTATATGCAAAGTAGAATATACAGAAATGATGAGAGCAAAGTACAGCCAAATTCCGTGTCCCGGGTGACTATGGGCGGCCCGATTGCTTATCATCAGTAACCCATCTGCTCGTATACCGGCTTATCCCATGCCTACCCAGTTTGGAGCTTAAGGACAAAAATAAAGGCTGTCTTTGTTATTATTTTAATCTATTATGCAACATGGCATCTTTTATGACATCAATAATTTTACTTGACATTAACAACTTTACCTGACATCAAACTCGGCCAATTGTGTGACAATCTGTTCAATCTGTATATCCACCCAGGGTGTTTCGAAATAGCCATCGATGGAGTTCATTACAGCCAAATACAAGCTATACCTGTTTACAAAAAAATTAAAAAAAAATTAAACACATAGAACAATAATCAAAAAGTCGATTAACCAGTACTTCGACCATACAACTTACAATTTGCTCAACAGATTGAATTCTTTCTTCTTTTGATGTAATATCGGATAGTCTTTCACTTCCATACCAAATAATTTTTCGCCGCTGGAGTACATTTCAAATCTCCTCCAAAGTTCGTCGAATCGTGATTGGAACATGATTACCCTGTAATAACATTTTATAATTTACTGTAACCCCCTACCTGCAATTTTATTTTATTTCAAGGCATGACTATAACACAAAAAACGGTGACTTTTTCTTAATTTTTATTTTTTTTAATCCCCGGGCCCTCGTATTTTCTAGTGGGTGCGTTCACAAACATACAAGATCATATAAACATGACACTCAGACCCGGAACAACAATTTGTAATTACCCCAAAGAGTTGCTCCGTTCCAATTCATCCGTTACAATCGAACCCGCGACATGTTACGCGACAGCCAGCCACCGCACCAACCATGCCGGCAATTTTGATCACAAACTTGTTACACTTGTTATAGGAAAATTACATTGCGCAATAAACAGGACAGGCCTACCCGTATCCGCAGTGTATCGTAAGAGTCGACTAAAGGAGTACATTTAACAGACACTGATTTTAAGTGCTAGAACTTACCTGTCACTAGCCTCTCTGGCTGTTAGACCTGGAGTCAAGGGTCCGAACTGGTCGAAATCAGCGTCAAACTTAAGGACGTCCTCTAAGAACGTGGCGACTCCTTCGGTTAATTCACTTTGCAGTGGACCTTGCATGTCTACTATCTTTTGTTGTACTTGCTGGGACTAAGAGAATTATAAAAAGCATCAAAGTACTTCTAAATTATCTAATCGCTTGTATTACCTACATTTTATGACGTAGAAGAAGAAAAAGCAACATTATATGAGGGTTTGTAAATAGACACGAAATATTCTAAAACCAAAAAATAGGAAAACGTCAGTTCTCGTAAATAGTAAAAATTGGTCACACATACAGTCAATAGCATGTTCTGGAAAGCATAGCGTAATCCATACACCATGTCCGCATCCTCTTTAGGAACATCGATACTGAACTGATTAAACGTAGCGTAGCTTTCTTCAATCAGGTCGAGTTCCATGTCCATGCTAAATAGTTTTTTTATCATAAGTTATTATTTACAAATTTGTGCCCGCGAATCCCTGTGCCAAATTTCATCCCAATAATTTTAGCCAACACACACACACCTACACACATGCACATAAGCACACAAACTTTTATAACATTAGCAAAATCAGGTGTCGGTGTTATAAAGACTATAAACTCAAAGTCAAAGTCAAAGCATTTATTTCAATTAAATCATAATTTGGTACTTATGAACGTCAAAAAACAAGAACACAAGACCGTTGCGTCACTCAGTGGTGTTCTTTCCAAAATGTTGATTCGAATGGAGAAGAAAGAGCAAGAACGAGTAACTTGAAATAGTGCAAGAGCCAATTGACTAAAAGAAAAGTAGATAAGTATTATAGTAATATTGAAAAAATATTACTCGTACCTTATAAATTCTTCTCTAATAAGCTCAAGGCACAACATAGCCACTCTGACGTCATCTAGATCCTTAATCCTCTTATTCATTGTCTTCATGCGGTCGTTAATAAATTGTTGCAACTTGATTACTCTCTCTTTATAAGCCTGACAGAGTAGTTTCCCGAGGATCCTCTTCCATTCAATTGATTCCAAATGTAAGGCCAGTTTTATGTCATCTTCAAGAAAATAAGTTAAATTATTTTTCTTGTTTAGTATTGTCAATTTCAAATTACTATCTTTCCTTCGCACAACAGCAATCAACTTATTTTCATAGCAAAAACAAAGACAAATTAAAAAAGCTTTTATAAGTTAACCAAAAAGTAAACAAATACCCATATTAATTTGAATAGAACCAATTATGTGCCGTTGGGGTAAACCCAGTACTTCCTCAGTTTGTCCTTCATATTTGTGCAACATGTCCTTGACTATTATATTCATGGGATTTGTATCCACAAAATCTTGTACTTGCTGAACTCTATCTTCCGCCCATAAATGGGAGAATCTTCCATAGCTCTATAAAAATTACAATTACAACATCACTAGTTTCGTTTTTTAGATAACAAAAAGATATGAAATGATGTCACCCTTTTTTTGAGGGGGGAAAATCATCCAATGACTTCTCCCGCCCGGGTGAATCCAGAGAGAGTGTCAGACTCTTACTGACTAAAACCCACTCCGTTCCTACTCCTGTTCTTCGAGCCGGAGCCCCGGCAACCCGTTAAGTCTGCCGCGGCTCCGTAATAAGATTTCACCCTATATATACGTAAATGTAACCTTAACTAGCGTCTGCTAGATGCTCCGTCAGCTTCCAGTAGGATAAAAAGTAGCCTATGTGTTATTCTAGACCATGATCTACTCCTGTTCCAAATTTCATCCCGTTCCCTTCAGCCGTTTTGAAGTAAAAGAGTAACAAACACGAGCACCCTCACAGACTTTCACAGTCATAGTTGGATTATTGAGTACCAAGCCACCCAAGGTCTCAGTCAAGATCTCAAACATATACAAGAACTCGTAATTGGTTCTACTGTTTAGGAAAGTTCAAAGATAAGTACAAAGGGAATCAATTTCAAAGAAGATATACCTTCAATAACTTTTCTATGTCTGGTTTGTACATGAACATCATTCCTTGCAGCGCCATCACCGACCTGACGATATCCTTGTGCTCTGATACCATTCGGAAATAACTTCGGATTCCGCTTACATTGGACCCCGACCGAGATCCTATAAATAATAAATGCAAAATGCTGAGAATACAACAATCTGGCTCAAAAATAAATGCTACTGGTTCGTTAAAAACTTTTAATTATTTAATGTTACATTCATCAATACACAATTAATGGATAACGGTATGAGTTACATAATGATTTACATCATTAACTAACGTTATTAATTTTATAAATAAAACCCAGTAATACTTTGCCCAACCCGGGCATACATATTTATTTATTATTTTTAAAAAACTCAGGCATCGAAAACCTGGCCAGTCGCATTTGCTACCACTCGGCCAATGAGGCACTTTTGTTGATCCCTAATAAACTAAATAAAAATATAAAATCATCAATCACCTATATTTACATTTACCGCGTACTAAGTATTTAACAAAATATATGAAGGTATTTTACCTGTTGTGCTTCGTGCAACTGTTAACGACACCCCGGCCATCCGTTCCTTCTTTATTTGTTCTTGTTGTCCCCACGTAAATACGTACCGATGGACATCCATTACACAATTCAATACCACCTGACAACAAACAAGAGTGTTGAAATCAAATAAATAATATTATATTATGATCATATTTACAATATATTGTTAACTATACCTGTGAAAATGACGTCTGTATCTCCTCCAAAGTAGGTTTTATCGATATCTTTGGTATTTGTAAGTACATATTGGTCATCATTAGCGGTTTCAATTTTTTCTGTTCTTCGGGATCAATAGTCATTGTCAGAAAACTGTGTAAGAGTATAAAGTTAAAATATTTCCGGCAAATAATACCGAAATGTGACTTATAAAAAATAACAATGAGAATTTTTTTTAGCATCTGTTGCTGAAATAGGTCTTAGTTTGTGCTTCAGCACACAGCGCTTTTATCCTTGGAGCAGGTTTGGATATACCAATAAACGTAACAAATAACAAAATACTTGATTTACGATATTGAAGCCTATTTCTAAAAACTAAAATGTGTCCTTTGTGACGTGTCGAAAGATTTTAACATGAACAATAATTATTACACTGAACAATAAGTTACAGTTGCAATTACGACGCATCTACGCCGTAGAGGCCGTAGCTATATTTGAATGCTACGCCGGGCTGCGCCGTAGCCACTTAGTTGCTACATCAAACGTCATACGCTACTAAAAATCTAAAATTGAACTATTTAAGGTGCATTTCATACCTAAATAATACTTCATTTGCTAATTAATTACCTCGATACAGAAGCTCTTCGTCTTAGCAAGTCGAGACTTTGTCGCGTGCATTTAATTAATGCTTCAACACATTTTGTAGCAAAATATGCAAACAGTTCATTGCATTCGTTGATCGTGTGGTTTACATCGTAACGATCTGGGTTTTCAATCTCATTGAACACTGAAATAAATAACATAAACTACATAGTTGCGTTAAATCCTACTGTGACATTGCTAGGACCTTAAAAGCTTTGTAATAGTGTGTTTGAGGGACCACACGTGTGTGTTTGAGGGTCTTTTTTAATTAAATTCATAGTATGTCATCAATAGTTTTATAATAAATTACAATTAAAAAATGCCGTACCTGTATCCTCCGTGCTTACCCTTGTCGCTGATGTCACTTGTTTTAATGCTTTTTCTAAGTCCAACCTAGATATTGAAATCGTGTTTAATATTAGTTCATGTATTTTGTTACTTATCGAATATTATGAACTATAGATTCATCATGATAGCTAAATAAGACTAACTACTACGTTAGTTCCTTATTATACACAGACCATTTATTTTTCAAATCTCTTATTTGCTTAGAAGGTACACTGTCCAGAAACTTGTGTACGAGTTCGATAACTGCTACTTCTGCATTCCATGACTTTTGTTGAATCTCCAAAGCTAACAAAAATGCAAATTTTTACTTTAATCAGTAATCTTATCCTTACTAATCCTTACTAATATTATAAATCTGAAAGTGAGTTTGTTTGTTTGTTCCACTTTCACGCCGTAACTACTAAACCGATAGCTTTGAATTTTTGCAGACGTGAAGTTAAAAGTATGGATTAAATAATAGGATACTTTTTATCCCGGAAATATTTGATATTATCAAGGGAAAACTAAATTATTGGTATAGATGGCGCTGTGTGAATTGGTATATGTCACATAGGCTACTTTTTATCCTTTTATGACGCGAGCGAAGCCGCGGGTAAAAGCTAGTTTATTATAAATTACTAAAGAACTGCGAAAACTACCTAACAATATCTAATATTACTGAAATTGTCATAATTTCTAATAGTTGTTATTGCTATACGTATTTAGTGGTTTCTAGCTGTTGCCCACGACTTCCTAAGCGTTGAATATTAGTTTTAGGCCATAGCTTCTTTTTTTTAATTTTCCGATTAAAATAACCTATATTACTCCTTAGTACATCAGCTACCTGCTAGTATAAGTCCCATCATAATCAGTCCACCCATTTCAGAGATTAGCCGGTACAAACAGACAGACAGGCTAAAATTTTTTGATATTGGTATCATATTCATAATATGCTTGTAGTAAAAAGCGGTAATTTTAATATTACAAACAGACACTCCAATTTTATTTATCTATACATATAAATAGTCACCTATTTCGTCACGTCTCAGAAGATTCTCTTCGTAGAACACTGCAGGATCTACTGCTTCTTCGGGCAAGTAAACGAGCACAGTTGTAGTTATTGATCTTAAAATGGCATCAATTCGTGCCTCTTTCATGTCTACCACCTGTGGTAAAATGCCAGAACTTAAAGTATCATTTAATTAGAGTCGATTTTTCTATCCTCGGTTAATTCTTAACTGAAGTATAACACTGACATACATACATACATATTTTAGTATGGAAGGATTGTCACATATTCAAAGTTATTTCTTGGTTAAAATTATTCTGGCGTTGGAAAAATCGGCCCTTAGTTAATTATAATAATTGTTAATAAAGTAACACCTGGTTTCACAACCGTCTCTATATTTAAAGAGTCACTAATCTAAAATATGTGAAGCTTAAGGACTGTTTTGTTTTCAATAACGAGTAAGACCTACGAGTACATGATGCGTCATTTGACACTAAAGTATGCATTGTGACGCAACTTGGGAAGGGCTACGTGACACCTACGGTCAAAACTACACTAATTCTGTTAAGAGGTGAGTTTAAGAGCTCTCTTACGCTACGAAACTATTAGTTAAAAAATGGTTGGTGACAACGGAAGTCAATTTATTTTTGTGGTACGATAGGAAATTAAGTGATCCATAAAAAAATGAAATTGTTAGAACTAATAGTGGATCGGCCATATTTGTCAGAGAACCGATGGCTGTTGGACTAAACAGACGTGTTCCGCAGTCGAGCTAAAGATCAACGTTCTAATATCTTACGATATTGAAGAAACGCATGTCTAAGAGGTGTACAGATATGAACTGATTGATATAATATTACCTCTTTAACAAATAAATCTACTTCGGTCAGCACTTTCTCTATATGTTCACAATATGCAGGTATTTCTAAGGATGTCCAAGTTATCGTAGAAAATCCGGGTTGGAAAGCATTTTCTAATTTGATAAGTTGTGCACGTAGCAGCGGTTGGTACAGCCTGGGCATGCTCCTGTTGTAAATGATCACATAAAAATTCACTTAAAAGTCGATTTATCACTTCGACGCCTGTTAACAACTTATCTACAAGATATAAGAGTACCTACAGTAACTAACATAATATAGTTAACTCAATTGCGCACCTTCTTATTTGGTTGTTTCTGTCAACCAAATGTTTTACTCTTTCATAGTTTCCGAGGATTTTATCTTTACAAAACGCCACAATTTGAGCCCCGTCCGGAACACCTAAAATTATAATGCATACATGAATATAATTTCATGCATGCTCGTCGGTTAAGGGGATTTTTAATTTGGCCCTTCTATATTATAACGCTAATCTGGGCAGTATAGGGCGCCCTCTTCCGAATACCTCAATCATACCTATGCATCAAAAGATTAATGACTGTTGATCAAGCAAAAGAGGTATGTAGGAATCGTAGCAATTGGCGTTCTATAGTCTTTGCCTACCCGCATGGAAGACAGACGTGAAGTTATATATGTATGAATATAATTATTATTACCTAATATTTTTCACGTACATATGAATATAACTGTCAAACACCGCGAGGACACCGGTGTCCGCCTATTGTTCTTTAATTGTGTCTATAATGACGGTACTCAAAGGGTTAATAGAATGAGTAATCCATACTTAGCCCCAGTTGCCACATGTATTCGACCTCTCTGATACATTCTGGTATGTAGATACTAAAGTTTACTATATACATATTGGTTGTTGGGTGACGGATCAGCAGAGGAGCGATTAAGCCGAGTCGTACCTAAAATATTAACAGAAGTAAATATGTAGAAGTAAAAACCATTAATGCCATCATCTGTGTATTGTAATTCAGATTAATTCTAAAATAAAGTAATATATCCTGGACCATGTTAATTATACCAATACGACTATTGCAAATATTACCTGATCAACATTTTCAGCCCAAGCGTAATGATAAATCAATTCGAATTCGGTGAAAACAATTGTCATGACATTGTATAATTTTATACATCGTTGCGTGTTCTGAAATAATTCCAAATTAGTTTAACCACACATTGACACTAATATTATGAATGTGAAAGTTTCATTGTTTGGGTGTCTGGATGTTTGTCCATCAATCACGCTGAAACTACTGAACGGATTTTGAAGAAATTTGATATACAGGCAGAGTATTTTTTTAAGGGGGCAAAATCATCGAATGACTGCTCCCGCCTGGGTGAGGCGGGAGGGAGTGTCAGACTCTTACTGACTAAAAACCACCCCGTTCCTTCTCCTGCACGTCGAGCCGGAGCCCCGGTTACCCGTTAGGTTCTCCGCGACACAGGTAGAGTATAGGCTGACTTAGGTGATAATATATTTTTCATTTTTTATATTTTTTCATTTCTTTTTATCCTGATTAAATGCTCTCGTGGAATAAAACATCAATATGCGAAGCCGCGGGTAAATGCTAGTTATGAATAAACTGCAATAAATTTTCGTGTAATAAATAATAGGGTTACATACCATATGCGTAATTACTTCATGGTGCTGTTTGAAAACATCCATAGGATAATTAATACTTTTATCATAAAACCTGATCCACATAATCCGTCCAGAAACCGGCGGCATGTTCCTTGGCAACTCAGGGTACTCTCTTTCTTCATTGTATCTATAGAAAATTTGGTAGATTGTATTGTTTTTTTCTTGGAAAACCAGATCTTTATTTAACCTATAGCAAAGGACATTAGAAGTACCTATGTGTGACGAGACAGTTGGTCGAAAACGTTAAATAGAAGTAGAATGAAACCCATTGCAAGTGGAAGAGAATGTGCCCAAAGACGGAAAAATACAATACGGATGACCTGGGGCTCGCCAAATGATGGGTGGACGTTATAAAAAAATAAATTAGTTTATCAGAATTTGCAGAAAAGGCTGTAAGTCCTATGAACATAAAAGATGATAATCATACTGCAATAGAATTAGACTATAGGAAAAATCTAAGATTCCTTTAGGACAGTAACTAGCTTCTAGGTTGTACCTGTCTCGTATTGATTCTATCTCAGCTGTATAAGTTGTTATTAAATCATAATACTGATCTTCGAGATACAGACAGTCTAACTTCAGTTTTTCAAAACGAGTTAACAAATGCAATGCTATTTCCGTCGTCGGACATTTATTTACACTCTAAAAATAATTAAATACCATTAATTAATAAAGTATACACACATCTTAAACGAGTTATATAATTAACTAAAGTTAAAGTTATAACTTAACCCTATGTTAAGTTATAACACTTAGTTTAATTACATTAATTAAGCCAAGTAGACGCTATGGTAAATAAAATTAAATACTGCGTACATACATTAATCATGAAGTTTTCAAGCAACAGCTCCTGATTAGCTACCGCATCTTTATATATTTTGTAATCCTTATCGAAATCTGGTCGCCTGTTCGACAAATACTTATATTTTATTACTTTAGTATTAATTAATAGTCGGAGTAAAGCATTAAAACACATTTGAAACAACAGTAACACTTTGTCTGACTTAAAGATACCGACTGTTGAGCTTTTTAATCACGTATACACCCAGAAATAAATAGGAGCTAATAAATAATCAAATGTTAAAAGTTTGCGAATTTATCTAGGCTATTTTGTAACCGTCAAATCGAAATTTCAAAGTGATCTCATCGAATTCTCGCCCGTCATTGGTCGAAATTATTCTTAGCACCAATGACATGGCGGATCGCGATAGAGTTTACTTCGTTTCGAATTAAAATTTACAGAATAGCCTAGCTAACTCGGAACAATAACTAAAGCATGGAAGCCAGGCTAAAATAACAACTACACTCCATATATTCATCTTTTTTTTACTTATGGTAGGTATTGACAGTGTATAAGAAAGAGACATGTGTATTGTTTCGTTTCGTTATTATGCAGGTTGTCACTACTTGTAAATATGCTAGTGATGGGAATAAATTAATATATTTTATCGATAAATTATGGTACCTGAAAGAATTGCTGCTGTGGTTTAACGTAAATTAGGTTCCTAATCTGGATGTCGTAGGTTCAGAAATAAAACACAATATTTAAAAGATAATGTAATGTATGATAATGTTCACAAACAAAGCATATTTACAAACCGTGGTAGTGGTGTACTATTATGTATTTATCATTGACTTTTAAATATAGTCTTTGTATAAATATGTACGAATTTTTTCGGTATGTACAGTCAAATTTTTAGTTATATATTGTATCCTAAGTTTAAAATATTTTTGTGCTAAGGACTGTGACTGTGCTATGTTTATAAGAAGATTTCTAGATCATTTAATTCACGAAAAATTTCTGACGGCAACACATTTGCTGAAACTTTATTAATCAATCTAATAATTATTTTGGTTTACCGAGAGATTTTGAATCAATATGCACTTGATATTCTCTTATAATTTTTTCGGACATTTGACAGATCTTGGTTAAGCCATAATTATGTTGGTTTAAATAGGCCTCCTTTATTTTTAAAGATATCAAAGATATTTTCGCATTGTAAATATTTTTTAATTTCGTTCCGATAAAGCCGGTTATGTATTCTATGACATTTTTAGCATGTTCCGTAAGAGATGATGGGTACAAAATGTAGTCGTGTTCTGTCAAATCATCAAAAGTATCATGTCATTCGGGTTCTAAACGACGTCTATACTAGAGGTATAAAAAACTTCAAAGCCTAACTATAATATCGATATATAACATGACCACATCACTAGCTTGAAAACTAACTTAGAAAATTGATTTAGATTTTTTAGGAAAAGATGGAATAATACTGTTTAGGCTTACAATTGAAAAGTACGACAATAAATAAGGAACATTTATTTATAGTTTGCCGGTATTTCCAGTATAATTTATTTTAAAACATATCAAAAACTTACGAATGAAAGTAAATTTTTTCACCACTGTTTTCTTTTCTTCCTAAATGTGAATTGCAGCCGTCAATCACACAAGACGTATTTTTATTATGTAAAATACATCGTAAAGATCGACCATACACTTTCTTTCTTACTTTCTTTTGCGCTAATTCCTTAGAAAATATTTTTTATTATCAGGAGCCGTAAATACAACCACGGTGACACTTCAGTACTAAAATCCGGCAAAGTGAGGAAGGTGTCAAACTGTGAAACATAGAACGTCAAAACGTGATTTCGAATTAGGTAGTATGCTGAATGAGTCCAATGACATAAGATTGTAATGAGTCCACTGAAAGTTGTGACAACCTGCAAATTATCAGAACTATGTTCAGTTTGCGGTCTCATTCTCGCCTACGCAAAATCGTGTAAAGAGCGAGAGCATCAGATATACGTTTGTAAATTGCTATTTTAGTCTGGCTTTCATGCTTTAGTTATTGTTCCGAGCTAGCTAATCTCGATTTGAATGTACCAAGATATAGCAAATTGAAGTTAAAATATAAGATGGAGCTTTTTTCATAACCGACCTGTGATCTAAAGCATCATAGGTTTTGGACGATATACTCTTGAACAGTTTATTGAAATTGGCTGCATACTCTTCAATGCCCTCCAATGTTGTTTTATTTAGTACATAATATGTTATGTAGGTTTGGAATAAATCAATTACCTGTGTCAATCAGAACGGTTTTATAGTTACGTAGAAGCTGTCAATGCTATTATCAATTAGCATCTACGCCAGGGCTACTCTCTGTATAAATGATCTAAAATGCAATGTTGCGCAGCCTAGGTACTGACCGCCACGACCGCGCACGCTGCTCATGAGGAAGAATCTGTGGTTCGAAACTATTAGAGCTTTTCTCAGTGTATTCCCGTGAGTAAACCGCGATTTATAGTTAATTTGGTATGTCCTACGATAGTTATTATAAAAACTCTCTGTATATTTGTTTACTGGAATTAACAGGCTTTCTACATACCTACAGACAGATTTCAAAATTCTATCTCTTGCAAGTTAATTCGCAGTTATTGAGAGTATATTTTAAGTATCTTACTTTTGATATTCTTATGCGGAAAGTTTCGAATTTTCCGAATATATACATCTCGGAACAATCGAACGGTCTTTCATCGGCAGCTTCCATCATTTCTTTTTGAGTTTCTGCGTAGCACTCACGATAGAAGTTGTATAAACTTAAACTCAGCTGTAACATTAAACGTTGCATTATATTATTTTATTTTAGTTTTTTTTATACGTTGCTCCACACTAAGACTTTCTCCTGTGGCGTGGATGCGTTTAAAAAGATACAAGTTAACATACACATGACGCCCAGACTCGGAACAACAATTTGTGGATCTTACAAATAGTTACGTGGCAGCCGGTTGCCCAACCACCACACCAACCGTACCGTCAAAATGACATGTTCCGATACATATCCTTGACTCTTAATAAAGTGATTAGTTCAAAATGATCCCTTACTTTAGCTTTATAAATAAATTTTAGTTTATCTTGATTCCAGATATTCTTTTTGCCTCCATTAGTGAGAAATTCCATGCACATATTAAGAATCTGGTTAGTAACTTTGACAAGTAACGTAGAAATCTGTTTGGTAGTGTTATAGTATCTGGATGTAGCAAATATCATGCGGATTGTGTACAATAAGCCAGGAATGTATTGTTGCGTTGTGGAAGGGTCACACCTGAAAACCGAAAACATGACATTCTGTATGGACTGAATAGAATAATAGAATAGGGTGAATAGAATTCGAGGGGTAAATGACATAAAAAAGGTCTCTACTCACCCCATTTTATTCGGTATACATGAGACGAAAGTCGGTGATTCGTTTAGTTTCTCAAGATATTACTATAATAAACTGACCTGTACAGTGGTTCGCAATATTTTTCCAAGGCGTATAAATATTTGACATTATCAAAGGCTTCATTGTAGTAATCAGTGACTAGATTATCTAATTGTCGCCATTTCTGCAATGTACAAGTAATAGTTGTAGTGGTTAATTATATTATGAATCATAACAATATTTATCAAATGAATTGCATCAGTTGTCGCGCGTTTTAGTAATGACTGTGGACCCTTATTGTGGCTTGAAATTAATCGACTTACCTCGTCAAACAGTAACACGGTTAATTTGTACAACATAAGTAGTTAACTTATTATGTATTACCTTTAATAGTTTAGATTTTGCACGTATTAGTATGTGAATGTACATCTGTGTTGGTTCGCTTTTTATATGCTCGATAATTGACGTGAAGGTAGTTAGCTGGCGACGCCAGTGATCCAGCTCAGCCAGAGGACCAATATTTGAAGGTTCACGACGCAGCTGCTGGCTTTGTACTAACACCTAATTCAAAAAAAATGAAACTCAAAAAAAAAATACGTAATTTGTAACTTATTTCATACCTTATAGCCGTTGTGATAAGTCTAAATTTACCATAGTGATTTGCCTGATCCATTGTTTTACATACGTGCATATTTCTTCCAATACATGTGTTTTGGTTATAGCAAGCTTCATTTTTTCTTCATCAGCTAGTTCATCCTCATACAAATTATAATTAATTTTGAATCTAGTACAGCAGTCCAAATCAATTTTTGTTTCTAAAAACAAATTATGGGACTTATTAGAATTTGGTGAATTTTGAATCTTTCTAATGAAACGTACTTTATCATTATTCTTCACACAAATAACTATCACTATTTTCATAACATAGTAACATGCTACTAGTCGTAGGATGTACAATATCAAAAAGGAGTATACAGAATTATAAATGATTTAAATATAAACATGTTTGAATTAATTGATCATCAACAACTTATTGATCAACATATTTGAATACAAGTGAACACTCACTTGCAAGGTAATCAACAAACAACATGATCTTGGACTCATAAGTTTTAATGATAGTAGCACTGTTGGGGTTTGGGGGGTTAATGTCCCCCCAACCCTTGCAGGCCTGGAGTGCCGGAAGATACACACGAGTCATTGTATGGTATATAGCGGACACAACATTATCTGTTTCCGGATTAACATCGAATACAACGAAGAAATAATCCTGGAATGTACAAGAATGTTACAATGTCTTCTTTGAGCGGCAAATAGAACAATACACATATTATGATACAACGCAACATGATATAATGATCAGATGCTACATTGCGTAGCGTTGCGTTGTAGCATCTCATGTTTCTAGGATCATGTTGAAATACATTACTATTTCGAGCGGTATTACGTCTGGTTGCTTTCAAAACAAGTACCCGTTGCCCCACGTATTACCGCAAGTAGAGTAATCGGTAGATTTCGATTTCTTTCGATCGCAGTTGTAAAACAACCAACCAAATGAAACATAACGGTTATAAGATCCTAAAGGTAGTAACGATAGAGATTTTAAATAATAATCCTAAATGATGTGAAATGATTTTATAGTATAATGATTGAATTACGTATAAGGGTGACTCGAGAATCGAACTCCAGACTTCGTAATAAAGTAATTAAGTAAAAATGTTAAGAATAATTACGTCTCCTATATTCTTAGCGTCAATGGCTTTCGTCCTGAATCTGTACATAGCAACACATTTGCCCTCCGTGCCAATAGTTGACGCATCAGATACATACGCCCTTTCCATTTTACCTTTCTGATTGGGTACGAATCGACCAGATTCTGTAAGAGCAATGTAAATCTTAGCGCTGATCCAGATATACTAAACTAGGTATGTATCAGGTGCCTTACAGCGCCTCCAGACGTTTGAGGGCAGCTTTAAACATCAGGCGCCTAATGGCTCGGCGGTCGTAAATACAACTCGGAACGCCCGAAGCTTACCCACAAGCTAAAGCCAATTACGCACGAAACACTTCGCTTCAAGCTTCCTTGTACGTACCGCTAAAGAGTTGAATTCTTTGCCAGACTTTGTGTTTCCTAAAGGATATAACCTGGGAGTCTTCAAGGCCCGAGTGAATAGGTTGCTTATGAGACGACGTGCTCCATCGTAGACCGCATCATCGCTTACCCCCAGGCGAGATAGTGGTCAAACGTCGCACCATCAAATATAAAAAAAATATAATTTGCAAGTTTTCATTAGGTACTTATATTTTTTAAGTTTCTATTGGAAGTTATATTGGGTAAATTGTATTTATACGAATACAGTAAAACATTTTAGAAACATTACCCATTTTACAAGGTGGAAGTAAGGCGTCACATAGGACTATACAATTCCTGCCACCTTCAGCAATAGCGCTATCTAACAGTTCTATATGTATATCAGCATCGTAAACACCTTCCTGCAAAGTGATAGTGATACCAAATTATACTTTCTGTTAATAACAATCTAAGGAAAAACTACATTTTTACTAATATATTATGTTAACTTTTATACTCATAAACACTGACAGAAGTGTAGCATGCAACAGAGAACATACATTGATGGGATTTAGATAAATGTCTCCCATGTATCTTGAACAGATTCTCATTAAATTATACGAACAGTGTTTTGAAGTAATTGTGTGTACTGAAGATAATCAGATTTTTTTCAAACTACTAGCTTCTACCTGCGACTTCGAACCTTCCATTAGGAACCTTCTCCTAACAAAAACAAATACAACAAAAAAAGAATTAGTGAAATCGGTCCAGCCATTCACGCGTAATGCCGTGACCTAGGGAAAAAGGGATTAATTTATATATACATATACATAGAGAGAAGAGTCAGACCTTCTTCAGTTAAAATAGGAACAAAACGATCTGTTGTTCTTTTGTGAAGTTCATGTGCTTTAGGCAACTCATCAGACGTATAGGTGACCACACTAACACTTACCAAGACAAACTCATTTGGTCTATTCAATATAAGCGCACAATTTTCTAGTAAATATCTGTGCTGTTGCTTGAGTCCACCCATACGATTATTACGAGCTTCTTTAGCTTTGGCCTACAAACAAAATCATTTAAACAATATCTCTATTTGTATTAGATGAATAAAACAAATTATCTAGTGATCCACTTTATTTACTTGCTTGTCTTTATAAGATTCGTGAGCTAAAGCCAACGTGCTCATTGACAATCTGCTCCTCTTCTGAATGCCTGCTATACGAGCACTGACGTCAAGTATAGCTTCTAAGGCAGTCTTGTCTACTTCGATCCGTTCTCCATCTGTAAACGACATCCTCCGGATTGACGACATCTTATGTGACAGAGTTCGAGCGACCTCCGCAATCTTCTTTTTAGTTATCGATATATCATCTCCATGATCATCTTCACGCTCTGCCTCAGGAGGTGCTTTGGGGGCTCCTTCTGGAGGTACTTCTGGAGGTACTTCTGGAGGTACTGCGGGAGCTTCTTCTTTAGGTGCCGCTTCTGGAGCAGGTGCACCTTCAGGTGGTACTGCAGTTTCTTCATTTCCTTCCATTATCTACTTTATCTACTGAATACAAAACTATTTCCGTATTATTTCCCTAATAAATTAAAATATTTTTCTACCAAGTTGCACACAAGTCAAATAATACAAATAAAATTACAAGATTGTCATCAAAGAGAATATAACTTCAATGTCACTTCAAATCAAATTTAAACAGAATTACGCCCCGCCAGTTCTCTATTTACGAGACACAAAGGTAAAGTATTGAATAGTTCCTAAACCTTTTTGGTATATATTCGCTAAGCATTCGCAAGGACGTTGAAAATATTTGTTTTACTAAAATAAGCGCACTGATCCTAAAAACAACTCAGATACTTAGTTACATTTGGTTTGGAAGCTTAGATTGAACTGTATTCAAACTTTATCGCATCATTATTATACGACTACGGCTTATGAATAAATATAATAATTATACGTTGTGGGAAATAGAGTACCTTAGCAATATAAACATAATTTAGAAAATACTTAAAAATGGTTTATTATAAACTTCCCAAAACTGTAAACACAAACAAGTACACGTAGTTTATTAACGAAAAGGTAAATATATTGCACAATGCCAATACAAATCACTTGATATCACACAACATGGCAACTCCTCTTAGGATCCAGTGGTCTGGGTTTTTAACAGTGGGCAGCCAAAGCGGGGTTATAAAAGTCAAATCAGTACGCACTGGCTTCTTATACACCGGACACTGAAACATAAGAAAATTTAATAGAATTAGTTGATAAACATGTAAGTATTAAGTACTGCGCTAAGCTGCTCATGAATATGAGCCACTAGCATGACTTGAAACTAGTCGAGTTCCTCGTCAAACGGTTATGTGAGTAAAAGTATTACACATAAAAGTATGTATTAATGGACGATAAACAACCTGATAGAGTTTGGGGTCCTTTGGCGCTGTGGAATTGATCGCGTATACGTGTACTACTGGCAAAGCAGTGTACACTATTTTTAGAGTAGATTCACACAGACGCATGTTACGACGGTCCCAGCCTGCACCATCTAAAAACATACCGTGGACAAATACTCCTTCCTGAAAATAAAAATACATATAATCAATAAGGTTAAAAAGTACCTACTTCACAAGTTAATTAATGCTTTTGTTTATTTATTTCATCTCACCGGGGGTGGAGTCTTTACTTCTTCATAACTAAATTTAGTAACATCGTTGTGTAAGGTGACCATGTCGAGCGCCCAGCCTTTGTGGGCTCGAGTTACTTCCTGGCGCATGGCGGTCAAAAATCCTACAATAGTAACAAAATGAAATATTATTATGTAAGTATTATGTGCACCATATACGTATATAGTATTCTAGGACCTATAGTCCATCTGTTTAAGTAATTAACTAAAGGTAAACATAGAAAACCACGTGACACAGAGATACTTAACCTACTATTACTTCAAATATTTATCGTGTTTTAATTTTAACTAAATTCACTTTAAAATCGTTTATTTGTCATACACACACATACAAGTACAAATGCCTAAATCGTACAAGAGCCTAGCCTATGGGAAACTATTCTGAATCTGATGTACGGATTTCTTTCTTGTACGGATATGTGTCTTTGGGCCAAGTTTCTTCAATATATTTGAACATTATTTACAAACGATGTATACCCAAACTTAAATAACTTAATAACAAAAACAAAACAAAGAAACAAGATAAATTCAACAAAATAGGAACGCGAGCGCAAACGACGAGAGAGCTGTCAATGGCGCCTGATTAACCGACTAAACGTAATACACGCTACTTTCATTGTCGCGCTACATCTTAGTTGTACTCTTTAATTTGACAACATTATTTTGCTTCGCTCTTAAAGAAGGGTTTTGGATACCTGGGATTTTAGGCTCTTTATGGTGTCTGTTGTAATGAAATATTATATTATTTAATAAATGTTATTAAATTAATATCCTCAAGCAGATATATATAATATTTACTAAGAATTAAGTAAAAAGGAATAGAAACATAACATTTAATAGAGAAAACTGTCGTAAAAAGGGCAACAATTTTATTTTCTTATGAAGTATTTTGAATCATGGAAATGTCAACTATAAAGAACTCTTTTTATGGTTTGTTTACAAATAGTTAACTACCTAAACAGACGGAGGATAGAGTATGTATGTACTATAAAACACTTTAAATTTCGACGCTTTGTATCAAAACACAGTTACTCAACCGGAATGATACCACGGCCTCACAGAAGACCGATGTGAAACAACGCTTGCGTTGTGCTTCGTCGTGTGAGTGAAGTTACCGGAGGTTCAATTCCCTTGAACTTGTTATGGATTGAGGCAGCGTAGGAATTAATTATTTATTTTTACCTTGAGGGTTGAAGAAACCAGTCATCCAGAAAGAATTTGGCCTATTTTGAAAGCACCAATTTGAAAATTGTATAGTTCTCTCCAAAAATTCAGTAAACCAGAAACCTAATGTTGACGATGACCATGAACTTTTCAACCAAATATTTGGAACTTTAGCGTCATAAATATTGTCTAATGAATCTCGAAGTGCCTATAACAGTAAAACATTTTAATATAAGTTAGTAAGTTGTAGAATCTTAGACGATGAGTTCAAAAGGTAAAATCATTGTTACCTCATTCATTATTATAGTTCCATCAATAGCGAGCAACAGGTCCTTCAGTGTAAATCTTACTAGCTCAATAACTTTCTGCATCCTGTCAATTTCTTGTCTCAAAAATATTACCATTGAATTAAGTATCCCATAAAATCTTAGCCTAAAAAAGAAATTGGTTAATTCTGACAAAATAATGGTATTCTTCTAATTGCAAATTAAATATCTCTACCTGTCCATTACTTCATGTGGATCAAAGTTGGGGGGGACTTTGTCCAGCATTTCTTTAGTCTGTCTGTATACCGAGGCTTCGCGTGTTTCTCCAGCTTCTCCACTTGCTTCCTTTGGTTGTATAGATAATATTGTGTCTACAAGTTCTAGAGTAGTGTTACGCTGGTAACTAAAAGTTTAGAACTATGTTGTAATATTCATAGTTGAAAATAAACAATCAAATACAAAAATACCGTCAATCTTAAACTGACGTGATATCTGCGTTGGTGTGCAGGCCGTATGCTTGAGGCGGATCCACAGTTTTCATTGTCTCAATAGCCTCCAGGTACTCGGGTATATTCTTAAACTTAAGCATGCCATATCCCTTGTAGAATTGAAAGTCATCATGAAAAAGTTGGTCTGAGAACAACACTTTACAGAAGGTTACCAATAGTCGTGTATCGTAGTCATCAGTCACTCGCCCGCCGTATTGGACTGCTGATACCATATAACTGAAACATATTTCATACTTATGTAGAATCAAATCAATATTTCTTTGGAGACACTGACATGACGGGACCACTTACCGCACAGTAGTCCAGCTAACAGGTTGCCCCGGCTCTAGAGAATCTAAATGGTTCTGCACAAACATACAAGAAGACAGCCAGTCAGCAGAATTAAATTCATAAGGAATATTCCATCCGAGAGGTCCGAACTTCCGCTCTCTTGCACCACCGTGTGTAAGAATGAGATGGTGTAATCAACGGTAAATAGAAGGGACTGTCACTGTAGTCAAGGAAGTCCTGACTCATCGCATCATAAGTCCTCATTAGGCCCGCTTTTATACCTACAATATTTTGAATTAAAGTATTTGCTTTTAGAATTGTCTACAGCTCTAAGTCTTTGATGTTTCAACTTACCAGAAGGTGGCTCACATGTATATTTAATGGACATTTGCAGAAGAGTAATAGGAAACCTTGGGTGTACCTCCGTGGTAATCCAAAGTCTGGGACGATACAGAGGTAATATATTAACAACTTTTAAAGACTATTTTAAATTAATAAACATACGATACAGGTAAATTACCTAAAAGTTTCATGAACCTTTTCTGGGGTTTTCTCGAGTTCACCAAATTGTTCCATGATTTCTGTCATATAATCTAACCCTAAGTGACAGTTTTGCAGCAGTACCCATAATCCCTATAAAATATAATTGTTAGTTAAATAGCTATTGTTAATATTATTTATATGTATGTATATAATACACGAGACCACAATATCACCTCTTTTAGTCCACGATCTATTAGTTTTCTTGCATGAATCTCTTGACCTTGACCCATAGATATAGATGCACAAATAGTCTCCATGCGCTTAGCAGTTGTCTCGATAGAAGGTGTTGGATCAGAGCCCATGGCCAAAAAACCAATTAGAGGAACAAGTGGACGAGATTCTAATACCATATTCTGTAAGTAAGAATCTTTTCATTAAAATAGATTCAAAGTTTTAAACTTGTTTCTTATTTGGAACATCAACGAACCTCATAATTGACTATAACTGCTTCAGAGTACCGAGCACCCATGGAATTTACGACATACTTCCTGAAATATTAACATGTCATAAACACAGTAAAAAGACATATAATACAAGTTGATATCACGAGCTACTTACAAACTTTGTGCTAGAGTCCTGTCAGGACACCACGCGCGCACTACCAGCAGCTTTCTGAACACGTCTAGAGTGTTGTAACCGTCTGGTAAAGGCTCGTCTTCTGGCGCTTCTTTGTCAAACCTTCAAAAAATTGTGAGTAAATAAGACAGAACATTGCATTAATATAAACTTTTATACCACTTACCAAGCCTTCCATCCTCTCTCGTTGTTACCAACTTGAGCTAGTATTTCTGTAAACTGACGCAGATTAGAAAGTTGAACTAAATTCAGCCATGACATGTCAGTTATCCATTTATATGGTTTAGGAGGACAGGTATTAAGGTCTAACGCTGCGCCACCTTGATAATAAATAATATTAGTAGTAAGCAAATGAACTTGACACTTGATAAATAAAAATATTTGTCGTGTTTACCTTTAATAAAAGTCTGAAACTCGTCAAATATAATATGTTCTTTCTGCAAGTCTATCTTCAATGTCAAGAGTACAGTAAATAAATATTTGTGTTTCTCGTAGAAACCTCGGGAAATGAATTTAAATACGTCGAATGTCTGTTTGGTAAAAAATATTTTATTTCAATTACCGTACAAATAACTTACTGCTTAATTCCTTAATTTCTCTTTAGCGAATTATTATTATGGACTACTTACCAAATAGTCAATTATAAAACCGATTCTCCGTAACATAATGGGGCTTTGTGGCGAACGCTCTATGGATAAGTCAAAAAGCTCCAAAAACTGCGCCAGTGAGGTCTGATACATGTTGCATACTAGCGACATGTTGCAAATGAGGAAGTACAGCACGGAGCCACGTGTCGCCACGGGCCGGTACTCCTCGCGAGCGGCATTTATTTTCATCTCTGTCTCTTTGGCAATGTCCAATTTTTCTTTTACCTGGTATAAAACGCACGATATTCACAATCGAAACGAAAACGTCATTAAAAATAAAACAGTGATCCCAGTAAATATAAAAATATAACTATATTTGGCCCTGTACCTCTGTGGCAGTTGCTTTGGTGACGTTCAGTACTTGAATCAGTGATACATCTTCAACTAGCGAGCCCTCAATTGTAGTCAACTTTTGCAATAAGTTACTCTCCAGTTCCTGCATCTTGCGTCGGTTGGCCGTCACATCCATTATCAGTTGAGTTCGTTCCGCTTCTAATTCCGCCTTCTCTGTTAAGATCACACGACCTAATAGTTGATCTTCTAGGCCTGCAGTTTCACCAAATGTTAATAAAAACAAATACAATCAAATTCTGTTAAAAAACCGACACGTATTTTCAACAACTTACCTTGTATAGTTACAGTAAAGTCGATAATAGACGTCCGGGCTGAAACTTCTGGCGTATAAGCAGGATTTGGTAGTTTCGTTGTAATATATATCTTATGGCTTAGCATTACATCTATTTCTTTGTCGCCGAATTTGACCTAATACACAAATTAGAATTATTAACATACTAATTTAGGTTGGTAGTTAGTGACCCACTCTAAAAACGTTTATATATTACAAGTGGATAAGGCAGGATAGTACATAAGTTCACAATATAACGATGAAATGACAGAAGTGTTGACTTTCTAAAATAAGATCTGAAGTACTACTAAAAGTTTGTGATACCTTATAAGAAGACCCTATCTTGATATAATTTCTTTCAAGTATATTGTCCAGAACTGGATCTAACTCTTCTGCAACATCTTCTATCAACATAGGTAGACCCAAGGACACACAGTCTTCTGCGTGGTTTCTGTAAAGGAAAAAAAACATTTAAATATGAGATCAACCAGTAATGGCGAATCTGGCGTACCGTATTAAATGTATTGTAGTAATTTAGGTTGTGGTGAATTATGGGGAGCTCACCTGAAATATTTGTGGTTTAAAGTAGTGACAATTAATTGATTATATTTCTCCATGTTTTTAATCCAGTTCTTTCCTTGTGTTTGCGGGTCGATTAGTAATGGAAAACGAGCAGCTTTCGTCACAATAATACCGTTTTGTATCGACAGTTCATCGGTAGGCAATCCGCATAAGTTCCACTCACCAATCTAAACAGATCCAACTTTTCATTAAGTTTCTAATATAATAATTTTAAATTCTTCAAAGACTGTCACTGCAAACAGTTCAAAAAATCAACGACACACTCACTGTAGCATTATCCGTAAGTTCATTTGTTATATTTAAATTCAAGGTCACAGGAATTTTTCTATTTATCAAATCTCCAAGCCAATTGCTTATCAGCAAATTACGAAATTCTTGATTGAAGGGTCCGGAATATGACAAGAATCTGGAAATTGAGTCACAATTAGTGACTTGTAAATCACATTCTCTATTTGTTACGTTAACTGAAAAATTAAAAACGAATTTTAGTACTAGTACTCACCCAGTAAGTAGTAGAATATCACCGACCAAGCGCTCAATTTCAGACCTAAAGAGTGCAGATTGCTCAGTCCAGCGGATGCGCTCTCCGCTAAGACCGTTAATAAGGGCAGAAGCGGCATCCATTTTTTGTTGGCATAGAGCGGCGTCATCCAGCACCGCCTGCTTCAGTGTCATCGCCTCGTCGAACTGACGCTGTACATGCGCCAACTCACACTGCAAAACAATTACCAAACATTACGATGATGTGTCTGTATTAACAAATTATTTTATGGTTTAACCTTCCGTGTGTCTAAACCGCAGATCCACGGGAGACACCATGTATTTTCTATTGTGTCTCATATCGTGAAATCAAGTAGTTAAGAGGTTGCGCGTACCTCTTTTCCTCTAATTCTGCCTCCGCTGCTTCCAGTTCTTTTTTAGCCGCCTGATATTTGCCTTGCATTATTGCTAAATTGGCTTTTAGTGGCAGTACGTCCTTATTTACACCATAAAATTGTGCCATAGCGATTGTCCACGAAATTAGACCAGCTACGTTACCACAAGCTATCTTTGCAGCATCAAAAGTATATTGGCTAAATTGGAACAACAGTGTTTATTATCAAATGAAACTTTTACATAGTCATTAAAAGTCGTTTATCTAATACTTGCCTGTATTTAAAATAAGGTTGTAACAAATCAATCATTTCAGCATTTATTTCATCTTTCGGATAATTCTTCAAGTTGTTTAGGAACCTTACATCAGCCATTACCTGTTATTCAATACGTTTTTTGACAAATTGTTTGTTAGCTAATTTGTACTTAATGATTTTGAAGCGGTGGCGAAATATTATATTAAGTAGCAATTTAATTTCATCGCTTATATTTTAACCAAGTTTTGAGTTCATTACCTTTAAAGATTCACTCCACGAAGGTGTCAAAAACTGTTTCTCAGGATCTGGTTTTATAGAATCGATACGCTTTCTAAACAAAAGAATTACAGCATCCATAATGAGCGTGATGAGATGAGGAGGCTTGCCCAATTTCCTAACAGTTGCGATGTCAGCAGAATTGATGGTCTGCAATGACACGTCGCATAAAACAGTTGTCCTCTAAGGAACTAACTATAAGGTACAATTTGGCTGGAAATTACGAGTAGTGCGGCTTCTGCAGCGTCAAGCGCAGGCTTTGCATCGGCCAGTTTTTCCTCAGCGATGGCGGTCTCAGCTGCGATGACGCTGACAAGCTTGACGGCGCGATCCTTCACCTCCAGCACCTCGGCCTTTACAACCTCGGCAGCCGCCTGAGTGTCTGCCACGGCCGCCAGCACCTGCAATACTAACACTTAGATTACGTAATATTTTACAACAGACACTAGTTGACACTTGACACAAACCTCTTCTGCTCTCTCTGTAGCTTCGTTAATTTCGATTTCTTTTACTTCCAACTCTTTCTTTAAAATATCAACACTGGCTGCTGCCTCCACTAATTTGGAAAGTCCAGTTGTCATTCTAACAATTAAATTCAATGTGTTATCGTTATAGTGTGAAATTGGCCAATTAAAAAAATTGATTATAATACTTACCAAGCAAATATTATTGAGTAAAAACATAAATTATAAAAAAAAACAGCAACACTTTTGTACCACTTCGCTGGACATAAAATATTTAGTTTTTGGATGTAGCACCACATTTCTTATTAGTAGACAAGTACTTACTTTTGCGCCATTTCTGCGATGTATGTGTGTTTAGATTTGTACAAAGATTTGTAGCCTTCCAAAAAGGATAGATAAGATTTAGGAGTAACGTGCGCTTGTCTCCTAAATCGTTCGTGATAAATAACGCAGGTGTCTGCAACATTGTCCTGCACGATGCCCATCATTTCTATCAACTCATGTTTTGTTCCCGTCGAACAAACTACCTGAAAATTTAAAGTTTTTTTTTTGGAATGGGATACAAACGAGCAGACGGATCACCTGATAGCAAGCGATTAGCGCCGCCCATGGATACCCGCAACACCAGAGGAGCCACAGGTGCGTTGCCGGCATTTTAAAAGGAATACGCTCTTTTCTTTAAGGTATTAATTTTCTTTTGTTTTTTTGTCAGTTTTTATTTGAGTGATGAAATAATTAATATAAATCCTGATTTTTAGATTTTTAAACTCTTAAAAGTAACATCTCCCAAACCTCGAACTCCCACAGAAAGTGGTGGGCTACTTCTATTAGAGCTTCTTTGGGCCATTTCTGAAACCAGTCCATTGTAGACCCTGATTTCAGGCCAGGGAATTTCAAAGCTCTACTTCTGAACTTTTCACCAACCTGAAATAGAATTTAAAATCATCTTATAAATACATGGAGACCTATGTAGTGAATTTTAGAGTATTTTATAACATCTATTTTGTAGTAATATGTACCTATCTATTATTTATGAATAACAACTTCTAATTAATAAATTAAAAAATGCAATTTGTTATTACCGGTGAAAAACATAAAACGACATGTAAATTCGCTCTTGACCGCATGATAAAGTACTCATACAACACATCTGGAACCGGGACCCTTCGAGGAGCCAACTTCTTCATTATCGGTTGCAACTCGTTCAAGATCTCATCTACAAATCCATCAGACGTATTAATTATGTAGGTCATGAAACGGTAAAGGACTACAAATTGAATTAAAGCGGTTTAGTAAATCTTTTGATCAGTTTAGCTCACATCAACAGAAAATTACCCATTTCGTCCTTAGGAAAAAGATTCGCAATTTCTCCCGAGCTCAGGATATTATTAAGGAACTCTAAGAACTGCTCATCTTTGATGTCATTGTCAGTAAATATGAAGGAGATGCCGCGTCCCTGCAGGCCGGCTACGCGGTACAACACTTTTATGTCGTCCATAAAGTTGTTCACATTGTAAGATCTGTATCAGATTAATAACAAAACTCAGAAGTCCAACGCAATAGACAATAAATTATTTCCAAGTATTCAAATCAATAAACAAAATTAATTACTACCTTGACAAAGTAATCTGATAGAACGTGTAGTTAGCTATAAACGATGCCAGTTTAGTCAAACTTTGTTTTCCGGAACCGCCAACGCCGACAAGCATTGCGTTGCCTCTGCACAAAATAAGTGACACTAAGTATAATGAAATTTTAAACACTCACATACATCACACGTAACTAACCGTGGAGTGTTAATGATGCGTGATATGATAAAGAGATGAACCATCGCATCGTGGAAGAACACCAAGTCCAGGTGCGCTCCTCTGATCTGTTCGTTGAACAGGTCTTGGAAGCCTACGAGCTTGTTCAGTACGAACTCCCACCTGGAAATGTGTGATTGAAGAATAGACGCTAGATAAGCTTTCTGAGAAAAAATGTCTTAAAATATTATTTCGACATACGAAGGTAGTTCCTCATAAATTTTCGGTGCGTCTAGACTGAAGTCTTCATCCTCCTCGCCGGTTGGGTCTATAGGTTCACGTAGGAAGTTAACAAAATACGTTTCTTCACTAGGGAACTCACTGACATAGTCGCTCAGCTCTTGAGTTGCTGTTGCCCAGAAATTCGTAATAAACCAATGTTTATCCTTAAACGTAGTGAATCTGAGGAAACCAGAAAAAGTTCTTGTATAACATTTAAATGATTTCTTCTAATAACCTATTTTAACCCATGATATGTATGTAACGTAGATACACGCAAGACACAATGCGTTTTCTATTATGTCTCATATGCAAATAAGATAAGTCAATGTTACATACAATGCAGTACAGACCTGTCAGAAATTACCCTCAAACACTCATGGAACCATAGTTTTAGAGCCATATTAACCGATTGAAGCTCTTCTCTCTTATGGTTAGTATTCCTTCCCAGATCCGAGACAAATCTCTCAAATTGAATACATAGTGGAATTTTGCTGGAGTTGGTAACATTTTCACCTGCATCATGAAAATGAAAATTACTTGATGCTACTGTGATATTAATTTATATTTGTAATACATAGATAGAAAGTAAATACTTTAGTTTGTTGCCAAATAATTCGAGTAACCGGCACTAGTTTCGGCATAAATGCCACAATTATTTTATCAAAACGGGATTTGCAAAAATATCCAGAGCTTATTGTTTCTGAAATGTGGAAAACACATTAAATAGTTAGACAGACACTTCAAAAACATAAAACTATTAAGTATAAATAAGGACTATTTTACACAAAAGTAGTATTCAAAAATGTAATTATACCGAAAATCTTGTCCATAGAAACATTGCTTGGTAGGGTGCAGTTAAATATGTTAAACTGTCTCTTAAGTCGTGGGGGAATGTCATTTCGGCCCCCACCTGTAATAATACAAATAGTTGCTGATGTTAGAATAACGTTAAAAATGACAAATATGGTAGATAATTAGTAATGGCTAATTGTCTACCATTTTTGACGTTTCAAAAGTGCCTAATTAAGGATTTTGAAATAAGGATGGGCCGATGTTTCGACTGGTGGTAAGCGATGATTTGGCCTACGAAGGAGCACGTCTGCCCAAAAACAACCTATTAACTCGGGCCTTGAAGACACCCAGACACCCTTCAGGAAACACAGACTCTGACAAAGAGTTCCATTCCTTAGCAGTACGCACAAGCAAGCTTGAAGCCAAGCGTTTCGTGCGAGTGGGTCTGATATCCACCGTTATTACAACTGTAACAAATACTTATACTGACCAGGTTGCATCATAGCACCAAATATCTGGATATCTGCAATGACTGTGAAATCTCCAGGTTTGTCTAGCGAGTAGAAACCCCCACATTCCATCATTTGTCGAACGATTTCATTTGTTACCTAAAATTATCATTTATCTACTCGATTGAAACTGGTTAGCAAAAAATAATAATGTAAATACCAATAATTTCTGTATTAATTTGATTTGTGAATTCAAATTGTTAATAGTTTACCTGATCACCCCACTCATTAACTACAGGCATATTTATATCGTCTATGAACACTGTCATAGATCGGCCACCCGGAGGCCCGTATGTCATACCCACTCTCTTCTCCACGTACGATTCAATTATTCTCTAAAAACAAGAAAATGTCTTTAAAATAAGCTTAGAATTTAATAATGCACCAAATAAGGGATCTGTTGGCAAGATATCGACATTTATTAACTTACTTGATACATATTAGGTGTCGTTGCGTACGAGAAGTTTACCACCTTAAATAACTTCACCTCGTTATCGTATTTAGACATATAACCCTTTAACATGACCGTTTTAGCAGTGCCTTCTTCACCAATCAATAGCACTGCTTTGTTCTGACTGGCAATGATATCAATCAAAAACGTAATGCACACATTATCCACGTTCGGTACCAAGATTGAAGCGTACTCCGGTATATTATCAGGTGGGTATATATAGTTCTCTACACTCTCAGACCTGGCAAAAACCAAAACACCTTATTTTCTAAACTCTACAAATTAATGTGCACTATATATTATAACTTCATACCAGTGCTCCCAACCACCACTAGCATTAACCATGTAGTCGAAAGGCATGATCCATTCTTTGGATCTTCCGCCAGGCCAGTCCATTTTCACAGGCAACTTAGTCATGAATTCTGCCATACGGATTCGCATGTCTAATTCCAGCACAGCACCCAGTGACCACATCATCGCGAATATGAACAAGCGTTCAAGATGGCGATCCGTGGGAGCCTCTGTAAATCATGATTGTAATCAAGTTATGCACAACAAAATTAAAAAAAAAGAAATATTTGCAACTAGAGTATTAATAACTTTAAGTACTCACTGCAACCGGGTAGTTCAACAAGCAGTAATCCTGACAGTACGTCAATGCATTGTCTAAAAATAGTGTAACATGATAATTAGCCACGATCACTGCCTAACAATTACGAGTAAGTGATAAACGTTATACCTGATATAAATAGCTTCCAGAAGTTTCATTTTAACAGTAAGTTTTGTTTGTACGAAATCATGAACTTCTCCATAAATTTTATTAAAAGCTTTACGCAGAACCTCACTTTGTCGTGGTTCCAGTGACTTTAGCCAACGCTGTTATTGAATAAACAATATTTTGTAAATATTAAACTAAAAAAAAAAACAATTAAGCAATTAGGTATAGTGAAGTTTAGTCATAAAAATGGTCACCTCTACTATAGGTTTCCATTTAAGCACCGAAGACGACAAAAACACCATGCCCATCCGACTGACAGTAGCAGGCGATGCGTTGTCCACGTTGTCTGGTTCAAACACCAGCTTGCTGTTCTGTGCCATAGTAATGCGGTCCCCGTTGGCTAAAGTCAACGTCTTGTTGTCATCGAGCACCGAATTCAAATTCTCAATCCACACGGCGTCAACCGGACCATCTGACACAGTGCCACTTAGTAAGTAACCACTTTACAAACGTGACTTGTATTTTTTACCTTTATGAAAAAACAAGTAGGTACCTAAAACAATCCACGTTGTGTCGGTTTTCTTCACCTTCAGAGCTCTTCGCCACAGGATAGAGAATATACCATCAGTCCAATCATTCGTGGCCACGTCTAAACGTCCAAACATTTGAGGTGCGGTGATTGCCTAAATATCAACAAATATTTACCCACTAAATAATAATATTTTCAAATATTAATGAGCTTTTATAACTCTCAAAGTACCTTTGGATTCATTCTCATTTCTCTATGCGGTTTGCCAATTTCAGTGAGAGCCGCCATAAGTGTGTGAATGCAAGTAGTCTTGCCTGAACCAGTCGGGCCCATCGTCATCAATCCATGTCTCACTAGCGACGTTTCGTATAACTGAATAATTTTCAAGTTCCAATCCGGATGATTTACAAGCCCATTGCGTTGAGTTACCACACTTATAGCATTTTGAATGACCCTTAATAAAAGGACGATATGGTATATACGTTAACATTGATAACAAAGTAATTACTAAGCACTAACGTCAACCAATCTGTATTTCTTTAAAGTTTAATGAATCACAAAATAATTTATATTTACTTTTAGCATATTAACAGACCTTTGTACTGTTTGTGTAAATTTCATTCCTGGGAACAAATCTTCGATTAATGAGATAAATAAAGGTTCATCCTCGTCTACTAATTTAGACACGTTCATTTCTCTGAAAAGTTTTATTGCGTTGAATATCGCTAAGAGATTTATGGGCAAATACTAAATAACGAAATCAGTAGTCACTTACTTCAACACTCTCATCATGATGTTCTCCTCTGTGCTATCTGGATTCGCTCGTTTCTGCGCGCCCATAGTTCGCAACACGGACAGAATGTTCCGCAACCCAAAGTCGTAGTGCACCTGCTTCGACAACTGCTCCTCACACAATTTGTACAATGTAAAGAACTTACGAGCTGTAATGTTATTGATAAAGTTTACACAAAATTCCTTACCGATTTCACAATGCCTTGTCATTGTGAAATACTATTTCAAGTAAGAGCTTACCTAAGACAATGTTATCCTTAAAACCACAACTGGCTAATTTGACTCTGATAATAATTTGCCTGTCTGGAACCATCATAGCAACTGAGCGAAACTGAATTTTCAAGTTTTCCGGTAGCTCTTGACGTCCAGCGTAGCCCGGATTCATGGTAATGATGAAAGCAAACTCGGGATTTAAACTCACTGTGTCACCATCACTGAGGGGTTATAAGAATCACAGATCTGCGGGTGTAGCAAAATTATTTATAAGGTATATAAATAAATTTAGACTTCATACCTGAAAATGAAGAAGTCTCGCTTCTCTCTCCTGGCTGTGAGACAAATGTATATCTGCTGCGCAGCCACGGACAGTACAGGTAATTCAATTCGATTGAATTCGTCGAAGCAGCCCCATGTGCCTGACTGAGCCAGGCCTTTATAAATGCGGCCCAAACCTAAAAACCAACGTCGATAGAAATAATCATATTTTACATAATAGGTACACGCCTATTAAATATTTTTTAGAAAGAATTATTTATATGTCACCTCGGAAGTCCATCTGGTCGGAGCAGTTGAAGACAATGACTAGCTTGCCCAGCGTTCGACCCATATCTTTGGTGGTTTCGGTCTTACCAGTGCCAGCGGGCCCGGCGGGTGCACCTCCCATGCTCATACCTATGGCCTGCGATAGCGTAATGTAACACCGATCTGTCAGCGGTGTAATCACAAGTCGCTCAGTTATGCCCAGGTACTCATTCTGCGAAGAAAAAAAACTAAGCACGATATTTCTATGTAAACTAGACCTAAAAACTGCGAGCACTTGCCTGATATAAGAAATTCACATCAGTAATTGATACAATGACATCATCAGAGTCCTCGTGATAGTAAAACCGTGCTTGCTTCTGCCATTCAAAGTCGATTGGCGATTTTATTCTCATTTTACAAGGTCATCAAAAATGTCTCTGTTGATTCAGCGCAAAAAATCAGTATAGCCTCTGCTTAGTTCTTAATTACAGAAGGAAGTGACTTATACCATTAAAGCGACTTGCCTCTGATGTACATGGATGGTGATCATAGTTTCAATTTGTGTTCTGTCTAATGGAACTAGTTCCTTTACTGTCTGATCAATAAGTCCATTGAGAAGATCTAAGAACTTCTGGTTAGTAAAACGCATAACAAATCGATCTACTCTAGATTTCTTTAAGGCGTACTCAGCGTCACTAGTCCAAAGGATTTGCATTCCCAACAACCCAGCCTGTAACGCAAAAAATTAAGATTATCAGATTAATGACTAATTTTATGATTTTAATATATTTAAGTATATTAAAATAAATGAAGATTCTGCACCTGCCCAGGGAAGTTCCAGAATCCGACTAAAAATTCAAATTCCGGGTCTCCAGCCATCGTTTGCGCAATGTTAGCAATTACATTTCTGACAGTTTCTTTCATCATGTCTAAAAGCGTATTTAACCAATTCTGTAAATTAAATAAAGTTGTATATAATACTAAGTAGTACCTATATGATATGGATACATTTAATGATTGTGACAATAGCTTTACCTCTACACCTCCCAAACAAGCCACTGGTCTCTCAAGAGGAATAGTTTCCGTTATCCGAGTTGATATTTATAATATTCTCTTTATCATCGAAGTCGACTGTGTATATGGCATCGAAAATACTTGGTAGATGCGGCTAGAACATTTTTCTTATTAAAGTCTTATGTCAAGCTAGGCAATGTAAATCATACAATCCAAACTCACCTGTATGGAAACGGGATCCGAAGCTTGTCCAAGAATTTCAAGTAGCACTGGATCTGATACGAAGAAAAACCTGGGGAAGATAAGCCGCTTGGTCTCCAGGTACCCCGTGAGCGACTTCTGGCAAGCCTCCAACTGCTCGTAGAGGTGCGGCAGCAGCTGCTTCAGCGTGTCGTCGGAGGTGCACGTCTCCACACAGTTCACTATGTCTCGCGCGCGATACATTATTTTCACATAGGTCTTGTCGATATTCTGTGAAAGACCCAAAGACATAAAAATTTACTCGAATTATAATTGATTAAAATTAAGTATCTATAATTTATTTGATTAAGTAAAAGATTTATTAAAAACATACTGTAAATCGTTTAGCTTCTGCTGGCAGTTGTTTCGCAATATCTCCTCCAACGAATACAGCTTCTAAATACATCCACAAGTTTTGAACTTGAAGCCACTTCTCTAAGATCTCACTAGTGTTTACTAGTTTGTTGATCCATAGCAAAATATCTTTCTTGAATGGTGGATTGTATCTGTATGTGTGATATAAAATATTAAACATTTTTTCCGGATAGGCACACTGTAATGGCAAGAAGAGTTTAATATTAATGACGTACCTGTTAGAAGCTAATGAATTGAGAATCATTAACGAATCTTCAAGCAATGTAATATTATCAAACGTCTCTTGAGGTTTAATCAAAAGTTCACCTCTGTTCTTAAAGTTAGCAAACGATAGATCAATAATTGCCCAGTCTGCACTTATCTGTTTCAGTTTAGCGTCGATATCCTTTTCTTTACGGCACTTATGCAAATATCCTGAGAAAAATGTATAGATGAAAGGTACTGTTTCACATGCTCTAAAACAGCATTTTAAAAAGCGTTCTATTAAGCATGCCTAAAAAATATTCAAAATCGGACGCTCGTCGATTCGTAAGCATGCCTGAAATAAGCATGGTAATACTGAGCAACATTTCGACACAATCTTGCCACTAAGTGACAAGTGTTCAATTAAAGCATTTTTCGTGCTTGAAATTAGCATGTGTAACAGTACCTTTATCCCCGAACATAATTATAATTTATCATGAGAGTCAAGTAGCTCCAAATAAAATTTAAGTAATTCATAAAACTAAATTTTACTCCTTCATCTTCCAATAGTTAAACATCATTTTTAACTACAATAGCTACGAAAAATTATCAGCAAACTTAATAATTACTTCAACATCCTCCTTATACTGCAGAAGCGGTGCCTCCATTACGTTTGCCAGGGTAAATGATGGAGACTCCACATCAGCACACAGTCTGAAAAATACACATCACACAATATCATAGCATAAAAAATCTGAAGAATGATTTAGAAATTTATTTTATTACGAAGCAGTTCTTCCAGTCTCTTCCAATGTCGTTCCTTCATGGATTTGTCAGCCATCAGCTCCAATAGTGGACATGTTTGGTTAAAATCGTCAATTTTATTCTTCAATACTATATACGCTGGCCAGTCTTTCATACCTCTTGGTAATCTTCGACATCTAGGGATATATAATATTATTTGAGTATAACTACAAATACAACGACAAAACAAAGGACCTTTGATCTTTTGTTACCTTACCTGACATCAAATTCAGCCAACTGAGCAACAATTTGTTCAATGTCGATGTCCACCCATGGAGTTTCATAATACCCATCAATAGAATGAGTTACAGCTAAATATAAACTATACCTATAACGAAAAATAATACGAAAACGGTCCATTATAATCCCATTCTGCAGTATTTTTATTTAATAAAAAAATAGAATTCACTTACAACTTGTTCAGTAAATTAAATTCTTTTTTCTTTTCATGTAATATCGGATAGTCTTTCACTTCCATACCAAATAACTTTTCGCCGCTGGAGTACATTTCAAATCTTCGCCATAACTCATCAAATCGTGATTGGAACAGGATAACCCTTTAGAAATATTCATTAGTACATAATATTATTATCAAATGAGGCCCAATTACCCCAATCTCCGAATCCCCAATAATCTCATTTCTAATACCCAAAAGGCCGGTAACGCACTAGTAACACCACTGGTGTTTCGGGTGTCCATGGGCGGCGGCAATTACTTACCATCGGGTGATCTAACGGCTTATTCCATAAAAAAATCAAAGACTATCTTAAGATACTCTTGACTAAAATGAATAAAAAATAATGCTACTCAAATCCAAAAATTCCTTTTCGTAAGATCGATGTCTACCTGTCACTGGCTTCTCGAGCAGGGAGTCCAGGTACCATGGGTCCCATGGCATCATAGTCAGTATCAAACTTGAGTACATCGTTTGCAAAACTCGCTACTCCCTCAGTCAACTCAGTCAAAGTGGCTTTTGCATGTCCACTATCTTCTGTTGCACTTGTTGTGCCTACAAAAATATAAAAGGAGATTAGATGCATAACTACGAAAATTTGTCAAGTGGATGTAAACGTAAGCGTACGTATTGAGTAATGAATGATATAATAGTACAGCAGAAAAGATACTCTACCTTTTAATAAAAAACGTGAGTCTGGTGGGACGGTATTATAATAGAAAAGAACTGAATCAAATACATAAAATTGATGAATTATTAATAAGTCATAAGTACTCACTGTTGCTAACATATTGAGAAAGGAATGCCTTAAACCGTAAACCATGTCAGCGTCTTCTTTAGGAATCTGGATCTGGTACTGCGCGAATATAGCGTAACTTTCTTCTATGACGTCTAATGCCATATCCATACTGTGACAATAAGTTAACTTTAATATTCATTATCTACAGAGATACCCTTATTTTCTGAGTACTGCTACAAGTACTCTACTAGTAGCAGGTTGGAAATTCATTGTACAATACTCTGTTTACAAAATAATAGTCAATTCTTACTTAATAAATTCTTCTCTAATGAGCTTAAGGCACATCATAGCTACTCTGACGTCATCTAAGTCCTTAATCTTCTTGTTCATAGTTTTCATACGGTCGCGTATAAATTGCATCAGTTTCTCAACTCGGTCTTTATATGCGTTACCTAATAATTTACCCAAAATTCTCTTCCACTCAATGGATTCCAAATGTAATGCCAGTTTTATACGTTCTGAAACGGATAGATAGATAAATATTAGTTCTGATTATAACTATGTATAAGTCAAAATGTCTTTCTCATTATAATTACCCATATTAATTTGAATTGATCCAATAACATGCCGTTCAGGCAAATTTACTACTTCTTCAGTCTGTGCATCAAACTTACAAAACATATCCTTGATTTGTACATTCAGAGGTTCCAAGTTAACAAATGCTTGAAGTTGCTGTACCCGGTCTTCAGCCCATAAATACGAAAATTTTTCGTATTCCTATATAAAAGTCGTAGCATGAGTTTATTTTAATACAACACATAACACATATAACAACACGCCTACTTTATCCCCGAAGGGGTAGGCAGAGGCGCACATTACGGCACTCAATGCCACTGTACAAAGTAACATCCACTTTTCACTATTTATGAGTCCCATGTAATAGGGGTGAGCATATTGCTATACCGAGCACAATTCCAGACTCCATGCTACTATTGAATTTAAAAAAAACCAATAATACTTTGGCCGACCCGGGAATCGAAACCGAGACCCCTTGCCCGGCAGTCGCACTTGTAATCACTCAGCCAATGAGGCAGTCCACTGACCACTCGAACAATATTTTAATACAATTTAACGCTATATTCAATTTCGGACTGTACCTTTAGCCGTTTTTCTATATCCAATTTATACATGTACATCATCCCTTGCAACGCCATCACCGACCTGACGATGTCTTTGTGCTCCGAAACCATTCGGAAGTAGTTTCTCACGCCACCGAGATTGGAAATAGACCGGGAATTGCTCACTAAGAATCACGAGTAGCTATAAGACCAGATGTGTGTGATAGAGATCATTATTTATGTAAAATATTTAATATGACATACTTTGCACCAATGTCCCAGCCAGTTCTTCCTTCTTTATTTGTTCTTGCTGTCCCCACATAAACACATTCCGGTGAATATCCATTATGCAATTTAATACTACCTAAAAACCAAATGTAAACATACAACGTTCTTTACTATTAATTTTCCTTTAATGGCCTATAATATAAATATTTTAAATGCTTCACCTGAGAAAAAGAGGTTTGTATTTGTTCTAAAGTAGGTTCGATTAGTATTCTTGGAATTTTCAACTGCATGTGTGTCAACATCAGGGGTCTCAATTTTTTTATTTCAACTGGATCCGTTGTCATTGTTAGAAAGCTGTAAAGATTTTCAGACAAGACCAAAGAGTATAATAAGTAACATCATTATTAATGTTATTATACCTGAACCGTCCTAAATATTGACCAAATTACCAAAATAATCAAATAACACTTTACGTAACAAATCTTTTCTTACATAATATTTCTACTAACTACTATGCAAATGTACGTAACTGGTAAATTAAATTAATAATTCTTCTAACCTAGAAACCGAAGCTCGCCGTCTGAGCATATCCAGACTGTGTCTTGTGCATTTAATAAGTGCATCCAAACACTTAGTAGCAAAGTAAGCGAACAATTCGTTACATTCATTTATAGTGTGTGTCACATCATATTCGTCAATGCTATCTATTTCTATGAATGCTAAAACATAACAAGATTAGTAAACAAACAATTTGGCTTTGAAAAATAAGCAGTCAAGGCTACCTGCATCATCAGGAAACACTCTAGTTGCTGATGTAACTTGCTTTAAGACTTTATCGAAATCCAACCTTAATAAAAGAAAAATAATGGTCATTATATAAACGTTTCAACTTAATTGTAAAAGGAAATTGTATAATATTTACCATTTATCTTTTAGATTCTGTATTTCCTTACAAGGCACGCTGTCCAAAAACTTGTGAATAAGTTCGATGACAGCAATTTCAGCATTCCATGATTTTAGTTGAATGTCTGTTGCTGTTAAATCAAATCAATATTGATTAACGCACGTACATAATAATATAAGAAACTAAAAATACAAGACAACGTGAGTGCAAACACACTTTTGCAGTATACTTACTAATTTCATCGCGTCGTAAAAGATTCTCTAAATAAAGAGTGTTAGGATCGACGGCACTTTCAGGTAAATAAACAAGCATTGTTTGTGTTATTGATAGCAGAATAGCATCAATACGAGCTTCTTTTATGTCTACCACCTGTAATTATACCATTAAAACCTTAACCAACGATATTTTTACACTCAATGTCAAGCTGTATGTTTAGTACAAATTAGGTACATTTATGTTACTATTTCATTTGATTAGAAGAGTTAAAATACATGATTAACAAAGTTAACATAATAATTCTGTTTGTCAATTACAGTCGTTATGACTGTAATGATTAAAAATTTTAACTAAAAAATAACTAACCTCCTTGACAAACAAATCAACTTCGTCTAGAACTGCTTCAATGCTCTCACAATATGCTTCTATTTTCAGAGATGTCCACGTTATCGTCGACAAACCAGGTTGAAATGCTTTCTCTAACTTTATCAACTGTGCTCGTAGTAGCGGCAAATATAATTTTGGCATGCTCTATATACGTAAAAATATATTTTTGTATGAATTAGATGACAATCTCCAATGAGCTACCATTACAAAAGAATTGAGGATTGTAGCTGTAGCTACCTTCTAATTTGATTGCTTCTTTCTACCAGATGTGTCATTTTTTCATAGTTTCCTAGGATTTTACTTTTGCAAATTGCGATTATCTGCGCACCATCGGGCACTCCTGTAATAAAGCAGTATACATTGTCTATCGAGAAAGCAGATAATCTACGAATAAACTTTACAATAAGTAGGCTTTAAATTAAGCTTACGAAGTCCCAACTGCCACATGTATTCAACCTCTCTTATACACTCCGGAATGAACATACTAAAGTTCACGATGAACAAATTCGTTTTAGGATGCCGCATTAAGATAGGAGCAATCAATCCAAGTCGCACCTGTAATTAAATGATACAACATTACATTGTAACCTGTTTAAACTTTCATTAATTTATAATTATCTTTCAAGTCACCTACCTGTCTCACGTTCTCCCTCCAAGCGTAATGATAAATCAATTCATATTCTGTGAACACGATGGTCATTACGTTGTGCAACTTTATACATCGTTGCGTATTCTGTAAATATATTTATTAGTCAATTTTCTGCATTTTACATATTATTATGTGCATCTATCAATAACAGTAGAAGTCCTCAGATGAAACTGTACTACCGCATGTGTGATAACATCATGATGTTCCTTCAATATCTTCATCGGCAATTTAATAGTTTTGTGATAAAACCTTGTCCACATTAGTCGCCCCGCCACTGGAGGCATATTCCTCGGTAGCTCTGGTTGGTCTCTTGCTTCGTTGTACCTTAATAATTAGTTTAAAATATAAGATGAAACATGATACATATTACGTTAATTGGTAGTTTAAATAATTGAGAACTTCCCTCTTACTTCCGTCGGCTAAAAAGAAGTAATTACATTATTAAGCAGTATCACTTAATTCCTCAATTTGGCATACATACCCGTCTCTTATAGTCTCAATCTCATTCGTGTACATCTTAATGAGGTCGAAATATTGATCGTCCAAATAAAGACAGTCTAACTGTAACTTCTCAAATCGCTTGAGAATATTTAATGCTGTCTCTGTTGTTGGGCACTTTTGAACACTCTGTGAAACATTGTAAATTAATAATTAATTTTCAAAACAAAGTATAATTCAACTACATAAACCAACCTATGTTATCTCTTGTTATAAAAAGATGTTGTGTAGTTTCTGTCGACAACTAGATAACGAAATAGGCAAACTAAAGTACTCAACGGTGACTCAATCTATAATTCAATAAATAACTACCGAGATCATAAAGTTTTCTAGTAGCATCTCCTGGTTGGCTGCTGCCTCGATATATATTTTGTAGTCTTTATCGAAATCTGGTCGCCTGAACATGAAATAAAATACCTATAAGTTACCTACATTACATTTCAGTACGTATTTAATTGTATTTTACTATATTGAATGGTTGTTCGACCTGTGATCCAAAGCGTCATAAGTTTTAGTCGAGATAGTTTTAAATAGTTTATTGAATGCAGCAGCATGTTCCTCAATGCCCTCCAACGTTGATTTATTCAGAACATAATACTCGATGTATTTTTCAAAGAGGTCAATGATCTAGAAAGCACTCTCAAAAATTCAGTCCAAATCTCTATGATGATTAATAAATTATTTGCTTAACTAAACAAATAAATAAGGCGTATTACCTTTACTAGTCTTTTTTTGAAAGTCTCGAACTTTCCAAATATGTGCATTTCCGAACAATCAAATGGCCTTTCAGAGGCTGCTTCTAACATTTCTTTCTCATTCTCATCGTAACAATCACGGTAAAATTGATAAAGACTCAAACAATACTGAAATATAAAGAATAACTTAATTAACCTCTTATCTGCCACACACATTAAACACATTAAACACAATAGAAAACACGTTGTGTCTCGCGTAGATGTACGATTAAGCCGTTAAACAAAATCCTTCCAATCGAATAAATTAGAAATGGACTTTCTGTTGAAATTAATTGGACTGGTCCTCATGCTAAAGGAGTAGTTGGATTAATTCTTAAGCTAAAAGGGCTCTGAGTAGTTAAATAATTTTTTTTTTATAAAAATACTAACTTTAGCTTTATCCATGAAAACATGTTTATCTTGATTCCAAATAGTCTTTTTGCCGTTTTTTGTAAGAAAATTCATACACATGTTAAGAATTTGATTGGTGACTTTGACGAGCAATGTAGATATCTGTTCGGTTGTGTTGTAATATCGGGAGGTCGCGTACATCATACGAATATTGTATATCAATGATGGAATGAATCTTGCATTGTGTAAGGATCACACCTGTAGTAAACATTCCTGATTTTAAAAAACGGTGCGCAATAATAGAATTTTCTCCTGTATTGTGGTGGGTGCAGAATTCATCACACCTAGACTCAGAACAATAAAAGGTTTTCCGTGCGAAAACCGAACACACAGTGACTGCACAGTCATAATAATTTAGTCAACATGATGGGTATCGATCTCGGATGGTTAGTGATCATAATAACGAGTAAATAATATGTGTGAATATTAGGTTCTTGTTATCAACCGAATTAAGCTCAATATAATTTTTGGAATTAGACATTGTTATACAAGGAATGTATTACCTGTAGAGAGGTTCGCAAAATTTCTCCAACGCGTACAAATACCTTACGTTGTCAAAAGCTTCATTGTAGTAATCAGTCACTTTATTATCTAGTTGTCTCCATTTCTAAAAATAATTTGGAGATTTAGAGTTATCCTGCGGCTTTAAGTTTCAAATTCGGAAAGAAATAAAAATACAATAAAATATCAACCTTAAGCAGTTTGGATTTCGCTGTTATTAGCGTGTGTATGTACATCATGGCTGGCTCACTCTTGATGTGCTCAATTATTGATGTGAAAGTTGTGAGCTGCCGTCGCCAGTGATCCAGCTCAGCCAGGGGGCCAATGTTTGACGACTCACGACGTAATTGTTGGCTTTGCACTAAAACCTATTTATAAAAAGAATGTTACTGTATAAGAACACGCTTTTTAAGAGGGGCGAAATCATTGAGTGACTTCAGGGAGTTTCAGACTGTTACTAACTAAAAACCACCCCGTTCCTACAGCTGCACTTCGAACCGGAGCCCCGATAACCCGTTAAGCTCTCCGTCGCTCCGAGGTAGGTGAGGAAGACCCAAGTGCAAACATCATACGATGGCCCGTATTCATAGTCCAGTTGCGAATATCATCACGACCACTTCTCGGATGGGGTAAACGATGATTTGTTTTTTTGTGTATGCGATTTGATCGCTACAACGTCTCTCAAGCCACTCCTCAAAGAGGGGACTTACCGTTGCAATGACAGCGAGCGCAGCTCTCAGTTGCGACAGTCGTTGCTGTCATCCCGCCACGCACTATTCTGGCGCGGAAGCGGCGGAGTTTTGCGAGAGCGAGCACGATCGCCTCCAAATCTCACGGCGGTAATCCGTACTATTAGTACACGCTACAGGTAATTGCTACGATTGCTACAAGTAACGGTGACTACACGGTGACTACGTGCCTACGCAGTGCCTTCGTGGGTATGCGGTGACTACGTGGGTATGCGGTGACTACGTGGGTATGCGGTGACTACGTGGGTATGCGGTGACTACGTGGGTATGCGTTGACTTCGTGGGTATGCGGTGACTTCGTTCGTGGGTATGCGGTAACTATGGCGCTGACTGCGCAGATACGCGCTGATTACGTGGCTACGTGCTGACTACGCTAACTACTACGCAATTGCTACGGGCCGGCAACACAAGGTGCAGCGAAGTCTAGTATGAAATCAAGTAAATTAATAGCAAGGTACTATTAATCGTATTCTCTACCATTGTTATTTGCCGGATCCATTGCTTCACATAAGCGCAAATTTCCTCCAAAACGTGTGTTTTAGTCACCGCTAATTTCATATTTTCAAAACTAGATAACTCTGTCTCATATAATGAATAGTTTACTTTGAATCTTGTACAGCAATCCAGATCTATTTTAGTTTCTGAATAAATTAATAATTGGTTAACAAGTCAAAAGTAAAGGTTGTTATATTGTAGGTATACGTATTGTAAGAACTCCTTCATCTTCTTAAAAACCTTGGTGTTATTATTATGATACTAACGTTCGAGATAATCGACGAACATCATTATCTTTGAAATGTAAGACTTGATGGTCTCCTGGCTTTTAGGATTCGGAGGGTTAAGACATCCCCAACCTTGGCAAGCCTGTAGAGCAGGAATGTAAACACGTTTCATGATCTTGAATATACTTGAAACAACGTTCTCAGTCTCTTGATTTATATCGAGTAACATATAAAAGTATTGCTGAAATTGTTATAACACATTTGATTACTATTGTTTATTACAGCAATTACATTTACGTACGTATTACGTAAGTATTACGTAAGTATCTTACATCTGCCACGTTCCGAGCATCGATAGCGTAGCTTTTCAACCTGTAAATCGCCACGCACTTGCCTTGAACACCAATTTTCGATAAATTGGATATGTATGTCCTTTCCATGCATCCTTTCTGATTGGGAACAAATCTCCCAGATTCTGCAAGAACACGCATATAATGTATACAGAGTTGAATTTTGCTGTTCCAATAAAATAAGAAGCGATAAAAATATAATTTATAACCCATTGGGATTGCAGGCAGTAGCGCATCACACAGAACAATACAATATGGACCGCCCTCGTCGACTGCCAAATGTAACAGTTCTATATTAATTTCTGAGTCATAAACACCCTCCTGTAATACAATTATTTAATTGTTTATCATGATTCTATGATCATTCTATGAGACCAAAAAACTTAAAAATCTATTAACAATGTATAGTTTGTTAGTTTAAAATAGTTTACTGTTTGAGCGCGCTAATCTTCGAAACTTTCGTCCGATTTCAATCATTATTTTTATGTTTCAATAGCTTATATGTTTCATTTATCGAGGAAGGCTGAAAGCTATAAAACATCACGGAATGACCAATACGAACCCAGTAGCGGGTAAAATTGCGCGGAAATAGCTACTAAGAAATATTTTGGTTAGCGCAATCCTGCTTTTAGGTTGGACACAAAAACTAATGTCTAATGATGATGTCAGGCAGGTAGGTAAGTACGGATAAAAATGGAAAACGAAATTTCTAATTTCATTTCTTACCAGGACATAATCAAGTGGCTTATTCAATACAATTGCTGCATTATCAAGTATAAATCTCTGCGGTGGCCTAATAGCACCAACTCTCTGGCTACGAGCTTCTTTTGCTATAGCCTACAAATAGGTAATTATGTTATTTTTAATAATGGGCAAATAGAATAATAAAACAATACAAATCTAATTATTCATTTTTATTTACTTGCTTGTCTTTGTAAGATTGATGGCCAAAATTTATTAAACTCATAGACTTTTTGTTTCGTTGCACCAAACTTTGTAAACGAGAGCTGACGTTCAATATAGACTCCAGTGCTGTTCTGTCAACTTGAACACTTTCTTCGTTGTATTGGGGATCATCTGATCCAGAATCTGGTTTGATCTCCTGAAAATCTGGTTGCGAATCTATTTTCACAGTTTCTTCACCATCTTTTAATGAACCATCGTCCTCTGCGTCCTCCATTTGTTCTAAGTCGTTAAAATGATTTGAAAATTAATTGTAAATAGACGTAACGATGACGAGATTGAAATCTCTAATGATGGTTTTAACAAACCTTACTAGATTATTTTTCGAATTACAAATGTACTACCTACTTATTTCGATTCTAATAATGAATTAAACTATTTTTATTCTCTTAGTAGCTAGTAAATAATTTGTAAATAAGTAGTAGGTACCTATGTACGTTGTTACCTCATAACTTTGGTAGAAACTATAAACATATAATTGATTGAAATATTATTTATTTGTTATGAGAAAAATTGGTAAGTAAGTAGGTACTTAATCGTAAGTACCTATATAAAGTCATTTTCTCTACATAGTCTCTAATAAAATTAGTAAAGCAGAATATCCACATAAGTATGTACATGATGTGTACTTACTTGTGAATTAGAAATTAGAAACACCAAAACGAATAACTATTTTCAGTTAATACTTGGCAAAAAAAAAATCTGTTCGATAATTTTGTTCATAAATTGAAATCTTTCTTATTTCGGCCAAAGTATGTAGGTAGGTATTACATTTTATACGTGCATCTCTACCTACCCCTTCGGAGATTAACAGATTTGATATTATGTAACATGGGTAAATAAACGCTCATGAAGAGTTGCTAAACGGATTTGGATGCACATTCGGAACAACTTTTTTGGAGCACATACGCACTACACCTCCATCGCGCGATACATCAAAACATCAAATTGAAGAAATATAATTATGTCCAACATTTTTATTTAACTCGTCGAGTACCGGTTTTATAGACACAATTAAAGTACAATAGGTCGCGGTCACCGGTGACCGCTTGGTGTTTGACAGTTTAATTTATTATTAATTGTATCAAGTTGTAATCTACAAACAAGATGAACAGTAAAAAATTTAAGTACAATTTAATTCCTTATAAACCAATACCCCAATTCAACATTAAAAGTAATACTGTCAAAGTGACAGTTGACAATATTGAAATTGACAAATTTCGAAAAGAAAAAAAAATAAACAACAAATCAAAGCGGGAAAGTAGAAGTAAATAAAACTTTTCACTTTGTATAATTAATATTTGAAATTGTAGATATAACGCACAATGCGCCGTAACTGGAGAGGACGATATCGAAATAATTGGTACCGTTCAAGAAATAATGAAAATAACAGTTCAGATAATCAGAGTTTAAATAATTCGACGAATAGTCACCGAGTATCAAGTACTGCAGGATCTTCAAGAGCTCCAGCTAATCAGATACCAACTGTTATACCCATCAATGAAACTACCAACATTTGGAAGTTATACTTTCCCACGAAAGGTTGGAAAACTGCCATTATAAAACATACATAAATGAATATACAGTGCATAAATAAGAATGTATTAAAGAAATGTGTATTTCAGATCAACAACCAGATTTAGAGTTAACCAACCAAATTAGATGTTTCAAACAATTTATTGAGAAACACAAAAACTTGTTTGATTTGGAGAAGATAGACCAGACCCGCAGTGTGCCATTAGATGTCACCAACTTGTTGAATGATACAGAGTTCATTAGCAGCTGGCCTAGCTTTAATACAGAATTGTTTGAATATCCAGATAAAACATTGAGGCTCCTTGAGTATTGTTTACATGAGGTAATTACAGTTTTTATTGAATGTGTAATGTGTGCATTATAATTTCTATGTTCCTTTTAATGTTTATGATAAAACTTAAATTGTAGATGCTACAAAAATGTATTACTTATTTATATTACTTACTATTTTTTGGTTTACAGACTCTCAAATGTGAATCTAAGATAAAAGTGAGAATACTAAATCACCAGCCAGTGATTCCATTAGCTAATTTAAAAGTTAATTACTTTGGTGAGTTTCTAAAAAGTACTAACCCCAGTTAGTAGCCTCAACAATCTGTCCCTCGATAGATTTTTTTACTTTATTTCTCTCTTCAATCGATTTTAAATCATCTCCCATCCACTGCTATACAAGGCATCTAATATTCTGTCACAAAATAATTACTGTTGTAGATTACCTAAATCAAAAGGCAAACGTTTTTTATCCAAACTTAAATAAAGTATCTGTAAAGCTAGATAATTTCGATGTCCTCACTCAGGCGGAAGCAATCATTCTATGATATCCCCTTAAAAAAAATAGCTAGACAATAATTTTATTCTACAGTCAGTTATTTAAAATTGTAGAAAATTAAATAATTGTCCTTAATTTTTACGACAGGTAAACTAGTAACAATAAAGGGCACAGTCATCAGAGTTGGGAGTGTGGGGCTCATCTGCACTTCTATGGCATTTGAGTGCTCTAGCTGCCACAACCTACAGGCTGTCATTCAGCCTCAGGGAGTTTTCACAGGTACATCTTTTTATACTGTTATTTATAACATAAACTATACACTTTATCATAATTCATTTTTAAATAATAAATTAATTGCATGTTGGAATGAGGGTACAGGTACCTACCATTAACACAGGTACCATTCACCAAGGCATAAAAATGGTCTGGTATTATTTCTTATTACTTAAATCTACACTTACATGATTACAGCACCTACATCATGCCAAAGCTGTAATGGTGGGTCAAGGTTTGAACCGCTGCAATCATCTCCATTCACCAACACAACAGACTGGCAAGTTGCTAAAATACAAGAAATTCAATCACAGGTTTATGTTACTTCATATTTGCTTTAATATCTTTTTTATAAGTGAGTCCTACAATGTTATTCTGTTATTACAGAGTCTGTCAGGAACTATTCCAAGAAGTGTAGAGATAGAACTTCAGGGAGATTTAGTTGGTACAGCATGTCCCGGCGATGTGCTCTCTGTCACAGGGATTGTTCAGGTGAGTAACATGTCTTATATTACATTACGAGAGACTAATAAATACGACAAATTGATACACTAAACTGTTCTAGGTGCGTGGCGAAAGCAAAGGCGGCGAAGACGGCAAACGAGCTGCCAGACTCCTACAGCTTTACATTGAAGCTGTGTCAATACACAGCCATCGAAATCTAAGCAATCCAACTCTATCCTTTACATTGAAAGATTATTACGCCATTCAGGTATTAGTTAACATTATTACATCAACCTTAACTTACACAGCCCCTTCATAGGTTGAAAATAGTTTATTCTTTTTTAACAGGAAATACATGCAACAGAGGATGTGTTCAGATTACTAGTCCACTCACTCTGTCCAACAATATTTGGCCATGAGGCAGTGAAAGCAGGACTCATACTTGGTCTTATAGGTGGTACTGAACATGATAATGGACCAAGGTCCAACCCTCATGTCCTGGTTGTGGGAGATCCAGGACTCGGAAAGTCACAGTTGCTACAGGCTGCAGCTCATGCTGCTCCAAGAGGTAAATTGATTAACAAAGCATAAAAATATGCATTACATTGTGTCCAATTGACCTAAATTACATAAACAAGTGTTATTTTTTTCAGGTGTTTACGTATGCGGTGCCTCAGCATCTGCAGGGGCCTTACTGTAGCACTGGGCCGTGAAGCAGGAGGAGACTTCGCTTTAGAAGCAGGCGCACTAGTTTTAGCCGACAAAGGCGTATGCTGTATTGATGAACTTGATAAGGTTACTCAAATTAATTACATTAAATTAAAATTTGTTTTACAATCCATAGTTTTTTGATTCGGTATCTTATAATTTTATTTCAAACTAATAATATTGTTATATTGAACTAACTGAACCGGCAAACTTCGTACCGCCTAAAAATTTTTTTCTCACCTTTTCCTTGGATTCTAGAATATTTCAAGACCAAAATTATCCAAATCGGTTCAGCCGTTCTCGAAAAAAAGTAATTATTATTTATATAAAGAATTAAATGCGAAGAATTCTTCATCACAGCGAGTTACATCAGGTATTATGTATCACATTTCAGATGACGGCTCACCACAGCAGTTTGTTGGAAGCGATGGAACAGCGGCGTGTGAGCGTTGCGAAGGGAGGCGTGGTGTGCAGCCTGGCCGCGCGCGCCACTGTACTGGCCGCCGCCAACCCGGCTGGAGGCAGCTACAACAGGTCGTTTCAGTCACCATTTTACCATTTCCAAGGACTCCTTTGTTTTAACAACTGCCTAGTTGATAACCACAGCTATATCATGTTATTTAGTTGATGTTATTATTAAATTTTTATTTTTACAGATCTAAAACTGTAGCAGAAAATCTAAAATTAAATTCAGCACTTCTCTCAAGATTTGATTTAGTTTTTATTCTTTTGGATCAACCTGACGAGGTAATTTAATTACGTTTTATTGAAGAAGCACCATTACCAACAGCCAACAAAGTTTTAAATGCCTATTAAAAAGACTTTGTTTCTGTGAGCATTGATTGATGATCATGATGACGCTATGTTATTAGGCCTATCTACCTACATTAATTACTATTTTTGGTGTCATCTATTAAGTCCACATTTTATTAGAGTTGTAATGATTGTAGAAAATGGATGCGATGCTATCGGAACACGTGCTGGCTCTACACTCTGGCCATAAAGGAAAGCATACAACAAAACAGCACAATCTAAACACAAGCATGAATACAAGTCAATGTGATAACGAGATTTCGCTCAGGTAATTTTTAATTATTTTTCGAAATATAACAGTTTGTAAATCGATTTTGAAACCTATACCTTACTAAATCGTTTTACCAAGGACTTAAATAACTCGTTAATTAGGTATACTGCAATACTAATTTTAGATTTAATTTCACTACATTATACCTTTTTCAGTCAAAGGCTTCGTTTAAAACCTGGTGAGGTGATCGACCATTTACCTTAGTTCTTTTAAGAAAATACATAGCATACGCTAGAAGGTACGTCCACCCAAAACTAAGTGCCGATGCAGCCAATGCTTTGCAAAACTTTTACTTAGAACTTCGGCACAACCATCAAGGAGGGTCTCATGACGGTACACCTATTACAACACGCCAACTTGAAGCCTGCATACGACTAACCCAAGTGAGTACCTACCTGTATAGGTATTTGTGTTTAGTTATCATGAGAAATAACATTTTAGTATTTTTATTTACATCGATTCAATAAAAATTACGATATGATTGGTCTGGTGTGTAGCAATAGAGTATTAAATGTAGATTTTAATCATCCCATTTACTTTTTATAGGCTAGAGCTCGCGTCGATTTGAGAGAAGAAGCTACTGTCAAAGACGCAAACGATGTGATAAGCTTATTGAAGCACAGTCTTATAGACACGTTCAGCGACGAGTTTGGAAACATACAATTATCCAGATCTATTAATGGATCAGGCGTTAGTTCGAGAAACAAGGTGACCTACAACATTAATTACGATAATATGCATGCATTACCCAATCAAGGCATTTTCCAGCATACAGCATATAATATTAAAAATAAATATTTTTCAGTTAAAAAAGTTCTTGGACGCATTAACAAGAAGATCTCATCAACTAGGAAAGGATATATTCACAAGACAAGAGATGATACAAATACATAAAGCTGCAGGAGTTGCTGGGGACCCAAACGACTTGATTGAAGCAATGCATACACATTCATACTTATTACTAAAAGGTTCTAACACATATCAGTTGATAACAATTTAATAAAATAATTTATATAATTTAAAAATGAATTTTATTTCATAAAAACTGCAGCCAAATATGACTCACAGTTAAAAAGGTGTGATGAAAAAGTTTCATAAAAAATCAATAAATGATAGTTTGTACTATAGTTCTTTCTTCACAAAGCAGGCGACATCATAGTTTTATTTATATTCAAACAAGTCTAAGCAACTGATTACTGACTTAAATATAATTTTATATCATTTAAATATGCTCATCCAAGTTTTGTTTCATGAGACTTGAGATTAATATTACATCTTATTTTAAATTACGTAACTATTATAATATGACCAGATTTCATATTAAACAAAATATGGAAAATTAGAATTAGGTAACTAGGTAATCAATGTAGCAAAAAAATTAAGTTTTCAAAAGGAGTCAGAAACCTATGCATCAAGAGTTCTATGAAGAAAAATATTCTGTAGACTAACTCAATGAAAATATTTCAAGGAGTTTCTCAAAATGGATCTTACCTACTGTGTACTTTTAGATTTATGTACATACTTTTTTTAAAGAAATAAATAAATGTAATTTATAATCCATTGGTCTTACATAGTCTAACTAATCAATAACACTGGATTCAGTCAATATATAATAAAAAAATAAGTTACAAACAAATATTAAAATGCAGTCTTCATTTCTATTTTCTTTTTACATCAGTTCTAGAAGGAACGTCACTCAACGCAATAGCAACATGACAACAGCAATATAAAGATGTATAGACTAACATAGCATTACACAGTGAAGGCCATTTAAGTAATTCAATGTACAGATTACCAACTTCACTACCAGCAAATAAATAGAAGTTTGATATAGCAGACATACCTAACAGAGGTGCACACAAAAATGCAGTAAATCGCACCTCCATTGCATCTGTTCTAAGATATTTTTCTTTAAATATTTTATATCTTGCAGTTTTCGAGGCTGCTTTAGCAGCATATTCTATAACAATCCCTACATAATTTAAAACTGACCATACAAGTATATTCCACATGGTGCCATGCCACATAAAAATAAACATAAATGTAATTAAAGAAGAAAATAATTTGTTTGTGATTTTGAGCCTTGTGAAATTATTTGACATTGTGGTAAAAACCGGTTTATAAATGTACCTGGAAATAAAGACAATATATCAGTTACTATGAGAATGATTATCACAGCCCAATTAACGTATGAGGTGGTATATTAAAATATGTAAAGAAAATGTCAACTTACTTTAATAAAAACCTGTATAGACCCACATCAAAGTATCTCCACATTTGAGAGTAAACATGTATTCTGACAATACATCTTGGAGTAGGTGGAGGGTCAATATGGTCCAGCCTGGAATATGCAGCTGTAGTTCCATAAGATATAACATATTTCATGTGAAACTCCAGACCCATCCATAGTCCTCCACCACAGAGTGCTAATGATGGCATGTTACGTATAGCCTGAAATTGGATGTTATAAGAATAAAAATATTCGGGTCATTATCAAATTAAAACGTTTTGCAACATTTTAATTACTAAATTGTGAAATACTATTTGTATATTACTACCAACCTCAATTTGACTTTGCATTGCAAAAAAATATATAAAATGAAATGCTAGCTCCAATAGAATAGTATAAATCTGGAAACGCAACATTTCCAGAATAAAACATTTTAGCCTCATTGTCAGCTTTTCACTTCTCGGAAGGAAACTTTTTTCAAATTCTTCATACAGTATTAATGGTCCAACAAATAACAATGGCAGGTACAAGGTATAACTAAACATGTTTATTAATTCTTCGAATACTGATGCTTGTTTTAATTTTTCTTTTTCTTGGGCTTGGGCTTGTGAAGGTTTCTCTTTTCTCTCTAAATAATCAAGGCAATAACTAATGCATCTCAATTCAACCCAGGCTATACCATATAAAATTAAAAACACTTCTTCATCTTTTAAATGTTCAGTATCCAAGAAATGCCAAAAGTAATATTTATATTTCAAAGAATTGTACAAAGCCAACAGTAAAATACTTATCAACCATATACTAATTTTTCCACCTCCAGAAAAACAATCGCTGAGAATATCACAGGTTGAATAAAAATTACTATCAACTGTCTGACACCCATATAACTTGCTATAAAAATTATACTAGACAGAATGTACCAATATTTCAATAAATTAATATTAAATTTTCGTATGGTCTCAGATATGAAAAATTGAAATAGCATATAAAGCCATAGGGTATGTATGTGGTACTTCCACGTGCTCCATTCAACATCAGCATCATCTTTCGGTCTGGACAAGAATCGCCACCCAGGTATTATAAAGTCTCCCAATTCATAACGCAGACCAGGGCTAGTCTCCAGTATTTCTGAAAAAATGACGTAAATTTAAATAAGAAACCATTTTTTTAATTAAAATATTATGCAGGATATTAATTTACTACTGTATAGAAAATTAAGAAGAATCAAAACATTACCTGTCTGAGCTCGAAGTAATCGGTATAGGGAATAAAAACAAGCTAATATCCATAAACTAAAATGAATAACATTTTCAATTTGATTTAGTTTGCTTTTCATTTTGTCATAAAATTACTGTGAATTCAATTTTCATCCTAAAAATAAAAAAAGATATGCCATGATTCAGACGCACAACACAATTTACACCTTTCAAATTCGACGGTAAATGAATGAATGGTATTTCATAAAGTCAATAAAAAAGTCAAAACAAGAAATGTCTATGGAATTTGTAAATGAACTGAACTGAATGTTGACGCTGAGGTTAGTCAAAAATTAAATTCTTATTAATTTTTAATAGGCTTAGGTTGTTCTTATTTTTAGCGTTTCGTGCCCAAAAGGTAAAAACGGGAACCCTGAAAATGCACGGTCTCATGAACCGTGATAGCTAGACAAATGAAAGGAAAGATGATGTATTTCTATTCCCGCTCTATTTAACATTGCCTCACACAAACACTAGACTCCTGTGTCGTAGGTACAAATCTACTAAAAACAAATAAGTATCTAAAGGCGGCCAGGGGGCAATTGAAGGTAATTTGCTGATTGCTCGAACGAATAAATTATAGCAATGATACGAAACACTATAAGCGAGAGCCGACTCGCACTTGGACGGTTTTAATTAAATAGTGTGACAAATTATTAATCCATTTTTTGTAACACTCAAATCGCCTATTTGTGGCGAAAAACACTAGATCAACGAGGCTACTAGTAGTACGGCCTTTTTTAACTAGGTAGGTACAAAGAATATTGCGCGCGAGTGCAGCCTATTAGAACTATGGTGCAGCCCGCCGCGGCTGCAGGACCCTGGCGGTTGCAAGACCACGGCCGCGCCCGCCAGTGTACCTAGCGGCAGCCGCAAATAATCGCATAAGCCGCAGGCGTAAAACGCGTGAAAATATGTGCTTTAATTTTTTACATAGGTACATATTTGTATTCTACAAAGGCTGCGGGCATTAGTCTATGGATCTTTAATCTAAGAGATTTTTTTAAGTGGGAAAAGTCATCGAATTACTGCTCCCGCCTGGGTGAGGCGGGAGGGAGTGTCAGACTCTTACTGACTAAAAACCACCCCGTTCCTTCTCCTGCACGTCGAGCCGGAGCCCCGATAACCCGTTAGGTTCTCCGCGACTAATCTAAGAGCTATGTAGCTCATAAGCAGTTACATGAGCACCTAAAGCACCTACCTACCTATAGTGTGTACATAACATAACTGTGTTATTTATATAACAGTATTAATTTTAAATCACGAATGTAACAAATTAAAGAAAAGTGTGGCTGCTCCGGAGGAGCTACATATTACGCACAAGACATATAATTATAACACACACATACACCATACACAATTGTATATACCTACTCAAGTAGTCACTCTTGCGATTGTCTAGATACCTGCATACGTAGGTACTATAAAAAACCAAAAAGAAGACCAAAGTTTCTAATATCTCGAACAAGAGAGCGTTAAATGACATCAGCTGTTTGCAAAACTCACTCGTGTGCTAAATTGCACTTTCGCACTGCGCAGTAACGTCCATTTTTGTACCACCCAGAATCTAGGAACTAGCGGTCTCGTCGAACGAACTCGTCACTCGAGTTGTCTACTCTCAGCAGAATTATGTATATTGAACTCAATAGGTAATCTTGGTAGTGCGGTCAAGGCGAGTGGTTCTGTTGTTCTGAGTCAGGAAAACATATGTGCAAACATAAATGTAGTGCCAATTATATTTAACTTGACTGTGTGTTTCTTAATTAATTACAACATGAAGAATTGTGTGATAATTCTGTGTGGACTCCTTTTACAAAACTGCTTGGGTAAGATTATTTTAGCTGGCTACTTAATTAAATATTTTTGTTGAATGAAATGAAAACAAAAGAAGTAAGCAGTTAACGTTTTTGTTGCCGTGGTTATCAATAAGGTGTAATCATATTTATTGCTTAGGTTCGAGCTTAATAGGTCAATCAAGCCTATCAAGATCAACTTATTATATATTTATATATGAATGGGAATTTGTTTTGCCAATTTTAAGCTAAGTAAATAAGGAAAAACCTGTTTTTACAACTAAATGTCTGCGTATGTACACGATGTTATGTGAAGATCAAATTATTTGGCGATTTTGGCTGACTAATACCAAGCGCGCGTAATTCAAAGTTTTGAAAGGACAAGTTGGGTTTTGAAAGGTTGCAAACCTATGCATGCCCGCCTTTATAATATTCGCCTAGTAAGTACAAGTTACTAAGTACTTAGTTAGGTAAGTAATTTTATTAAAATTATAGGGTTTTATGTATAAAACTAATGTTGTGTACCTATATACTGTTACAATAAAGATACATAAGTATGTAATCATATTAGTTTAATATTAGATATCGGTCATTGGTCAAGTTCATTAGTTGACCTAAATAGGGTTTGATTGTCTTATTCATTGTTGAGACAAAATCCAATTGTTGTTATTTTGTACTCTATGTAGGTATTCGTGATTTGTCATTCATAGGAATCACATGATTTATCCGTGTAGAAATACGGATTTATCGGCAACATGCGATGCGAACAGGTACGTTATACGCGCAATAATAAAACCCTACTTGTCTCAGCCTACTTAGTTCAGGATTGCTACAAAACATAATACAAATCGTTGAACATAAACATAAAAAATAAATAATACTTTTAATAACGGATTACACATTGCGTTAAGATAAAAATCTGCTATAGGAAAAAAAACAGAAAAACGTTTAGGTTGTCTTTTGATTTCATTTATATTTTTAGGTATCAATGTATGCTGTATTTTATTGCTCCTAACATTAGATCTTTAACCTTCCAGGTTTAGAATATAACAGAGGGCAGCGATTGAATTATAATACCAACACCGATTTCTTATTGCACGAAGGAGGTACACAAATATCTGGAAACCAATCACCTACAAATCAAAATCAAAATGGAGGCAAATCAAGCTATGCTGCTCAATTTCCAGCACTTGGCCCCCCAAGCACATCGCAATCACAAACAATTGTGTCCCATAATGTAAACGCTGGGCGTCAAACCAATGCCCAATCATCCAACGGAAAAAGGGACTATGTTGCGCCACAGTATCCAACGGTTAAACCGACACCACAAATTACCCAGCCCCCTTGAGGGAATAGTCCTACTCCCAATGCATGGCAAATGCCATCCAATAGTCAAAATAGTGGCAGGCCTAATTACGGTGCTCAATTTCCGTCTCTTGGTCCATCATCCACATCGCAAACGTCTAATAATCAAAATGTTGGACCTCAACGTAATACTCAATCATCAAACGGAAAACGAGACTATGTTGCTCCTCAATATCCAACAGTTAAGCCAAACCAACCAAGTAGTCAACCTACTGGATCAGGGGGAAAGGTAAAAGATCTTATCAACTTCTATGATAGCCAAGCCAATAAAAACCCAAGCCAAGGGGGGACATTTAGTTATAGTTCAATTTTACAAGGTAATAACAAAAATGGACCAAATCCAACAGCGACAGTACCGTCAACACCTATGACTTCATCGGTCCATACGCCAAAACCATTTAGCTCGGTTGTGGCTGGTAACAAACCTAGCACGCTTTCTACATTTACGACTCCTACACCTACAACGCGAATTCCCAGTACCCCCATGGCTCGACCAGGAACCCCTGTACTACCAAGTACTATAGTTAACAACAATAGAGGAACCACAAACACGAACTCCAACGGTGTTACTGATGCTGAATTAGAAGTATTAAGCGAGGAGTTATTAAGAAAGGATACTAATAATGCTGCTAGATACATAACGGTCAACTATCAGGAAAAGACTACATCGCAATCAACGGAGGATAAGGCACCTCTTCCGTGAGTATATCTAGTATAATACCACGAATAAAATAATTGTCCTTTGTACCTACAGCGTACAATTTTACATGGTTATTTTGCCCATGGCTCCGGTAGAAAGAAGATTTTTACTATCATATATTTTTCTTTTTCATTGGGCACCTATGATTGATAAACGGGGGAAAGAGGGCGAACTCATGCATCATGCATAATTACTATTACTAATATCATTTTATAATCTAGTAAATAAATTGATATAGGTATCTTCTATATTATATTTTGGATTACAAAATTATTCTTTAATCGTTTCAGTACCTACTTAGGGAACAATAACAAGAACTTAAAATACATAGTGGCCACTAAGCAACTGTTTTTTTTTAAGAAAAATTGCAATTTTGTTACTAATAATAGTTTCTGCATTTCTTCTAAACGATGTTAAAAGTAACTAATTAGTATACTTTCAAATGATGTCATTTGTTTGTAATGTAAACTTGATGTCGCAGATTGATCACCGTCGGCCCTGAGGTATGGAACATTCCAACGATTCAGAAATTCGTTCCATTATTGGATAATTACGAGAGAGACACATTGGTTAATGAACATGTAACAGCTCAGGTTCGTAAAATTTAAAACCTCTTAATTAAATTACCCACATACCCACATACCTATTCGAATTCAGTTCTAAAGATTTCTTAAGTAAATACAAGAATACACATAAACCTACTTAACCATCACAAATACTAACTGTTGAACTGAACTCTTGAACTTCCATTCAAAGATAAAGCTCTGAAATTATAATAACATATGATTTTATATTATTTTTGTACCTACTTATCTTGTTTTCCTAATAAACACAGATGAATACAATATTTTTATTATCATTTTGCAGGAGCGAACCGAGGAGAATGCTTTCATGGATGCTGTAATGTCTACGTCTGTGATAAGGCATTTAATGACATTCTTGAAGAATAAAGGTGATTTTCTTAGAGACATTATTACTTTTACAAACCATACAAATAATAATAGGTATTGAAAATACACGCGGACTTACGGATGACCATGTATAACCACCTTTTTTCTACTAGCACTGCTTTTAGTTTTCCCCAGCAGATACCTACTACCTATATTTTCCTCTTCAGGCTATGTGACACCAGACCCAAGGCAACAAAGAGACTTTCTCAAGCAGATATGGTTCAGTTTGTACTCCCGAGGAAGAGGAAAAATTAGCAGTTCTGGATTCGAACATGTGTTTGTATCTGAACTAAAGAACGGAGGCGTTTCTGGTAAGATAATAAAACTCTATCAATCAACTGTACCTACGCGAAAAGACAAATTTCAAAATTAAAATGCTGTTGTAACATATCTATACGTACCTACATCACATTCAATAGTCAGTTATGATAACCAATCAACACTAGATATTCAAACAACCTTGAATTTTATGGTTTTGTTAAATTAATGTATTTTATCTTTATAGGTTTACATAACTGGATTTATTTCTCCAGAGAAGAACTAGCAAACAGAGTTAATTATCTGGGATATTTGAAATACGAATTGCTCAACGATGTAAGTATAAACGTACCTACTACCGCCACTTTAGATACACTAGTTAGAGTTAAATTAAACACACAACAATGTTTAGTGATAAATTCACTCGGTTTTCCTGTTTTGTTACATGCAGTAAAAATATGTTATGAATCATGATCTTTTAATACGGCTGAAAAATAATTAATTTAAAAAACAAAATCGGTTTGTTTTTAAATTTCCAGAAAGGAGCTGTCATGAAGATCCATTTCAATCAACAAGGTGTGGACAAACCTGTGAACAGCCTGTTTGTTGGAACTTCACCGGAGTTAGAAATGGCACTATATACACTCTGCTTTGTGACACGCGTGGACAACGACTGTAAACTAAAACTCGCAAACAAAGATGTTAACATTATAACATACAATTTCCGTTATCGCAGCAAAAATTTGATTGGAAGCGCATATCCTCAAATATAAAGAAATGAATTCAATAATTTTATTATAAGTAGCTACCTAGTTAAAACACTTAAGATTTTATAAACGTAAATCGTTATATAGGACATAGGACAATTAATATTCAACTTACTACTTTATTTTTTTTAATAAAAAAACAGATTTTTTTGAAAAGTAAAATTGTTATCCCCTGAAGGTAAGTACTTTGCACTGATATGTTACTTTGTCATACATGCACCTAGCAGTGCCCAGCAAAATGATGCTGACAAGTTAATGAATTTGTAACAGACTCAAAAATAAACATACTTTTTAACAAATTTATATTTTGAATTTGATTTAAACCTCTCATTTATAATCAATTAAAGAAATGGGTATTTCTAGACTGCGTCGGCTATGGTCAGAAATGCGCCTTTAGTCCGGACCTAAAATATGAGTTTACAAAAAACAAAAATTAACAAATCACTATACAATCAACGAAAGAAACGCTGTGCAACATATTAAGTATGTTGCTATAATTTAGTAAAATATTTTGTAATGCTTTTTGTTATGCGACTAGCGACTAGCAACATTGAATTTGTCAATTTGACATTGACATCAGCTGTGCAGAGAGATCTGAGGGATGTCGTGCATGTCATGTCAATTGTCATGTCAATGTCAGTCGTAGGAAAATAGATGGGTTGCGTACAAGGTGTTTGTATGATGTTTATTCGAATTATTATGCAATGATTTTAAATTATTAATAAAAACTGACAGTTACCCAATCTATTTATGTGATATTAATGCGTAAAATATTAGATCCATGTGTTTTGGTTAATTTTTAAGTGATACATTTCGTGTAGTGTTACTGAAAATGTCGTCTTTGATAAGTTTACGTAGTAATTTAACAAATGGAATACGAAAATGGAAATGCTGTCTATCACATTTGCCGAAAAAATATCCAGAAGACTTTCTACGCAGAAGTTTTTCTACGCGTGAATTATTAAAAGAAGCATACTGGGTCAGAGTGTAGCAAAGGGTGTGCAAGGGATTTGGGACTTAGAAAATTTTTCAAAAAAATTAAAATTTTTAAAAATGCCTAGTTTTCTTTTTCCGTCGCTTAGTAGACCTAAAAATAAAGCGAAACTCATCTGAGCACTTTTTGTCTAGGACGTCAGGTTTGCCTGAAAATGAGCCTTAAAGTTCACTTGACGAAAACACTTAGAAAATTTTTCAAAAAAATTAAAATTCTTAAAAATGCCTAGTTTTCTTTTTCCATCGCTTAGTACACCTAAAAATAAAGCGAAACTCATCTAAGCACTTTTTGTCTAGGACTTCACGTTCGCCTGCAAATGAGCTCTGAAAGTCGCTTGGTGAAAACACTTAGAAAATTTTTGACCAAAATTTTTTTTTACACAATATGCCTTCGTTTTGATTTCTATCGTGTAGAGGGATGAAAAACAAACACTTTTCATTCTGATCATTTTTCGTCTAGCGTCAGCCGTTCTCCAGTTATAGTGAGTGAAAGGTTGACCTGAAAACTGAAAAGTTTCAGAAATCTCATTTTCTTTATACCAATGTCTAGAACACGCGAGTACAATTATTTTTTGTTCTGACCATTTCCCGGTACGAGTTAGCAATCGACAGATATTAGCAGTAGAAGCGTCCAGGGACTTGTAATTTTTTCATGATTTGACGCGGGCCATTTACTTTAGGGTGTGCAAGGGATTTGGGACTTAGAAAATTTTTCAAAAAAATTAAAATTTTTAAAAATGCCTAGTTTTCTTTTTCCGTCGCTTAGTAGACCTAAAAATAAAGCGAAACTCATCTGAGCACTTTTTGTCTAGGACTTCACGTTCGCTGTAAATGAGCTCTGAAAGTCGCTTGGTGAAAACACTTAGAAAATTTTTGACCAAAATTTTTTTTTTGCACAATATTCCCTCGTTTTGATTTCTATCGTGTAGAGGGATGAAAAACAAACACTTTTCATTCTGATCATTTTTCGTCTATCGTCAGAGGGTTGGCGGGAAATAGTCGTCGAAACCTAAATATTGCTAAAAAAAATCAAAAACAATATTTATTTATTATACAATGATTAAAAACGTATAGAACACAAAAAAGAATTGATATTTCCATTGGAACTTTTTAGCTGAAGTTAATAAAAAAAAAATCATAGAGAAATTCCCGACACGTCTTGTGCGTGTGCCCGCTCGCGCGGGAGTGCCCGCGCGACCCGGTGTCTGCGTGATATCGATGTTTTTGCCAAATTTCGGCAAGTCGATGTAAGCGACGCATTTCTGAGCAAATTTTGCTCTCAAATTTCGATTTGTTTGTGCGTTTGGTGTTTGAAAATATTATTTTGCGATCGTAGATTTTTAGTTTTTCTTATTTTAGTTTAGTTTAATTATTCCTTTTTTTAATATTTTTAATAGTTAGTAAGTACGTAGTTAGTTAATTAGTTAGTTAGAAGTAGATTTTAGTTTTAAGTTTTCTTATTATTTTATTTTAGTTTTACAGTAGATTTAAGTTTCATTTTTATTATATTATATATATTTTTAATTTATCATGGACCCGCTGCAGTTGATTTTGGCGCGCAATTTCAATTTGTGGAATTACGCTTGCGCAATTCCTAATGAGGAGACTGCTGTGACTGCAGCCAAAGCGTGGCTGCTTATTCCAGCCCGGACGCCTAGGTGTCCAACATGCAGAGGCCCCATGTCTAGAGAGGCCAAAATGAGCTACAAGCTTAAGTACCGATTAAGGTGCTGGAGGTGTGCTAGGGAGGGCAGGCCGTCCATTAGGTCCCCTCTTAAAAATACGTTTTTTGAGAGGGCCCACGTTAGCGTGTTAAACACGCTACGTCTTATGGTACATTTTTTGAGAAAGGATAAAGTGTCGCAGGCGGCAAAAGATGTTGGGGTTACAAAGAAAACGGCAATCCAAACGTATCATTACCTAAGAGAGGTGTGCGAGGTGGCAGAAGCCCACGACAGAGACTTGTTAGGCGGAAGCAACGACGTAGTAGAAATAGACGAGACACATTTGTATACAAGAAAATACCATAGGGGCCGGCTGTTAAGGCGGCAAACATGGTCGTTTGGGTGCATAAGCCGCCTTACCAGACAAATACACGTAGAGCTAATCCCAAACAAAGCGCGTACGACTCTGGACCCTATAGTGGAGGCAAACGTTCGCACAGGGTCGTACATTATGTCCGACATGCACCGCGCCTACAATAATATACATTTACGGTTGGGCATGAGGGGTCACTCAGCTGTCAACCACAGCCTGAACTTTGTCGGGGGCACGGTTGACATTCCCGTAGATACCTCCCTGGGGGCACCAGCTCCAGGTGGGAACGTAAAGGTAAAAATCCACACCAACACCCTGGAGCGGCAGTGGCTAGAACTAAAAAGGCATTGTCGGACATGTCGAAGCCAGCGTCGCCTTAAGTGGTACATGGGAGAATACATGTACCGCCACAACATTTTAAGACAGCTCCCATCAGACGCGGCTCGATTTCGCCGGCTACTAAGGGATATGCATAGGGTCTATCCCGGTTTAGGGAAAAGGGGCATCAAGAGTAGAAACTGCCGGTGTAGCAGCCCCAATTGTCGCCGTCGCAATTAAAATCTTTTTTCGTACACCCGGTACGAGTAATCTGCCGCCTGCGACCGACGACGCCATTAATGTAGCCGTCATTTTTACAGCACCTCCACCCCCACGGTATTCGGCCTCCACAAATTTCCCTCTCGAGTCTCTGCCCCTTCATGCTACCCCCCTATGCTACAAGTCCGGCGCCCCTCGCACACCTCGTAGGTTACCACACCACCTATCCATTATATTATCCCGCTTTTATCGGAGAACGGCTGACGATAGACGAAAACTGATCATAGCGAAAAGTGTTTGTTTTTCATCCCTCTACACGATAGAAATCAAAACGAGGGAATATTGTGCAAAAAAAAATTTTGGTCAAAAATTTTCTAAGTTTTTCACAAGCGACTTTCAGAGCTCATTTTCAGCGAACGTGAAGTCCTAGACAGAAAGTGCTCAGATGAGTTTCGCTTTATTTTTAGGTGTACTAAGCGACGGAAAAAAAAACTAGCATTTTTAAGAATTTTAATTTTTTGAAAAATTTTCTAAGTCCCAAATCCCTTGCACACCCTAAAGTAAATGGCCCGCGTCAAATCATGAAAAAATTACAAGTCCCTGGACGCTTCTACTGCTAATCTCTCGATTGCTAACTCGTACCGGGAAATGGTCAGAACAAAAAAATAATTGTACTCGCTGTTCTAGACATTGTATAAAAAAATGAATTTCTGAAACTTTTCAGTTTCAGGTCAACCTTTCACTCACTATAACTGGAGAACGGCTGACGCTAGACGAAAATGATCAAATGAAAAGTGTTTGTTTTTCATCCTCTACACGATAGAAATCAAAACGAAGGCATATTGTGTAAAAAAAAATTTTGTCAAAAATTTTCTAAGTGTTTTCACCAAGCGACTTCAAGCTCATTTGCAGGCGAACGTGAAGTCCTAGACAAAAGTGCTCAGATGAGTTTCGCTTTATTTTTAGGTGTACTAAGCGATGGAAAAAGAAAACTAGGCATTTTTAAGAATTTTAATTTTTTTGAAAAATTTTCTAAGTGTTTTCGTCAAGTGAACTTTAAGGCTCATTTTCAGGCAAACCTGACGTCCTAGACAAAAATGCTCAGATGAGTTTCGCTTTATTTTTAGGTCTACTAAGCGACGGAAAAAGAAAACTAGGCATTTTTAAAAATTTTAATTTTTTTGAAAAATTTTCTAAGTCCCAAATCCCTTGCACACCCTTTGCTACACTCCAACCGCATACTGTCGTACGAAGTTAAAATTCAAATGTAAGTATGCACGTTTATAGTTATACGCAAGTCAATGCGATGCAAATAAATGTATTGTTATTTATGAAATTCACGACCTTTTTAGCCAAGAAGCTACCACAAGACGTGAACCCAAGGGGTGTATTTGCTTGCAATGAACTGGATTTATCTGAAGTCAAAGTATATGGATTTGATTATGATTATACTTTGGCCCATTACAAGCCGTCTCTGGAACATTTGCTGTATAATCTTGGAAGAGAGGTCCTGTTAGAAAAGTATAATGTATGTATAATTAGTCAAATGTAGTTTTAATTTCCTTTAAATTTAATTACAAGTTGGGTAGAATATTTAAATATACACCTTATACAAAAGAGCTTAACAATTATTTATTGCAGTATAAAATTATGTTTTATATATATTCTTATTATATGTTTTGTGAGTCAAGTTTGGTATTTGTACATTTTGTACAATACTTATTAAAACAAATCTGATTTTCCCAAAATGATGATGATTTTTATGTTTTTGCTTTTCAGTATCCACCAGAAATATTACAATTAGAGTACAAACCCAATTTTGCTGTAAGAGGTTTGCACTATGATATTGAGAAAGGCCTCCTTCTGAAGTTGGACTCATTCCTACAAATACAGTTTGGGGCGGTCTATAGAGGTCTTACACCCGTGTCTACTGAAGAAGTGCTCAAGCTGTACAGAAACAGAATCATACCCATTGCTTATGTTGAGGGTGATACAAGGGCTCATAAAGTAAGTTTGCAAAAGAAAGCAATCTTATGGGGAATAAATCTGGTCATGATTTATTATCTCATTTATCTATAAAGAACATGCAGGTTACATAACCACACAACAATATAACTGGCCAGTTATTCACAATTTTCCACCTTTATGTTTACAGCACTAAGGTTGAAAATCTCTTTTGTCTATCATTTACACACAGTAGTAAACTAGATAGCAGTCAGTAATCACTGGCACTTGTAAGCAATCATTCATTTGTGCTCCCCTTTGCAATGTTGACACAAGGACCATGTGTGACAGTATATTGATATATTACATGTCTGTATTGTATGAACTTGGTCTATAAACACCTCATCTGTTTGTTTAAGATCTCCCATTGTCAAGCAAATATGTACATAAATACAACATTGTTTTATCTTTGTATGAAAGGTATTATAGTAAGTCCTAGACTTGAGAATGCTTACTCAAGTATCTGAGTGCAAATCAGTTCATTGACTAGTTTGTAGGTCATTTAAATAGTTATTATTTAATTTGTCTTTCAGCCAAATAGAGCCAAGATGGTGCATTTAGCTGATCTATTTTCAGTACCGGAAATGGGTTTACTATGTAATGTAGCTGAATATTTCATCAAAAATCACATTGATTATCATCCGGAAATTCTGTTCTTAGATGTCAAGGTAATAATTGAACAAATATGTATTAGGAATAATTAATCTGCTTCTAAGTTTTATTTTTAATTAAATGTGTATTGAATTGTAGAACTCAGTACAAAGCTGTCATCCAATCATGCACAAAATAGTTGCTCAGAATGTAGAGTATATAAGGCCCAATGCAGACTTGAGGAAATACTTCCAAATGCTGCAAGACAATGACAAGAAACTGTTCCTGTTACAAATAGTCCGTATCACTTTGTGTAAGTAATATATCTCGTTTGATAATGAAATCATTATTATAATGATATTGTTAATTAGTATTAGATGAAGCGCATGTAAGCTGATAAAACAAAATTTAATTAACAGTTTTCTCATTGTACTTTGATTGTTTATTTTTCTCAAATATCTCATTCAAATACTGGAAATTAAAAATATTTGAAATTTATGTGTCTCATATATTTTTTTAATTTCAGTAATGCGGGTATGGAAATGTTGGTTGGTCACGATTGGCGGGATTACTTCGACGTAGTGATCGTGAATGCGAATAAACCGAAATTCTTCACGGAGGTGTCGCGGCCTATTCGAGTGTTCGATAAAAACGCCAACACACATATATGGGAAAAAGTCACTTCATTAGAGAAAGGGATTATATATTACGAGGTTTGTTAATAAATATGTTGACATAGTAATAGTGCGTAGTATAAGTTATCGATTATTTAGAACAATTGCATGAACTGAAATGGAACAGATATAGTACATAAACTGAAGCCTGTTTCCCGTGAGGGTAGGCAGAGACTATGGAACGCCGATTGCTTCGATTCTTACATACCTCTTGTGCTTCCTCAACAGTCATCAGTCTTTTCATGCATGCTCGTCGATTAAAGATAAGATAAAGTAGTACATTAAATATACAGTGAAAAGTGAACAGAGAGGATAGAAAAAACAACTTGCACACACCTGTAAGTTGAACATCCAATCTTCCACATATTTCGCCAGTTATGTGACTTCTTAACACACCTTATATTACTGGAACAGAATGTTACTGATACTTGATTATTATTAAAACCATAATGTAATATTTCAGGGTACAGTGAAGCAGTTACAAGATCTGACAGGCTGGTATGGTCACCAGGTGTTGTACTTCGGAGACCATCCGTACAGCGACCTCGCAGACGTCACCTTGGAGCACGGCTGGCGAACTGGAGCCATCATAAACGAATTGACAGTTAGTTTTATGATATTTTTATTCTTCATCATCAGCCTTCATACCATAAATTTATTATTGATTTTTTTTACTAAATTAACTAAAAATCGCGGGTTACTCACGTAAAAATACTGGCGACTTAGCAGGCTTCGCGACACTGCCACAACCGCACACGTTACTCATGAGGAAGAACCCCTCTGTGTTTTCACGTGGGTGACCCGCGATTTTTAATTTAGTATGTCTCATGATAGTTATTATATTCCTCTTTGTTTACTATTGTATCGTCATTGATATCAGAGCTCTTTGACTAACTATTGCCCTCTGGTGAGCACAGCAACGCTCATTTTTACTTTACTTTATCTTTTTGTTATTCTTAAATCAAATACATGCCTTGCAAGCAGCGCATGTAATGTGATTATACGGTTTCGAGTATAGCGTGAAGTACTGATTTGTAACTGGTGCCAGGCAAAATGATTATACCTCCTTACTACCTACATCTATACTAAGTACCTAAAAAGATTTGATTATTTGCATTGAATAGGCTCTGAAACTACAGAGCCGATTTGATCTCTTTCACAATTTGAAAACTTGCATTTCATTGAGTGACAGGCTATTTTTCTTCTCGATATTGATATAACATAGAGGACGATAAAAGAACGTAGAAGTGTAAAGTGTACTAGGATACATTTATCACCCTCGTTTTTTATTTATTTTTTTTTTTTCAATACATGCAAACTTCGTTTAAAACCTACTGTAACACTTCTCTGCATCACCCTATGGTTGGCTGGTAGAGAATGCCATTCGGCATTAACTCGTCGAGTACCGGTTTTATAGACACAATTAAAGAACAATAGGTCGCGGTCACCGGTGACCGCTTGGTGTTTGACAGTTTAAGTCCGCCATTGTATACAGTTGTACATAAAGTGTTAAATAAATAAATAAATAAAGTGATTAACCTAATATGAATAATTATTTCCAGCATGAAATCAACACATTGAACACCCAGTCGTTCAAGGAGAACGCCAACTGGCTGCAGATGTTGACGCAGCTTATTGAAGACCACCAAGACTATAAGGATGCTGAGGCGCTCGAGGTCGTCAACGAGTGGATGGCAGAGAGAGACTATCTGAGGTTCGTATTGAACATTTAAAACTTTCATATATTATCTATTTCATGCATCATGGACTGTGGTAAGTTATGAACAAAAAAATACCCAATGATGTATTTAACATACTGAGAAAAAAATGCGCATACCAGATTAGGGCCCCTATTCTATATGATTTTTAATATTTATCTATCATAAAACACCAAATGACATCCTCAGAAAAAAAATTCTCAGACTAGAGTAGGGTCCAGTTTTAACAAGTGAAAGAGAGTATAAACATTGAATATAATATATATGCATATCTTACAGACGCTTCCCCTATTGAATATGATATTTTATATTTATCTATCTTAAAATATCGCTGCATAATCTTGATTTTTTGGTAAAATTTAATGTGAAAAATGCAATTAATCTAACTGTACTTACTGGCTCTAATTGGCTGTAAATAACGCTTGTGTGTTTTGTTTACACGCTTCCATTGTAGGAGATGTATTGTCAATTACAGGAATGAAATAAAGGCAGTGTTTAACCCACAATTCGGTAGTGTGTTCCGTACGTACCACAACCCAACGTACTTCTCGAGACGTCTGTTCCGCTTCGCCGACATCTATACCTCCAATATCACCAATCTGATGAACTACTCGCTTACGCATACCTTCTACCCTCGCAGAGGTGTCATGCCACACGAATATGGCTCGTATTTCGTTTAAATTAAGTGTAAATTCACGTAATCACTTCAACTGTAAAATCATGTATTATTTTAAGTAAAATTCAGTTTTTTAGAAACATTTGTTAAGGTTACTTCGAATTTTATAATTAATCTGTACCGCTTTAAGATACCTTTATAAGTGTATAGACAAGAATACTTTGAAAGATGAACTTATTGAATCAGTGGTTTAAGACATTTTATTTGTACATATTTTAGACAATTTTAAGCAAATTAGTTAATATATACAATGTAAGACTAACATATCTACGTTGTAGATAAACAGCAATGCAAATCATCCAACGGTATTCTAGTCAAAAGTATTTAATATAATCGTCTTACAATTGATAAGTGTCTTTATTTCTTTTCTTACTGTTAACATATCTTTACCGTCAATTCGATCAGATTAAATGTTATAAGACACAGTGTATAGAAAATAAAATAATGTAATATAACTATTAAGTTGATACCTATATAGATTACAGCGTGCAAACGAAGGTTTGGGCCTCCTCTATTGTTTAAATGCAAAACCCCACCGCTCCCCCTTTGTGCTACACCTATATTTTTTACTTTTACAAGGAATTGTGGCTATCGACTACGGGATCTTAACCCGTTCGCTTAAATGTACCTTTTCGTGACACGCTGTATAATTATATATATTTCATACTACATTGAAGTATTTAAAGGTAACTTTTAGTATTCTGTAATATGGTATTACGGGTTAATTTACATCTTGATCTGTTTAAAGTTTTGACTTTTCTGTATACTATGTTTATTATTTGTTAAATGTATAAAGATAGACGCGAAGCATTTGTTGTGCTCGTGAACTGTAATCGAAAGAGGTCAGAGTTCAGTACATTTTATTATCTCTTCTAAGAATCTTATTTTTATTAAGCATTTTAAAAGCTATTTATTTACTTGAGTGATTAACGTGATTGCAGTTAAATATAATTATGTAATGGTATATGTAAATGTTAATCCGTTTTTTTACAAGGGCATTCTAATGTGCTGTAAATATATTTATATATATATATATATACTATGTTATTTACTTAAATCAATATTTTTGTGGTTTTATTTGGCCATTTATATTTATGTGTTGAAGACGTTATTGTTGTTCCTTGCCGTTTAGTAGATAATGTTGTGACGTAGTATCTTGTATAACCTACTAACATACCCCTGTCTGAGTATTACGAATTATTGTACCGAAGACTAGTTGGTATCAAAATATTTTGTGCCATTTTAGACAATAAATTCACCGATTGCACTTCTTGTAACCTTATTGTCAATAACAACTTCGAGTGTTTTAGATGACATCAGTACCCATATGTATTGTGCTATACTTAGTCGCAGTGTTTTAGAGAAATGTTGCAATAAAAAGATGTTTACATTGAATTGGTTTTAATATCATACACGTTATCAATACTTGTAATAAGTTATTGCGAAATTCGTGTTTAATTACATGCTTATCGTGAGAGCACGACCCGCGGATCGGCCTCTGATAACTTGCTCGTTTCTGGCATTATCTTTGTTTTAGTACATAAAGTCATAGCTCATGATTTTGGATCATTTATTTATATCTATTGAAGTAAAAATCAAGAGAGCTAAGAGTTTATTTACACATTGCTTTTAAAATTAGGTGTATAAATATCATGTATTGAGTATATGCTGAGGTATGTATACGTATAGTTTGTTATGTTAGTAGAAGGGGTAGGCGGTGTCGATGAGGAGTACGTTCTCCGACTTCAAGGTCTTGGTTTGTATGGAGAAGTTGACGTTGTTGTAGCGCAGTCTGCAGGGCCGGTCGGGGCGCGCCATGAAGCACAGAGTATACAGGGACAGCTCCAACTCGGGGGATGTGCCCACGAACATCGTCACCTCCGGGGCGTCCTTAGTGTCACTCAAAACGGAGTGCTGCTTCAGAATCATTCCTTTCTGCAAAATTATAAAAGTATATGTTTATTTAAAATCATACCTACTTGTAAACCAAACAAAAATATTCAGTGCCTATAAACTCAGGATAAACCTTGGTTGCTAAGTGAGTTGCAGTTATATATACTTTTTAGATAAGGTGATTCTGTTATTAAAAACATTATAAATAGGCTTGGTAGGTAAGGACGTATAATTTTAATTTGCAGTAAAACCAGTTAGTGATTCATGTGAACAAGGAAATGTTAACATATTTATCACACTATGTAAACTTACCCCAGAGAGATCCAGTTTGTCTATGTAGCCCAAGTAATTGGCTTTGCGATCTTGTTCACGCTTGGCGAAGAACAGCCAACTGTGGAGTCCTGTAAGCACAAATGGTAGATAAATCAATTACCTAACTACATGTAGATATGCCTCTAAAATTTATTATAACATATTGACACGTTTTTGTAGTTTTCTCTGTCTGTACCTACCTATGTTAAGCCATTGTTTTGTTGCTTACCTACCTAACTACTTATTTTTGATTTGATCGTGGTTCAGCTTCAGTGGCATGATTTTAAATCACTCAATACTTTTATTAGGTAGGTAATACCTACATAAGCTTTAAATCTACTTGTTTACAGGTTGATTGGCATATAGCTTTGTGCCCAAACTCACGCATTTAGCTTTAATTTAAGCGTTAGACCTTGAAAGTTATTTTTGGGGGACTGCACGTGTATAGTGCTAATTGATGATGTAATTGCGAATAAAGGGGACTCCATACAATGGCGCTACTGTCATCTGTCATTGTATGTCTAATACGTATATAGGTATGTAATGTAAGTACCTATGTTTACTATTGTCTTAAATCGTACATTTTCTAATGCAGTACCAAGAATAAATTAAAGAGCACTACTCTCTTTGCCGAGAAAAAAAAGATAGAAATCTTGAATGTTGAACGAAAGCACATAACTGGGAACTTTAGGACACTAATATTCATAAGAAATTTCATTATGAATATTATATTATTTGTTTAAAATCGATATCGAACTTGATATTAGACAGTCCTGAACAATGAACTGCTCACTATCCTGTTGAACACACACAACAACATACTAAAACGTGTTATAACTTTTGTCACTTGCATAACTGTATCAATAGCAATTTTGAGAGTTATTTTCTGATGTCAATTACCAAGTACGTCGTTGGATTTAAGTTCGGCCATGAAAATGTTCTCGAAGGCGCAGCTGCACTTGCAGAGGCCGGTCCAGTGGCGCGCGTACTTTGTGAACCAGATCTTCTTCAGCAGTTGCACTTGCTCATTGTATTCATTCATCTGAGTCAAACCTGGACACAAATAGAGATAATGAGGTGGAGTTGTTATGAACGACAAATAAGTCGTATCTACCCATTTAAGTACTTGAATAAATTATGTACTTAAGTACCCACCTAGATGCCTAAGTAGGTACGTGTTGATTGCTATTGCTATAGTAAACGGACTACAAAGATGTTTGGTTGCGTTAGACTTCAGACATTAGTTAAGCTAAGCAGGTAGGTATCTAATTTTAACATAATATTTCAATGATTAAAAAAAATTAACAAAATCTAACGACCAAAAACGGATTTTCCTTATATTTTCCTGTATAGTTGGTTTTGATTTTATAAAGATTACTTGCTTATTTACCTAGTTTCGGAACAACTATGTATTTGATATATTTGATAATACATTAATGTACTACTTAGTTGAATAGTTGAATCCTTCCTGAGCAGGGTATAAAAAATGTTTCATTAGATTTAGACCAGCACAAACCATCTAATATTCATACTGGTGATGTAATGCGTTAAAATAAAACAGGTTTGATTACCTTTGCTGACCAAAAAGTTCATTAGACTCCTGACTGGCCCGGTCGCGAGGATTGTGTTTATAAAAGTGACTTGTTCCGTTTCCTCCTGCAACATGACATCACTTTATATTAGTTTGCCTTGCTTGCTGCAGCTAGTTCTTTATACTTATGTACAATAAATTGCTCAATTACTACGTATATAGATACCTTAGTTAGTATGTGTGCACTTACATTAGGTGTGACGAATTCTGGCCTTATCACGTTTTTGTGGTAGTTGTCGAAGAGGGCAGCAAAAGGCCTGATTGTTGGACCATTCCACACGTTCTCAGGCACGCTCAGGAGGCTACAATGATGTAAAAATAGCATTTAGTTATTATGATGTGAATTATCAAGTTGTTGAAGATAGACAAAGCGGCTTTAGTCTATTTGTAATCTACGTTTGTATTTGTTGTTATGTTCCTGGTAGTAAAGTACTTAGTAACTACAAAGTTTATTCAATTGCAGTTGTAGGTATCCTCCTAATAAAGTAGGTATGTATAAATCTGTTGTCTAAATCCTTTAAATATTGAGTACTTCCATGAGGTCATTAGATAATTACATGATATACCTACACATGCTTTATGTGCTTAATGGGTACCTACGAATCCCCAGAAAAAACGCTGGTACTTAGGTAGAAGATACATTAATCAGTACCTGAGCAGTGTATACCTACAAGTAATAAACGAAGTCATTGGACTTACATTACGACTTATAAAAATGAGTAACAATTACGATGCGCGTGCGATGTAGTAAGATTTATTTGTTGTCATAATTCGTCTAATTGAAGTATGAAGAATGAACAGCTACCTGCCCACCTAAAAACTAGCCTAGTCAACCAATTGACACATTTTTAATTGTAAAAAATAATATCTTACTTTGACGGTGCTTTGTCGTCCTTCGACAGAGCGCTGGTTTGGCCTTGCAAATTTACTTGGATGTATGGCAAAGCGTTGTTGATGTCCGCATTGAACATTTCCTCGCTCACTCTCAAGAATATCTTCATCTGTGGTGGAGTCCTGCACCTGACGCAGCAGATCCTCGTAGCTCTTCTTCTTGGCATAATCGACGACACCGCCTACTACGGTTCCTATCTGCTGAAGAGTGTTGGTAGCAGTGTTTCCTTGTTGACCAGTCACAGAGTTGCTGATCAGATTGGGCAAGATGCTGTTGAAGATCTGGCCCGCGCTTGTCCGAAGTCGTCGGCCCGGCTTGCCGCCAAACAAACCAATAAAACCAGCACGATTTTCATTTTGGATAAAAACTACGTTGTTCCTAGCGCGATCACGGCGCACTAGTGATCTCTGAGCCCGCGGCGACTAGGCGATACTGCGCGACCTTTGGGTGATGTCATGCACGTATTATAGATATGTGTTATTAGGATTCTTAGTGCGATGGTTTTTGCGTCGACAACGGTGACCGGCCTGAATGTGTAATGTGATACGAGTGGATTCTGTCTTGGTAAACAGAATTGACCCCCACAAGTTTCAAACATACACCTCAGTTCGCATAAATTGTACTAATTATGTACACTACTTGCGTTCTGCTCGCCATGTGCGGATACTGGACACTTGTTTGCCTTCTTTATGATATTGTAAACTTGAATGAATTGTGCAACGCATTCATCAGATACCTACCTATATGTTCGAAAACGAATCATAATTTAATGACCGATGTTTTGAAGATAAGGTTTAAAGGTTTTTTGTTTTTTATGTTTTTTTCCTGGGTGGGTATGGTCGATGCATCATCAAAACAATGATTTCATTTGAACATTCATCAAGGTGACCAATCCTGCATAACAAGTAAACAAAGATGGGTTAATTAAGGAAATTAAGTAATTCATGTGATCATTTTCAATAGCGTCATGTTATAAAAGCTACCTTTAACATTTTGCCGTACACACGTAACATTCTCCGAGAAAGTAAGCAGAGATGCACAGATCTAATGTAGTTCAAACACGCAAATATTAGGTGTCGAGCCCAAGATCCCTAGTTTACCAGTAGCTCTTAGGGGTACTCGATATATCATATGTCTTTTCCTCATGGCAAGGCAATCTGATTAAATATTTAGCTCGACCTTTCCTATAAGTATCCGTAATTTTATCTAGAAGTAGCTCAACTAGTTGTCATATTAAAAAACATCGCAGTACTGAAGTAGGAGCCTGATTAACAATAACCACAGAACAGTTAACATATCAATGACATACGGATGTAGAATCAGGATGCTACAACTGCAGTAGTATTTATATCCCGCCAATAAAAGAAAGTTATCAGAAAAGAGACATTATCAGAAGCGCATCGTTGCGGGCGAGCGCGCATGCGCAATGCAGGAGTAGCGTGCTGCGCCCGCGCACTGCGGGAAAATCGTATCTTACTCTATGTTTAATGCATTAGGCTCTCGTCCAATCGACTCTGTGAATACTTGTACGATGCTGGTAAAGAACTGTACATACTACGCTGCGAATATTTGGAATACTTTGCTTTGTACGTGTCAAGTTAATGACGATGTTCACTAATTGATCTAAAGATAAATACATATTGAATAAGTTTCTAACTTATAAGTGGGTAGTTAGATAGTACTAAGATATACAATTATGGAGTGTAGGAAACTTAGGTAAGTATTTCATACACATTGAAAACATCATCCGTAACATCAATCCAAGATTGATATTCTATATTAAGAGTTTTATTTCGATACGTACTGGTTGGACATAGTAATTATATGTCCAAAAGAACGACGACTTCAATCTACGGTAAAGAAATAAAAATTACACACCTAAAGTTGTCTCGTCATTCGTTCTCTAAACAGAATTTAAATTACATACTAAGTTCAATTAGGCATGCTCTTGTTTCACTGGAATATAGAACGAGTGGTATAGTCTGTGGTAGTTAATTGAGGTAACAACGTAACTGCCCGCCATATTGTCAATTATTTGCATGTCCGGTAGCTGCGGTTTTCTTATCGCCCACGAGTTTCAAACAATAAACATAATAACATCATGTTCTTGTGGCTTCAAGGGTCAGCAGAGGAGTACATTTATAGTAGATTTAGTGTTGTTTACAGTCATATTCCCGAATTTATGAATCTGTTCGTTATGAAAAGTTGTTCCTAGTTGATTGAGTATGGGAGAGCCATTTCAGGACCGGCTCGACCGGAGTAATACCACGGCCTCACAGAAAATTGACGTGAAGCAACCCTTGCGTTGTGTTTCGTCGTGTGAGTGAGCTTTACTCCCCCCCCCCCACTGTTCCACAATCTCCCCAATCCCTGAATTCCTAACAATCCCCAAAAGACCGGTAACGCATTTGTTACGCCTCTAGTGTTCCAGGCGTCCTTGGAAAAGAGTCAACAGTTTAAAGCTTAATTTTGAAAATATAAATGACACTTTACCTGATACGCTTGTAGTCTTTAGCCTACTAGCCCAGTCACAGAGAACCTAACGGGTAACCGGGGCTCCGGCTCGACATGCAGGAGAAGGAACGGGGTGGTTTTTAGTCAGTAAGGGATTCGATGATTTTCCCCACTTAAAAAAAATCTTTAGCCCAACGATGTTCCAACAACTGGTACAGTAAGTATTGTACCTCTACTACTAAGATGTTATTTGTAAATTAAAATAAGTCACACAGGTTTTCCTTATTTTTTTTAATTCCGAGAAGTGTTTTCCAATTTAAATTTCTTAGAAATTATAATCATATCGTAAACTATGTTTTTAATATTAGTAACTGTGTATCTTGTATCTATCAAAACAATTTAATGTATAGAGCTAACGATAAATAAATTAAATGTTGATCGATCAATTTATATGTAGCTATAGTAATTAAAACACCTGAATCTGCGACCTTTCATTTACAAAATGTTACTATGTTAGACTACCTCATTGGCGGAGTGGTCGCAAGTGCGACTGCCGGGCAAAGGGTCTCGGGTTCGATTCCCGGGTCGGTCAAACTATTATTGGGTTTTAAAAAATACTCAGTAGTAGCACGGAGTCTGGAAATGTGCCCGGTATATGGCAATAGGCTCACCCCCTATTACATGGGACTCATAACATAAATATGGAAAGTGGGTGTTACATTTAACAGTGGCATTAAGTTCCGTAATGTGCACGTCTGCCTACCTTCGGGGATAAAAGTATGTTATGTATGTATGTATGAACAAATATTGTGGATTTTTCATTATCGGGTAAGAAGTATAATGATTTAAACAGAAATAAACTATACATTATCTGTTTTACTTTGGATATAAACAATATCTTGAGTAAATAAATAGCAGTTTGTGATCTAGTTATGTCATAACTTTGCATAAATAATAATCTATGTACGTACCTATGGTTAGTTGCTTACTTTCTCCAGTGCTCAATTGGGTGGCGTTCTGGGATCGGTCCTTGGTTACGGTAAATTATGATATCCGGTATAATACATATATTCGGTAAATTATATCAGGTACACAATTTTTTTCCTATTAATATTGATTGTAGATTCTGCGTTCGTGTGTAGTATTACATATTATGTTCGGAATGCCCCAAAGAATTTTTGAAAGCCCCCAAAAAATACACATACATAATGCGTTTTCCTTTTAAAAAGATTCATTGCAATTCTTCCGTGTTAGAACAAGGTAAAAAGAATAACAATCGCTGTGGGAATATCTACTAGTTATCGACAAGGTTGCCGTAAAAAGTTCGCGTGTACTTCATAAGCCGAAGTTTCATTTTGATAGTAACACGTTCTTTAGCTAGAGAGTCGTTTCTCGTTTCCTGTTTGACTATAGATTCATTATTCTAGGTTTATAATTGACGATGATTGAAGCATTTACTTAACAACACATCTTATTCGTTCGTAAGGACTAATGTTCAGTATGTGGTTATATATAGTTTAATAACGACCTTTACCCCCTGAATAAAGAGATATTAAAATGTCCAATTAAAATAATTTACCTACGAAAATTATTTTGCTAGTCGACTTAATTAAGCCGAGATTTGTTTGTCTATATGTAAACATACCGATGCCGAGAACATGTTATCGATGAGGTCACGACTGCGTCTGGCAGAGGTCGCTGACGCAGTGACATGACCAGTTCGACTGAACGCCTCGCACGACCCTGGCGAAATATCGATATCAACCAATCAGAGCCCGCGTACATCTCTGTTGGTAATTAGGAGCAGACGCCGGCAGTACGTGGAAGCTAAGTGTTACGGACACAAGTCACACGAGCAACATGAAGTCTGCAGCTTTAATCTTGTTATTCGTCTTCTGTTCTGTCGAATGTGAGTACAATTTGATATTTACAATACCTGTATAAACAATATTCTAAAACAGACAATAACGTGGTTAGAATCTAATAATTTACATATAAATCTAGGAAAAACATATTTAATGCATTTCTATCAGCGTCAATTACCACCACAACTAAATATTAATTACAATGGCTCGACGATTACAGAAGTGAATACTACCAGATTCTTGGGTTTAGTGATCGATAGCAATTTAACTTGGAAACCGCATATCGAATCGGTGTGTAAGAAAATAAACAGTTTTGCATATGCTCTTTATAAATTATCACGTTCAGCTAACCAGGAGACAGTGATCACCGCTTATCATAGTTACGTGGAATCTATACTGAGGTATGGGCTGATTTTTTGGGGTAACTCCACCGATAAAAATGACATATTCATAGCACAAAAAAGATGTGTACGCGCTATACGTGGCCTACGTCCTAGGGACAGTTGTAAGCCACACTTTCAAGACTTAAAACTGTTAACGTTTCCATGTTTATTTATTTACGAAGTAGCCACCTTTGTTAAATGTAACAGATGTCTATTTGAATTAAAGCCCCCACGCGATTCCAGGCTGAGGCAAAAGGATACTGGTGACCTTCAAGTAGTACACGGTAATACAGCGCTTTTTAGTAAGAGTATTTTCAGGGTTGCTGCACAAATATATAATAGATTACCTAAGGAAATCAAAGCACTAGACTTACCTCTTTTCAAAAAAAAACTAAGGCAGTTTTTAATAACTAAATGTTATTATAATTTAACCGAATTTATGACTGATGACAGACGAAATTTATAATGTTAACAATGAAGATTTTTATTGTTTCCTTAAGTTAATGTAAATATTTAGTTACTTAAATGTTATTATAGTTTAATTGAGTATACGGCTGATAGAGTAAATTTTCAACACAAATAATAGTTTTATTAAAACTTGATGTTAATATTAATTTAGTTTGTAATTAGGTGTATTATGTTCCATAATGTAGACAGAGAAGATTATTGTCTGTAAACACACTAGATTAAAAACATACTATAAAAATTTTGTATGTCTGTACAGACACAATGTGGCGCACTACCATAATATTATCTACCATCTATTGTAACATACCTACATTGACGAAATAAACAATATTTGTATTTGTATTTGTAGGTAATTAAGCCGAAATTATAGACTGAATCTGCAATATTAAAAGAAAATCTACTTGAAGTTTTACTTACTTTCAATGTGGTTATTTATGAACGATTGCAATAAATATAATTCGATATATTGGTTTGATCAACAAGTACGCAGAATGACGATAATTTTGCTTATCGTTCTGCGGTTGAATGATGAATCAGTTTCCAACCCATTTCTACTAATCACACAGCCATACAATACCTACTGTTTGGTAGGTAAGAAGCTAATACGACTTTCTTCATGTTTACGAATTTTAATTTCAGGTCGGAAGATATTGCCCATAAACAAAAATGCTAACATCGACTTTATTAATATGGAGAGTGGGGGGATGAGGGTGCAACCGGCCGTACAGGCCCCCGCGGCCAAACCGAGCCCAGCAGCCGCGCCGGTAGTGCCTAAACCAGTCGCACCCGCACCCGCACGCGCTCCAGCACCAGCTTGCAGCTTGGTCATCCCAACCGGACCAGCCCAACCTGCTCCAACCCCTGGCCCCGGTAGTGTTCAAGCACTGATCAACTACTACGACAGCCAAGGCAAGGCCAGTCCCATCCGTCCTTACAGCTACAGCCAGGCAGTCAAGCAAGGGTAAACAACTCGCGTAGTACAAAGTGATAAATCGTGCCATTGTGATGTGAACAACTAATTGTATTGTTTGGAGATTAATGAACTTGTACCGTATGAATGTTATTCTTAAAATACTTATATACCGAGTAAATAGCTGCGAGTTTCAATCAACAACATTATTTATTTTAATTTTGAAGAATTAATAAATACATTAAAAGTTACCAACGTATTCCTCTTAGTGATAGGTACACATGCGATGTGAATACCTACCCTTTTCCCGCCAATAATGTTACGTATGGTCTCTCAAATGGTCTCTAAGATAAAAAGTCCTATAAATAATATATATAAAATATGTTGTTTTCAAAGATTTTTATTTGCTAGAGTTCCTGTTAATATCTACTTATTACGTAAAGCGACAATAATTTTATAACCTAGTATACATTTCTACGAATATGTACCTACAGTGTTAATTATATGCTATTATTTACTCAATGGTTCAGACATGTGCGTTGTTGTAGTCTTAATAAATAAAGGTAGTCAGACAGATGTTTAGCTTTCCAGTTAATGGAGGGTTGTAGCACATACATACGTAAAAATGTTCAATGTACAGTAACACCAACAAATAGTCCCCTGACATACTGCGCAGTTGCATTTATTTTGTCGCATGTTAGCAGCAGCATTCTTCAGAATCAATTAGTCATACACATTATATTGTTTCAGTTTGAGTTAAACTCCTTTCGTAAACATAATACCTATTTAATGTTTATTTGCGTATTGTTACTCAGTTTTATTCTATAGGAAGACTAACAATCAGGCGCCGTTCATGCACTCAGACACTCCAAAGAGTCATCGGATTAAACTTCACCTGTTGAATAAGAAGCAAAAGAATAGTTAATCTTGTAGTTAACCACAATTAGAAACGGAGTCAACGGCCGTCACATCAGCCGGATACATCTAGATGCGACATAAAAGGCGCATTAACAAGATATAAACAATCACTGCAAAGCCTATTCCAGCCAGTGAAAGTGTACGCCAGGCGGTGCGGGCGCGGCGGCCGCGGCGGGAGGCGGGCGGCCGCAGCGCCTCCGAGCTATTGTCGCTCATTCATCGGCTCCGCGCTGGAGCTCTCGTAATCTCACGCTCCTCAAACACAAAAGACACTTTATAATGACTACAATAGACAAATTCATTTAGAGACTCAAATTAGAAGAGACAAACTGTGAAAACGACGTTTCGTAATCTTTACGTAATCCTGGTCCTTATGAATCCACCAAACAAAAACCTCTCAAGTTATTATGAATGCACTAGTTATTCTAGACTGTCAGTTAGGTGCTAAACGACCTAGTTTATAAACTTTTACATTACTAACAAAGGCGATTCGTAACCACACTGGTATTTACATAAAAGAAAAACAAGATACAAATATTTCTCCATCTATTCCGGCTCCGCAGGTATCTAAGTTGTTAAATCAATATTTTCTTTCTTTATACTGTTTGTAGGTGACTATAAACCTCAGTGCAACGTGTACAGAGCTTTCACATAATAATATTTGCACAGTAGTGCGAAAATATTTACTTATTCGTAGGTTGATATGCAAAGGATTCAAGAATTAAAAAAACTATTAGGAATTAGGTAGGTACCTAACATATTATCGGTTTAAATAAATTTTATGTCTTTAACTTTTTAGTAACACAAAATAATGAGGTTAATGTGTAATATGGTACCTAATCTGTAACTGAAGAATTTATATTTCGATATAGGCACAGGTAACGAGATATCCTTACGAAGTATGTATATTCCTATTGAGCAACAATGTTTCTAATAAATCACACACAATCTAAAATATAAAGTCACATGTCTGTAAACTTGCAAACCCTATGCAGTTCCTGGCCCTCGTGCGGGTGCGACAAAGATCACGGAGCCCGCAGACAGGGCTGTGCAGCTCACGAAATATGTGCCACTTTCACTATCCGCATGAATCATGCGGCGGTTACGTCGACAGGATGCCTTATAGTTACATGCTACGTCCGCGACATATTGTGCAATATATTGTCCGCATTTCAAGCTTATAAAAACAACAATGAGTCAACGCCCTTACCAAAATAATTATGGGTAGATAAAAAAAGTTCTTATTTGGAAATGATGACATGATATCCGAAGACCACAAATTATCACAAATTACGGAAAGGATGTTTTTATTACGAATAATTTCTAACTTTCTAATTTCATAATATTTTACGAATGTTTAAGTTTTGCGAATTCTTGTTCGTTTAAGTTAAATTAAATTGTAGCGGAAACTTCAATAAGGATTATCTAATGTAAAGATTTGAAGAGAAATTTTAATTAATGCTTATTTTTCTTATGATCCAAAAATATTAATTAATTTAAATAAAAATTAAGTTATTAAATCTGAATTTATATTATGATATACAATGTCAACGGCCGCGATACTTGGCACATATGTATTATAACATCTATTAGATCTGTACACATACATAAGTAAGTGTTGGAGAACTATGCTTCGGCACGAATGTGCCGGCTCGACCGGATTAATACCACGGCCTCACAAACCGACGTGAAGCAACGCTTGCGTTGGGTTTCGTCGTGTGAGTGAGGTTAGCGGATCCCCAATTATCCACCCCTTCTCCAATCTCCCCAATCCCTGAATCCCCAACGATCCTCAAACTCCTAATCCCCAAAAGGCCGGTAACGCGCTTGTAACGCTTCTGGTATTCCAAGTGTCCATGGGCGACGCCGATTGCTTACCATCAGGTGATCCGTCTGCTCGTTTACCAGCTTATGCAATAAAAAAAACATAATAAAATAAAATAAGCCTTTATTGCTGTAGTTACAATTAACAAAAATTTAAGTTGTAACCAAAGTTGTAATAAAGAGTTAAGAAATATAACAAACTTAAAAACTACTCTTAACATAATTTCAGCAACCGTTTTCTCTCCTCTTCCAACAGGTTGTCTTTCGACAAAGGCCTCCTCTAAGGATTTCCACTTGTTTCCGTCCTGTCCTCTGACACGTTACCATTCTGGCCCTGCTACTGGTTTCAAGTCAGCTTCCCATCGTTTATGCTGTCTTCCTCCTCTACTTCTCCTGCGATCTCTAGCGTTACATTCCGTTATTATTTTGATCCATTTCTCTCTCCCTCTCCTCTCTCAGCATATGTCCTGTCCAAGGTTTCAGCATTCTATGTACTGATATGACATTTCCGAACTTAGTATTTTCTTTTATCATTTTCAGTTTTATCTTATCCTTTCTTCTTACCCCAATACACTTCTCTCGATTCCATTTTGACATACGTTTAATTTATTCTGCTAGTGTTCAGTTAATGTCCTACTTTGGCATCTATATATTAGAGACATATGTCTTACACATAGATAACTGTACATAAATAAGTCAGAAATCCGACCAGAGAAAATAAAATACAACTAGAGATATCATTACCTAAAGCTACAGCACTATAAGATACAAGACCTGACGCCACTAATAAACATTGAATGGAAGTCTCAAGTCTGCTATTATATAGTTATGAAATAAAATAATTTACGTTGCTCTGTTTATTACGCGTTTCCAAGCTTTCTACTGATAAATAGTAATTTAATGTGTATCAACTTTCTTACGTCCGCCATTAGAAGAGCAGGTGTCACGAACAATAAGGCCCGTCGTACACAGATACTTATAAATTAGGCATATTACATGAAACACAATGCTATACTTACTCCAAGGGTTCCCATCGCGTTGCCACGAATATGTTAACAATGACAATAGTTAAGCTTGCTTAGAATGCTTAGGGTTGTTGACTGTTGGAGTTTCATTCTCTAACTTTATTCAAAAAGCTTTCAATCCTTAGTGACATTCATAATTTGTGATCGTGAGTTTTCTTTTAAAAATATTAATGAAAAATATACTTCTTGTTTAAGATTGTGGCTATTTACAAATTGTCAGAGAAAAAATGTTCTCATATTTTTTCAATTTTTTTTTATTATTTAATTCTACCCTGCATTATAATTCACTAGCTTTTTTATGCAAATAAAGCCTCTTGATTTGAGTAATTACACCCAACCCTGAATGTAGTTAAGTACTCTTCAATGTACTCTGTTAACTGATCTGCAAACAATGACAAGAGTATACATTTTGTGTTTATGTCTATCTATTATACTTACAGACAACGGGCGAAAGTATCAACACATTTTGTACGTGAAATTGCATTGGAGTTCATAATTCGCAAGACTTCCCATTTTTCATACGATAAAATAATTAAAGCATGTTTTTGTTAAGTTCTGTATGCAATAAATATAAACTTGTACAATGTACAATATACAGTACAACATAAAAAAAACATAACATCACGCCTTTTATCCCCGAAGGGGTAGGCAGAGGTGCACATTACGGCACTTAATGCCACTGTACAATGTAACACCCACTTTTCACTATTTATGTTATGAGTCCCATGTAATAGGGGGTGAGCCTATTGCCATATACCGGGCACAGTTCCAGACTCCGTGCTACTACTAAGGTTTTTACAAACCCAGTAATACTTTGCCCGACCCGGGAATCGAACCCGAGACCCCTTGCCCGGCAGTCGCACTTGCAACCACTTGGCGAATGAAGCAGTCAGTACAATTGTGTGCAATATACAGTAGTTTCTAGGTATTGCATACAGACAAAAACCCTGCAATGCAAAAGTTAATGCGCGTCAATTCGTTTATCGTTTTAAGTGTGTTGCGATAATTTTGGAATTCCCAGCATCCGCGAGACTCACTTTCGTTGAAGTCCTACTGCCGTTTTATGTTATGAAATAGTATAAGCCCGCCCTCATTCCACGCGCGTCCGCATCACCGGCCATTGAACAATCGGAACTGCCCGCGCCTGCGCATGCCCCATTCTAATGAACGCTTGACGCATGAGTTACACAACTTCAATATTTTTGAACAAAGGTCAATGGCGTATAATGTTACGTTACGACGCTAAGTAATGGTCTGTCTAGAATTTAATATTTGATTTATAGTGTTTTTATATTTACTACAAATGACATTCAAAGCATTTCTGTCCACTTTCCTTTTGTGAATGAAACTCGGTTTGGCGATAATAAGACGATAATTATGTTACATTACGTATTTCGGTGTAAAACCAGTTTACAGTCGGAGGAGGTCTTTGTAATTGTGGTCCTGGGGAGATTTTATGTGCCAACTGAAAGGCAATAAGAAGAAATTAATTTCTTTTCATTTTATTATTCGTTGGTAATGTGTGTAATTTTGTCACAGAATACTACTGACTGCTCGATTTCTTTAATTTAATTTACATATGTGTATGATAAATAATTATAGGAATATTTTGGTGATAGGTCTCCACCTATTATGTTGGGCGTGGTACTATTTAGTTACGCGGACGTACTTCCATTTTCCGCGTCAAGTTTTCGTTGCATTATGTACGAGTATTTCCGTAGTATTAATTAGAAACTTTTTTACTATCAAAGTAAGAAGAAATCTTACGTAACTTTCTAAAATGCTTGCTCGTTCAAACATTAGTCCATATGACTTGAACATTAAAATTCCTTTATATATGCAAGCAAATTCTACGACATCTCTTTTGAAAGCAAGCCTGTAATGCCTGCTTCAAACATTTCTTCGTTACATTTTCGCACAAACTGAAGTAATATTTACAGAATAAAAACAAACTTTCACTTTTATTTTGTGTTCGATACCAGAGGAAATATTGACACATATACACGCAGTAATACAGATAATGTTTTGTAGGTAAGCCTCTTATGTAAATCGGTACATCGGAACACTTGGCGTAGAACAGTGACTAATCCAACCCGAATTCAGATCGTGTTCCGTTTACAAGAAAGTTGTGACACAGTATTGTTATGCAAAGCGGATCTGTCTGTGCCTAAGTACAGCCGCAATGTACAGCACGTCACGTGTATCACCGCACATCGAACTCGCAGCTG